TAACAGCATCAGCATCAGCATCAGTAACAGCATCAGCATTAGCATCAGCATCAGCATCAGCATCAGTAACAGCATCAGCATCAGCATCAGTAACAGCATCAGCATCAGCATCAGCATCAGCATCAGCATATCAGCATCAGCATCAGCATCAGCATCAGCATCCGCATCAGCATCAGCATCAGAAACAGCATCAGCATCAGCATCAGCATCAGCATCAGCATATCAGCATCAGCATCAGCATCAGCATCAGCATCAGCATCAGTATATCAGCATCAGCATCAGCATCAGCATCAGCATCAGCATCAGTAACAGCATCAGCATCAGCATCAGCATCAGCATCAGCATCAGCATCAGCATCAGCATATCAGCATCAGCAACAGCAACAGCATCAGCATCAGCATCAGCATCAGCATCAGCAACAGCATCAGCATCAGCATCAGCAACAGCAACAGCATCAGCATCAGCATCAGCATCAGCATCAGCATTAGCATCAGCAACAGCATCAGCATCAGCATCAGCAACAGCAACAGCATCAGCATCAGCATCAGCATCAGCATCAGCATCAGCATCAGCATCAGTAACAGCATCAGCATCAGCATCAGCATCAGCATCAGCATCAGCAACAGCAACAGCATCAGCATCAGCATCAGCATCAGCATCAGCATCAGCATCAGTAACAGCATCAGCATCAGCATCAGCATCAGCATCAGCAACAGCAACAGCATCAGCATCAGCATCAGCATCAGCATCAGCATCAGCATCAGCATCAGCATCAGTAACAGCATCAGCATCAGCATCAGTAACAGCATCAGCATCAGCATCAGCATCAGCATCAGCATATCAACATCAGCATCAGCATCAGCATCAGCATCAGCATCAGCATCGGCATCAGCATCAGCATCAGCATCAGCATCAGCATCAGCATCAGTCACAGCATCAGCATCAGCATCAGTATCAGCATCAGCATCAGCATCAGCATCAGAATCAGCATCAGCATCAGCATCAGCATCAGTAACAGCATATCAGCATCAGTAACAGCATCAGCATCAGCATCAGCATCAGCATATCAGCATCAGCATCAGCATCAGCATCAGCATCAGTAACAGCATCAGCATCAGCATCAGTAACAGCATCAGCATCAGCATCAGCATCAGCATCAGCATCAGCACATCAGCATCAGCATCAGCATCAGCATCAGCATCAGCATCAGCATATCAGCATCAGCATCAGCATCAGCATCAGCATCAGTAACAGCATCAGCATCAGCATCAGCATCAGTAACAGCATCTGCATCAGCATCAGCATCAGCATCAGCATCAGCATCAGTAACAGCATCAGCATCAGCATCAGCAACAGCATCAGCATCAGCATCAGCATATCAGCATCAGCATCAGCATCAGCATCAGCATCAGTCACAGCATCAGCATCAGCATCAGCATCAGCATCAGCATCAGTCACAGCATCAGCATCAGCATCAGTATCAGTAACAGCATCAGCAACAGCATCAGAATCAGCATCAGCATCAGCATCATCATCAGTAACAGCATATCAGCATCAGCATCAGCATCAGTAACAGCATCCGCATCAGCATCAGTAACAGCATCAGCATTAGCATCAGCATCAGCATCAGCATCAGCATCAGCATCAGCATCAGCATCAGTAACAGCATCAGCATCAGCATCAGTAACAGCATCAGCATCAGCATCAGCATCAGCATATCAGCATCAGCATCAGCATCAGCATCAGCATCAGCATATCAGCATCAGCATCAGCATCAGCATCAGCATCAGTAACAGCATCAGCATCAGCATCAGCATCAGTAACAGCATCTGCATCAGCATCAGTAACAGCATCAGCATTAGCATCAGCATCAGCATCAGCATCAGCATCAGCATCAGCATCAGTAACAGCATCAGCATCAGCATCAGTAACAGCATCAGCATCAGCATCAGCATCAGCATCAGCATATCAGCATCAGCATCAGCATCAGCATCAGCATCAGCATCAGCATATCAGCATCAGCATCAGCATCAGCATCAGCATCAGCATCAGCATCAGTAACAGCATCAGCATCAGCATCAGTAACAGCATCAGCATCAGCATCAGCATCAGCATGAGCATCAGCATCAGCATCAGCATATCAGCATCAGCATCAGCATCAGCATCAGCATCAGCATCAGTAACAGCATCAGCATCAGCATCAGTAACAGCATCAGCATCAGCATCAGCATCAGCATCAGCATCAGCATCCAGCATCAGCATCAGCATCAGTAACAGCATCAGCATCAGCATCAGCATCAGCATAACAGCATCAGCATCAGCATCAGCATCAGCATCAGTCACAGCATCCGAATCAGCATCAGCATCAGCATCAGTAACAGCATCAGCATCAGCATCAGCATCAGCATCAGCATCAGTAACAGCATCAGAATCAGCATCAGCATCTGCATCAGCATCAGTAACAGCATATCAGCATCAGCATCAGCATCAGCATCAGCATCAGCATCAGCATCAGCATCAGTAACAGCATCAGCATCAGCATCAGTAACAGCATCAGCATTAGCATCAGCATCAGCATCAGCATCAGTAACAGCATCAGCATCACCATCAGTAACAGCATCAGCATCAGCATCAGCATCAGCATCAGCATATCAGCATCAGCATCAGCATCAGCATCAGCATCCGCATCAGCATCAGCATCAGAAACAGCATCAGCATCAGCATCAGCATCAGCATCAGTAACAGCATCAGCATCAGCATCAGCATCAGCATCAGCATCAGCATATCAGCATCAGCATCAGTAACAGCATCAGCATCAGCATCAGCATCAGCATATCAGCATCAGCATCAGCATCAGAAGCAGCAGCAGCATCAGCATCAGCATCAGCATCAGCATCAGTAACAGCATCAGCATCAGCATCAGCATATCAGCATCAGCATCAGCATCAGCATATCAGCGTCAGCATCAGCATATCAGCGTCAGCATCAGCATCAGCATATCAGCGTCAGCATCAGCATCAGCATATCAGCATCAGCATCAGCATATCAGCGTCAGCATCAGCATCAGCATATCAGCATCAGCATCAGCATATCAGCGTCAGCATCAGCATCAGCATATCAGCGTCAGCATCAGCATATCAGCATCAGCATCAGCATCAGCATCAGTAACAGCATCAGCATCAGCATCAGTAACAGCATCAGCATCAGCATCAGCATATCAGCATCAGCATCAGCATCAGCATCAGTCACAGCATCCGAATCAGCATCAGCATCAGCATCAGTAACAGCATCAGCATCAGCATCAGCATCAGCATCAGTAACAGCATCAGAATCAGCATCAGCATCAGCATCAGTAACAGCATATCAGCATCAGCATCAGCATCAGCATCAGCATCAGCATCAGTAACAGCATCAGCATCAGCATCAGTAACAGCATCAGCATTAGCATCAGCATCAGCATCAGCATCAGCATCAGCATCAGCATCAGCATCAGCATCAGCATCAGCATCAGCATCAGTAACAGCATCAGCATCAGCATCAGTAACAGCATCAGCATCAGCATCAGCATCAGCATCAGCATCAGCATATCAGCATCAGCATCAGCATCAGCATCAGCATCCGCATCCGCATCAGCATCAGCATCAGCATCAGAAACAGCAACAGCATCAGCATCAGCATCAGCATCAGTAACAGCATCAGCATCAGCATCAGCATCAGCATATCAGCATCAGCATCAGTAACAGCATCAGCATCAGCATCAGCATCAGCATCAGCATCAGCATCAGCATCAGCATATCAGCATCAGCATCAGCATCAGCATCAGCAGCAGCAGCAGCAGCAGCATCAGCATCAGCATCAGCATCAGCATCAGGAACAGCATCAGCATCAGCATCAGCATATCAGCATCAGCATCAGCATATCAGCGTCAGCATCAGCATATCAGCGTCAGCATCAGCATCAGCATATCAGCGTCAGCATCAGCATCAGCATATCAGCATCAGCATCAGCATATCAGCGTCAGCATCAGCATATCAGCGTCAGCATCAGCATCAGCATATCAGCGTCAGCAGCAGCATCAGCATCAGCATCAGCATCAGCATCAGCATCAGTAACAGCATCAGCATCAGCATCAGTAACAGCATCAGCATCAGCATCAGCATCAGCATATCAGCATCAGCATCAGCATCAGCATCAGCATCAGCATCAGCATCAGCATCAGCATCAGCATCCGCATCAGCATCAGCATCAGAAACAGCATCAGCATCAGCATCAGCATCAGCATCAGTAACAGCATCAGCATCAGCATCAGCATCAGCATCAGCATATCAGCATCAGCATCAGTAACAGCATCAGCATCAGCATCAGCATCAGCATCAGCATCAGCATATCAGCATCAGCATCAGCATCAGCATCAGCATCAGCATCAGGAACAGCATCAGCATCAGCATCAGCATATCAGCATCAGCATCAGCATATCAGCGTCAGCATCAGCATATCAGCATCAGCATCAGCATATCAGCGTCAGCATCAGCATATCAGCGTCAGCATCAGCATCAGCATATCAGCGTCAGCATCAGCATCAGCATATCAGCGTCAGCATCAGCATCAGCATATCAGCGTCAGCGTCAGCATCAGCATCAGCATCACCACCACAGCCGACACCATCTCTAGAAGCACGTCAAGTATCAAAAGAATGAGGTGACTTTTGAGTCGACTCAAAAGACCATTTGAAAGAATGAGAAGGAAGAGCATTTGAAAGACCATTAACGCCCGCGCTCACCTCGTCCTCTGCATGCAGCCGCCTCCCCTCGCGAGTCAGCGCATCAGCATCCACAGCCGACACCGACACCGTCTCTAGAGGCGCCTCAAACATCTAAAAGAGCTCTTACCGAATTGCCATGTGTACTCACCTCGTCCTCTGCGTGCAGTCGCCCCCCCTGGCGAGTCACAGCATCACCATCCACAGCCGTCACCACCTCCTCTCCCCCTCCCCTCGCGAGTCACAGCATGACAAGGGAAGGAAGGAAGGGCCCATACCGGGGATTCACACGTGCCCTCACCTCGTCCTCTGCATGCAGCCGCCCCCCCTCGCGAGTGACTGCATCAGCATCCACAGCCGCCACCATCTCTAGACGCGCCCCAATAATCACAAGGGAAGGAAGGAAGTCCGTACTCACCTCGTCCTCGGCATGTAGGCGTCCCCCCTCGCGAGTGACAGCATCAGCATCCACAGCAGTCACCATCTCCTCTCCCCCTCCCATTCCTCCTCGCCCATACCGCCCCTCCACCCCACCAAACGACAGCGCGGTGCTCCTCCTGCCGCCCAGCCCTACAATCCCGTTCAACCCCCCCTGCCCCTCGCGGATCGCCCTCTGTGTGTGCACACGCAGGCCAGACGCTTCTGTGTAGCTGCCCATACAGGTGCCACGCTCCTGGTGAGAAACGAGTGGGTAGAAAGAGTAAGGCGGAAGGTGGGTGGGGAATGGGACGGAGGGTTGAGGGGGTGCAGTGCAGAGTGGTGGAGTGGGGTGAGAGTGCACGAGAGGCAGGAGGCTGTGAGGCAAGCTGAGGTCCATGTTGTGAGTACGCGAGAATACAGGAACCTAAGCCACGTCAGCTCAAGTCAACTCTGGTCAACGCAGGTCAACTGAGGTCAACCTACCGCCTGCAGCAGCATGAGGTCTGACTCTGCCAACCCTTCCAGCCACCTCAGCACCCGCCAGCTGTGCTGTGCGTTCTCATTGGTCGACAGGAAGTCGCACGTGTCCTGGGCTGACGGTGACGGGTGCTGACGTGGCAGGGGAAGGGAATCAAGCGGAAAACGGGTAACAGAGGGGAGGGTAGAAAACGGGATTCGGAAAGGAGATAGTAGTAGGAAGTGTGGAGAGGGAAGAGAGGAGGGGGGATCATGCAGCGTAGGAGGAGGAGACGAAGTAGGATACATTCTTCCCTCACCATCCAAATGATTGGATACATTCTTTGACAGAAGCATGGTTGGAGAGCAAGGATGAGAGCCTCACCAGACGCACGTCTTCAGTGAGATGGTCCGTGTCTGCTTGTGCCATGCCGTGCCATCATGCCATCATGCCATACCATGCCATCATGCCATCATGCCATACCATGCCATCATGCCATACCATGCCAGAGAGCACAGCACAGAGAAGCAAGGAGAAGAAAAAGGGCATTGATTGGCAAAAGGAGTAGGTTCCAACAGAATCTACAATGCGCAAGAGGGAAGGCAGCGCAAGCAAAAGAGGAAGGGCAAGCACGAAGCAAGCAAAAAGTGCACCAACAATGCTCCTCCTCACCGTATCCAAACAGGTGGTGCATGAGCGCCCACGTGGCAGCCTCTGATTGGAGCGCCTGGCTCTTCCTGCTGAGCACGTGCTCCTGTGCGGGCTGCACGCTCTCCCTCGCGTCCGCCCTCAACCCCACCGCCAGCTCCCTGCAGCACTGCTCCAGCTGCCTGAGAGATTCTCGATAGCCCACCACACCTGCAGGGAAGAGAGAGGAGGAAAGACTAACAAGAGATTCAGGAGAGCTAGCACGTGCTCCTGTGCGGGCTGCTCACTCTCCCCCGCGTCCGCCCTCAGGCCCACCGCCAGCTCCCTGCAGCACTGCTCCAACTGCCTGAGGGATTCGCGATAGCCCACCACACCTGCAGGGAAGAGAAGTAATGCGTGACCTCACGTTGTAGAAACGGACGCACAGAAGTGCTATGCTACTGGGTGGGCTGCACTGCGCACTCTCCCTTGCATCCGCCCTCAACCCCACCGCCAGCTCAGCACTGCTCCAACTGCCTGAGAGACTCCCTGTAGCCTACCACCCACACCTGCAGGGAAGAGATGCGTGGCCACAGGTTGTCGAAACGAAAGGCACAAAGTGTTCCTGAACAGGCTGCTGCACTGCTCACTCACTGTGTGACTCGAGGTGACTTTTGAGTCGACTCAAAAGTCACCTGAACAGGCTGCTGCACTGCTCACTCACTGTGTGACTCGAGGTGACTTTTGAGTCGACTCAAAAGTCACCTGAACAGGCTGCTGCACTGCTCACTCACTGTGTGACTCGAGGTGACTTTTGAGTCGACTCAAAAGTCACCTGAACAGGCTGCTGCACTGCTCACTCACTGTGTGACTCGAGGTGACTTTTGAGTCGACTCAAAAGTCACCTGAACAGGCTGCTGCACTGCTCACTAACTGTGTGACTCTCCCCCCGGGCGTCCGCCCTCATCCCCCCTGCCAGTTTCAAATTCCAAGCGCCTGACTCACCGCGCACAGCAGCGGCCAGCACGCACTCAAACCGCTCGTACACCTCCTCTCCGCGGTCCTCAAAGTCCACTGGGGCCGTTAGGATGGGACGCTAGCCTGAGCATGCAAGGCCAGGATAAGAAGCTAGCTACTCAATTTAAAGCGCCTGACTCACCGCGCACAGCAGCGGCCAGCACCCCTTCGAATCGCTCGTACACCTCCTCTCCACGGTCCTCAAAGTCAACTGGGGCCTCCTGCACGTGGCATGGTGATAGTGGTGGTGGTGGCGGTGGTGGCGATGGTGTGACAATCACGAGGGGTGAGCCGGAGGTGCTGGTGGTGGTGGGGTGACAGAACTGAGATGCGATTGCAATTCAGCCGGTGCAAAGGATTCGGCGAATGTGGTTTACCATGGATGAACTCGCAGCCTGTGAGACACACGGCTCGCATCAAACGACTCACAGCTCTCATTTTCAGCCGTGCCCTCCTCTTCTTGTCTGTTCGCTGCCTCTGCTGCTGCTGCTGCTGCTGCTGCTCCTTCTGCTGCTGCTGCTGCTCCTTCTGCTGCTGCTGCTGCTGCTGCTGCTGCTGCTGCTGCTGCTGCTGCTGCTGCTGTTGCTTTTGGTGCAGGGGAGGCTGGCTCTCAAAGCTCACTTCCGCTCTCCCCCTCTCTTTCCCCATTCCCCCGACTGACGCCAATATTGGGCTCATTCCTCCCCCGAAAAGCGGAAAATCTCCGCCAATGTCCCTTCCGACTCCCCCACTACGCCCGGAACCGGGTGTGACAATAAACGGGGAAACGTGAACCTCTCTAGGTGAAGGTTGGCCCAAGCCTGGGCCAGACGGTCGGGGGGTGGAGTCCGGGAAGGTGACGAACGGGGAGGCGTGGTTCGGGGGAGGGGTGGGTCCGGGTGTAAGCCGTTGGCGAATGTCGGACTTCCGTCTCCTGACAGGATTAGGGTTTCATAACGGATTCGCTGTGCGTTAGTGACACATAGAGCAAAAACTAAATTGAGGGTCGCAAGAAAAAATAAGTCGCAGCGAGGTGGCACATTGACCTGCGTGGGTTCGCTCCGCGATAAACTCGTCGCACTCGTCGCACTCATCGCACTTGTCGCGTTCTTACCCTAAGCGAACGAATTCAGGACGATCGTCTTGCTCTGCAGCGAGCTGCAGCGGCTGATAAGCGGCCATGCCAGCGGCTGCTAAGCCGATGCCGACGACTCCGAAACGACGAGACTCGCGCCTATCGGCGATCGCGATGCTGTGCACACTTCTAGAGGTTATGCCTGAGAAATAGGTGCCGCTGAGCTCCAGCAAGCTGCTGTAACGTACTGGCGGTCGTCGTGATCACGTTCTTCTGATAAGGCTCTCTTTTCACTTGGCAACAGTATCAGCGTAGAGGAGATTCGTGGAGGTGAGAAACTCGCTATTGAGACGCTTGAGCAGCTGGTATTTGGCTGGGGCTGGTAAATTTACAGTTAGCATCAACTCTACGTGAAGTCTGAATATTTGAGATGATGTACTGCATTTCTGTGTACAAGTTTGGAAAGAGGGACATGAAGCATCGCAACCCCCAGACCATACAAAGCAGAGCCTCCAGATAGATAAGCAATCCACCAACCAGAAAACCCCGCCCACATCTACCCATAAGTCACTTGTCTCATAACATTAACCCATTCTTCCCCAGCAAGATAGTCAGAGAACACGAAAGAAAAAAAAGCATCCCAAGCAACCCTCCCCAACGAGTGAAAATTGTAGGAAGCAGTTGAGAGATGCCAACAGAACTGGCCTTCATGCCACCAAGAACGACTATTCCCTGAGAAGGCCCACTTGAAGCACCTTCACTTCGCTCAGCATCTTGCCGGAGTCACATCACAGCATCACAGCTCCATCCACCATCACTCCAACTCGCTCTCCTTCCAACTCAAGTCGCTCCAGGCCTTGCACTTCACAGGGGGAACACCAAGCAGCAGCACTGCTCGGAACCCCTTGGCTGATATATCGGCAAATTGGTCAGTAATCAAAACTGACGGAGGTATCGACGGATTGGGACAACAAAACTGCCGGCTGATGTAGAGAAGAAATCCTCCCGGGCCTTGAGAGACACACCTCAAGGCCATGCTTCCACTTCAAAGCTCAACTCTCCAACTACCTGCCACCTGCTAAACAAAAAAACTGCTCCACGCGCCTCCAAACTGCTGTCTTGCATCACCGAAAGCGGCATTTACGGCTCCAGAATAGCTTCCAGCTCGGAAGCAACAGCCGCGACTTCAGCAGCGGGGAGGGCGTCTAGAGCCTCAGGGGTGGCGGGCGGCATGGTGATGCCCTGCTTGTTGAGCTCCTCCAGCACACCGTCCACTGACGGCGGCTTCAGGCCCAGAGGCAGTGGTGTCGACGGATTGGTTAGGGCTTCGCTGATTGCCGCATCGAGGATGCCATTCGCCTGCACGACAACCATGGGATAAAAATATAATGCTTTAGTCACACTGTTACCATATTCGTGTGCCAAACGCAAGCAGGCTTTGTGCTTTCTAAGCACTACCCAACTGGTGAATGCGAGAGATGATTGAAGGCGGGAAAAAGCAGGAGCAAGAGGAGGAGCGGGGAGAGCGCAAGCACACAAGCAAGCAAGCGAGCATACCTCGATGAGGTCCTCCCCGAGGCTGGCGGTGATGGCAGCGAAGTCCAAAGTAATGTCATCGGGGAGGGGGAACATGGGGTTCGGCATCGCCTCGTCCGCAATGTCTAGTGTCTCGCACGCCGGCGCCGGCACCATGCCTCCCACTGCCCCTCCCACCATAGCCCCCCCCATCGTTCCTCCCATGGTCCCGTTCACGGCCCCGTTCACGGTTCCCGTCATGGTCATGGTCCCGGGCATGGCACCGGCAGGAGCGGAGCCCATGGCGACCGAGCCCTGAGCGGGAACACCCATGGACGACGGCATGCCTTGCATGGTGCCGTGGGTCATCCCCCCTGGCCCGCACACAGGCGCTCCGCACACCACACCCTGTGCCTGCAGATAAGGGAGGGACGAGGGAGAGAGACGGATGAAGGAGAAGGTGAGCGGGATAGAGTCGGATAAGGACGCCGAGGAACGGGAGAATAGGACGATGAACGAACGTCATTGAACAAGAAGCAAAGGCAACATGAGGAAAGAACGCACGAATGCAGGGCAACACTGGACATGCCACGCGAGGGCCTGTAGGCATCGGCTACCACGAGACAAGCAGCACGCACCACAGGGTAGCTGAGCGCGGGCGCTTGCTGGTGGGGGTAGCAGGGCGTTCCCGAGACCATCATGGTGGGATGGCCCCACGCGTCCATCGCAGGCGACGGAGCCTGCACCTGCACGTCAAGAGAGGACGGACGCCAAGAACGAGAGAAAAACTTAGACTGAGACGGGAAAGACGGAAAGTTTGACTGAGATAACGCACGGCGCGAGCAAATGTGGAAGGCTAAAATTAGGTAAGCTCACCCCAGCGTAGTGCCAGACTGAGCCGTCGGGAGCGAACCACGCGGGAGGAGGATAAGGAGACGGCGCAGCCTGGTGCTGCGGCTGCTGCCACATGTGCGAACGCGAGTGGTCCACGGTCGGATGACCCCACACGTGCATCGGCATGCCCATCGCGGGCGCGGGGCTCGGCGCCATCAACGGCTGGTGATGCGCCATCGGCATGTGCGACTGAGCCATCTGATACGGCTGATACGGCGGCACACCGACCACGGGTCGGGGCTGAATCATCGGCGGATTGGACTGCGCTCCGCTAGGAGCAGGCGCAGTAGTGGGATAAGCCCATGAAGTAGGGGCTGCTGCTGCTGCTGGTGCTGTTGCCTGGCCAGGCCAAACCATTCCATCGGACGGTTTTCTGCTGTGCCAGTTCGCGGCTTCGGCTTCCCGAGCGGCGAGATGCCGCCGGTGCGAGCGGTACTTTTGCAAGTGGCTGGCGATGTTGTGCCGAGTGAGGCATTTCACTCCCATGAGCTCCAGAATCCTAGATGGAATGGCCTTCTCAACTCCCAGCTGCTCTACCGCAAGAACGAATCTTCTGTGAAGCTCCGGTGTCCAGTCAACCTGGAGATGCGAAAATACAGAAAGGTGGAAAATTAGCGACAATGATGTGTGAATGTCAAGCATGTGAAAATGAAGATAGGATGGCGTTCAACAGACGACACCCGACGACGTACCTTGGCCTTTTTCTTTCCCGTGGAAGTCTTGCTTCCGCTCTTGCATGACGACTCGTACTGCTCGCTCTGCTGAACACTCTTGGAGGACGTTTCCGACGGACGCGTGTCGGCACTGGCTTCCGGCTCTGTTTGCGATTGGTCCTTCTGAGACATTTCCTCGAGCTCCGGCAAAATGAGCGAACCTGCCATGTCCAGCTCATCTATCTCCCCTCCGTCGAATGAATCCAGCGAGAAATCTGGCCAAGAAGAAATGTCACAGTTTTCCAGGTCATCTGCTGCTGCCAACGCTGCGTCCTTCCCGTGAACGTCTGCTGTCCCTTCCCTCGCTGGACTACTGGCGGACGCAGAGTTACCGGGTGGTAACCGCTCCAAGCAGTCCGATTCAACCTTATCGCTATCTGCAGGCTCAGCAGCAGCTGTGACGGCGAATTTCGTGTCCATCTCCGATACATCCGACGCCAAAACATCGGCCAAAGCGGCTCCTTTCATAGGATCTGTCGTCGCCAAAGACTCGGTGGATTTTGAAAGCTGAAGCTTTCCGTCGGTCTTACCGGAACCCTTCTGCAAAGACCCCTGCTTTTTGGCGATGATCGGGTCCCGGATCCCCAGGCGTTGCTCATTCGCCTTCTGCGTCTTATCCTTTCCCTTTTCATTCTGCGATGACTTCGCAGGCTTCGTAGCCTGTCCTTTAATCTCGACCAGTGAAACCGGCGCAGCGGACACTATTCCTGCCATTGCAACGTAGAAACGTGAGAGACGCTGAAACCCTCTACTGCCAGAGAAAACAAGCAAGCTTTCTCTGGGTTGGGCACAATGTAGCTGAGGAGCCTGAAATGTTTGAATGTGCCAACCAACAATGTGGGAAAGGGGATCTCATATGTGGCCTGGCACAGCCCACTGACATCACCTTGCCTGAGGATAAGGACAGACGGACTGCTCCTCCTGGGCCCTGGCGAACTGGAAGAAAGCGGGAAGTGGGGGAGGAGGTCCTTTCCCTTCCCCTGCCCCCCCGATTTTTCGCCCGCCTCCTGGGGAACTCCGTCACCGTTCTGTTCCGTCGGTTCCGTTCCTGGCGGAATTCAGTACTGTACACCGCACGGCAACATCGCTGCCTCGGGAAATGGTTTCTTGGGGAGTTCGAGGATATCCCCGAGGCTGCTCCCCCAGCCATCCCTGAAGCGTGTTGGGGTTGGAAAGTTCGTCGGTCAGGAAAAAAAGTGATGGCTGCTGCTCATGGGCAGCCTGAGGAATGTATCTGGCGCTCTAGCACCACATGAAGGTTCCAGCTGGCTTGGCCGACATGGTCGCCCTCTGCCCAAGAAAGTGAATCTGGACGACTGAGGGCAGCCCGATCGAGCAGCAAAAATTTCAGCGGACCTTCGACAACGTCACATTGGTACAATCAAGTTTTCCCAACGGAAATTCTAGAAGCAACGGAGAAGCACTGCCGCATAGCGCGCCAGACGGTGGAATTTCCGAATGCTTGATCACTCGATTGAGCTTTGCCACATCAGCCGAGCCATCCAAAGGAAGATATGTGCGAGCACGAATCAGGCTCCAGGATCAGCACAAGAATCTGCCTTTCCGGCCAACAGATGCCCAGCCCTGATGGTTCGAAGGTTACTCAACCTGTTCCCTCCAGATCCAAAGCCTTGAGTCAAGTTGAACGAGCATTATTGAGAGTATTTATTCCTCCTAGGTGGACAGAAATTCGTCGAATATTCGTTCGTGGAACCATAATTGATTGGTCAAATTCTGTGAGCATCACTACTTTTGTTTGTTTGGCGAAGGGTGGACCGACCTGAAAAAAAATAAGGAAAAAAAAAAACAATATACTGGATGTTCCGAAAGGGCTGGTTGTTCTGTCAAAAAAATCAGTCCGTGTGTGGCTGGGCTGCCTAACGTCATTCGTATCCAAGGTCACGTGACTATCTTCAAAATGATTGTCATGCAAATGCCACGTCATATATTTTCCTGAAGTGGTCTAGGTCGCTTAGAGCATCGGCACATGCTCCTAGTTTTCCGCGTGGTTCAACCCTTTAACCAATCGAAATCCTCGGAGATGGCACGGCCTTATTGATGCAATTCAGCAAGAGCTCCACACCACAGACTAAGGATGTCGGATGACCTTTTATTTCAGGTACATGCCACACCACACACTTCGGATGGATGCCTTTATGCTTTCATCCCACCACCACCCCTGACCCCATCAGAACTCTTACGGGCAGCAGCGCTTTTAGGGCAACGGTACATTGCCATCTTCTCAACTCCACTTGCGTTATTGTCCACTTGTTTGACTTCTGAGAATGGGCTCACACAGGTGCACAAGAAATGCTGCAAGCAGACCGTCGCGTGCGAATGCTTTTTGTCAAAAACAAGAGCCCATCATCATACCCTCCGAGATGTGAGGCCTGTCGATTCAAGGGCATATGCCCCTGAACATTAAAGCTCCGGTATACATTTGAAAGGAGGGGTTCAAAATCCTTAGGAACTTGAAAAGTTGCCCCAAAACCGTGAGGCAAACTATAAAACCCGAAACCCCGCTGACAAATGTATACTGGAGCTTTAAGGGCTAGTTACGCTCCAGCTCCGATGCGGCAAGTTCTGGATTCGTACCCCACCCGTGCCACTAAGTGCTTCGTTCGATCCTTCCCCGGATGCGTTAAGGGACGAAACCAGGCCTTCCCCTTTATCTAAGTTTTGGTTTCCGCTCGTAGGACCCCCCCCCCCCCCCCCCCAGGGTGCCCGAGCGTGCCCCCCCACCCCCCCCCCCCCCCCCCCCCCCCCCCTTTCTCCTTAGCCTGCACTAGAGCGCGCCAAGGGGATTCTTCCCTTAGCGTTTTCTAGCCAACCTCGTGTGTGTAGTGTGTCTCAGTCAGCCTTGGAGCACCCGAACATTCCCTTAGCGTCCAATACGAGCTCGCCGCAGTTTACAGCTGTGACACATAGGATTAGGTTGGGTGAATCTGGCTAAGTTTATTGGCCACAGACAACTCCAAAGCACGTCAAAGGAACTGAAGCACACCAGCGTAGCAGCTCTCTCACCACCTTCGTTCGTGCGTGCCACGATTCCTCTCCACCACCATGCATTCCATCCACCACCACCACCCACCCAACCTCCCTCTCCTCTCCTCTTTTGTCCGTGCCATGTTTTCTCTTCTCTACCGTCAGACCACCTCCACGGTACCGCCCACCAACGCTCTCTGCTCTCCACCTTCGTTCGTGCCGTGCTATGGCACTTCTCCTCCACCCACCCACTCTGCCGAGTAAAGCTCGCGTCGCCTCGCTCACACACGCGAGGTTTATATTTTTTCTAGCTAACTCGTTCCCTTCGTCAGCCACAATCTCACACCATGGACCATAGCGAGGGTGAAACCCCTCCTCCAGTTTTGCCCACGACTCACGTCTCTTATTCTCATACTACAACCGAGACCGAGCCCTACGTAGCCACTGATGCTGAAGACATGCTAGACGTAGCAATCTCAGTGTTGGACCCACGCCTCGCCCATCAAGCCACATCGTCACAGTCTACCCCGAGGTCTGCAGCTCGTTGCCGTCAGGTTCACCTGAGCTTCGCTAGTCCGCCACCAGACACGCGAAAGCGCGCACGATGCGTACCGCCACCACCCACAGCTGAGGAGCTGGAGGCGCAAGACAACGCGATCGCAGAGGATGCAGAAGTACCCCCGGACACCGAGATCCCTGAGGCCGAGAGGAGCCTTACACGTCGCTTCAGCACGTCGTGGAAGCAGACGTACTCGTGGCTGAGCTTGAAGTACAACAAACATGAGCGCCAGTATGGTATGAAGTGTACCGTCTGCTGTAAGTTCGCTCCTAACACCAAGTCTCCCTTTGGCGGTCCCGGAGTCGGTGCAAGGGATTTTCAGAAGTCGGCGTGCCGCAACCATGACCAGTCCAAGGTGCACCTCGCGGCCATGGAAGCTGAACGACTCGCTGAAGGCACGGAGGTGAGGCAGCGCAGCCTCTTGAATATGCTCAGCAGCGATCCTGTAATGGCGAGGGTCGTCAAATGCATGCAAGGAGCTCACTGGATTGCGCGGAACGATGCACCTATCGCGCTCTACCCCATGCTGGTGCGGTTCATGGCGGAACAAGGATGTCCCGACATGATGACCGACGAATCGTACGGTCGTTATTACTCGCGGTACGTGCTTGTTAGCCTCTGTTTCTGCTTCTGATATCCTGATTTTGCTTCTGTCCGTATGCTGCTACTTTGTTCTTACTTCTTCTATTGCTCTATTGTGGATAACATACTCACATTTTCATTCGGTGCTCATTGCAGATACGCCTTCGGCGAGTTCGTAGAGGCTATGGCGGAGCATCTGGTGGCCAAGCAGCTCGTGGACGTCAAAGAGTCGGCGTGGTACAGCCTTTCCTTCGATGAATCCACGGATCGCGCCCGTGGAAAGCATCTCATCGTGTATGTCACGTTTGAGAGAGGCGAGGCCGTGGTGTCCCAGTTCGTTGCTCTCCTGTCGCTCGAACGTTGCGACGCCACAGCACTGCACGACACGATCGTGAAGTGTTTGTGGTCGAAGGACATGTCGCTGGACAAGCTTGTCGGGGTGTCAACGGATGGTGCATCCGTGATGACTGGCTCGAAGAACGGCGTTGTCGCCTTGCTTCGGAAACGTTGCCCGTGGCTGGTTGCGATTCACTGCGTGGCGCATCGGTAAGGTTGCACTGCATTGCTTCCGATCGTATTTTACACCTGTCCCCTCCCTAACCATACTCACGCACGTCTCGTGCTTGTGCAGCGAAGCATTGGCTGCCAAGGATGCCGCGAAGAGCTTCAAGGAGTTCAACGTCGTTGATCAGATGATACGCCAGACTGCAGAGCGTCTCGGGCGTTCATCGACCGATCACAAGACCTACATGCATCTCCAGGACGTCATTTTGCAGACGCATCTGGAGGTGCAAGGCTTCTGCACCGTCCGTTGGTTGTCTCGCGGGGATGCTGTGAGTCGCTTCTGTGACGTGCTGCCGGTGCTGATGTGGATGTGGACGAAGGAGAAGGGCGAGACGGAGAAACTCGCTACCAGCTTCAAGTTCCACTATATGCTGTATCTCCTGGCTGACGTGCTGCAGCTGCTCAACGCACTCAATCTGTCCTTCCAGAAGCAGACGGTAAGGTGCAGATGAGCATGGCCTTGTCGCTTCTTGACTTGTGTGCGTGGCTCTAATTTTTTCTCGCTCTGTTTGCTTTCAGGTCGACATCACAGAGGTGAAGAATCATGTCGACAAGGTGAAGACCAAGTTGTCGCAGTACTACGTCGAGCCCGGCGCATCCAACGGGCCGAACACCTCTCGCCTGAACAAGTTCCTTGCTGCACACGGCAGCAAGGACAAGCGCAAGATGGAGCTCAAGGGAGTGGACGAGAACGGCAAGCCTGCAAAAGCCGAGATCGAGCTTCACGAGGACATCATTGACCCTGAAAACCCTGGGGGGGGATGCGACTTGGAGGCCTGCGTGGACCTGGCGAGGCGTTTCGCTCAGCGCCTGATTAAGGCGCTGGGGAAGAGGATGGCGGACCTGCGTCATTTCGATGGTGTTGGTTTCTTCTCCCCTGATAAGTATCCCGACCGTGCAGGAGAGCAGGACGCGTGGGTGAAGCTCCATCTCTCCGAGCTCCTTGACATGTTCAAGAACAAGCTACCTGGTAAGTTGAGAGGGATAGAGTAGGAACCTTGTATAGGTTCTAACCTTGTATATCTTCTAACTTTGTAAATGTTCTTCTCCAACATTGGGGTGTTCTAACATTGTTGTATGTCCTTGGCAGGAGTCGCTCTTGCTGACATAGAGCCGCAGATGCGCCTCTTCACAGCCACCATGGAGAAGAAATTCAAGAAGCAGAGCTTCCATCAGGCTCTCACCAACATGCTGCGCACGGCAGACTGGAAGGATGACTATCCCACCATGGTCTCCCTCTGGCGTGCAGTCTCTGTGTTGCCCCTCAGCACTGTTGAGTGTGAGAGGGGCTTCTCCCGCCAAAACATTATTAAGTCGTGGGATCGTGTTGCTCTTACTGATGTTAGGCTGGGGGAGCTGATGACGGTGAAGATGCTAGACTACCCGGTGGACTGGGCAGCGGCCTATGCCTTGTTTGAGGAGAAGGGGAGGAAGGGGAGGAAGCCTGCCAAATAGGCTTGCAATGCATGTTTGGGTAGAGTAGAGTAGTTAAATCTGCATGATAAATCTGTAGTTAGTTAAAAGTAGAACATTGCAGGCTAGGTAGGTTTTATGACTATTGACGACATGTGTAGTATTTCAGTAAGGGGAACATGTTGTAGGTATGGGTGACTTATAATAAAAGTTGAAAACTGGACGTACCATAGTAAAATACAGTGTAAGTGCAAACTTCAAACATGCCCTGATTTCAAGGTTTCACTTTGGGGTGCGCCTGTGACCGTTAAGTGCGCCAAACCGCACACCTACACCCAACCAAGGGTCAGATGCGGAGGAGCTGGGGAGCGCAAGTACGAGCCCCAGAAACTTCGACAGGCCTGATGTGAACCTCTATACGTTCCGCGCAAGCGCGTGCGGCCCATAGAGCGCATCCGCCATTTGTACAATTCGGTATGTGCTTTATAATAATGCGATAAGACAATAAGTATGTAGATTATAAGAAATGCTTATTCAACACCAGGGTTGTAAAAACCTTGACAGACTATCTGATTTGCAGTCTTATTTTCCTGAGATGATCCCTGGAAACATAGAGATACTCACGGCAGCACTCAAGGCATGCCGCCTCGTTTTTAAAATAAGAGCAGCGACTAGCTGCTGCAAACCTCTTTAGGAAAAAACGGTACAAACATGCACTTTGCTGGTCAATCACATTTAGTTAAGGATATACAACATCTGACATGCATAGCACGCTTGCTTGACTTTGCTGACAACCGGGTGAGGGATTTGTAGAAAACCATCTAACTCTTTGGAAAGAAACTAGAAGAAGAGAACAAAAAACATAAATTTTAGGGAAGCCAGTATACCAGTGTAGCACATCTTATTCCGATTGCCACCGGTTCCACCAGGCTTCTTTCTTGGCGCCATCCTCCTTGGAGCTGCCGAACGTGGTGGACACGGTGGATGCAACGTTTTTGGACACCTTGCGTGACGCCTTGATCATGGAGGCCAGTGCGTTGCGGTCCAGTGTTGACTTCTTCATCTTCTTCTCCCGCTTCTGCTCACGGAGCCAAGTACCGTATACAGTGAGCAGACGTGGGAATACGTTGGATGGTGGGTGAAGGAAGGAGCAGAATGGACGACTGGTGAACAAGGGCACTGCATCAACAAATCGCCAAGTAAAAAACACATTCCACGGCCTTCACACACTCAACCCTCTGCCCTCCTCTCACTCACCTTGGACTCCACCAGGGAAGCTTCCATGAATCCTCCAGCCTCCTCTGTGCCCGCCTTGGACATAAAAGTCCCCAACGCTTCAAACGCCACCGTGTTGCCCAAATCTAAATCCAAATCCAAATCCAAATCTTGTACAACACGGTGGCGTCCGAGGCGTACCGACAAGAATCCCTCACCTTGAACTCCATCAGCGAAGCTTCTGTGAACCCGCCCGCCTCATCCGTGCCAGCTTTCGACATGAACGTCCCAAACGCCTCCGACAACTCCGTGTTGTCCCGGTACAGGAACCGCACAAACCCCAGCCGCAGCTGCTGCAGCAGCGGCACATCCCCCGGGTAGAAGAACGGGTGCGCGAGCGCTCCCGCAGCCGAAATCCGCCGCCCGGGCTTCACGTTGACGAGAGCTTGCAGGAGGGACCAGCCGTGGCCGCCGTCGGCATCGAGCATGGCAAAGGCCTTGAGCTGCGCGTCGCTGAGGGCGCGGCCTTCCTGCACCTCGCGCCACTTTGCGAGGTCGTACTCGCAGCGCTTCAGCTGGCGGTTGAACTGGATGAGTGGGCTGTCCGTGCGGAGGTTGGGGAAGACCTGAGGGAGGGGAGGAGGGGGGGGAGGGGGTTGGGGGGGATGGAGGGAATGGGATAGGAGAGGAGGGGAGGGGAGGGAGTAGATGAGTTGGCGGTTGAACTGGATGAGTGGGCTGTCGGTCCGAAGATTGGGGAAGACCTAAAGGGGTGGTGCAGATGGGATGGGAGGGAGAGGAAGGGTTGACAAGAGGGGAAGGGATGGAAAGAGATGAGCTGGCGGTTGAACTGGATGAGTGGACAGCCCATGCGCAGATTGGCAAAGGCCTGAGGAGGGGGGAGCGGGGAGAGGATGTGATGATGCAATGACATGATGGGACAATGGGAGAAGAACACATGACACGAGGGGGGAGGGACCGGAAAATACGAGCGGAAAGGAAGCAAGAAAATGAGTTGGCGGTTGAAGGGATGAAGGGATGTTTGTGCGTAGATTGGTAAAGACGTAACAAGCAACAATGCCCAGCCCCGTTATAGCACGCACCATTTGAAGGAAGATAATTCCCACACTGTACATGTCGAAGCGGTCAGGAAGGTTCATCTGCAGGGGAGAAGAAGAGTAAGGAAGAGGGACAGGGAGTGAGATCAAAGGGCAAGTACAAAAAGATTTTTGGTTCGGGTCGGACACACACAACCGCACACAAGCAAGACACCCCATGCGAATCACTTGCACATGCAGGCACACACAGTCAGACACACCCAACCGCACGCCCACCCACACGCCCGACCACAAGCGCATGCGCTCACGATCAGGCACCCCACTCACAATCAGACCCCCCATTGGCAACTAGGCAACCCACGCACCTGCCACAGCACTGGGGAGAGCAGAGCAGCGATGGTGGGGGGAGGCGCATTAGGCGTCTGAGTGCTCATTATGTACTGCTCTGGCGCTGCATAGCTGTGAGGGCAAGAGGGGGGGAGAGGTGGGGGGGGGGGGGGGGGGGGGGGTAGGGGAAGGGGGAAAGGGTCTTGGAGTGCTCACTATGTACTGCTCTGGAGCTGCGTAGCTGGAGGATTAGGATGAGGCAGGGAGAAAGGGGGGGGGGTGGAGGGGAGGGAGGAAGTGGTTGGTTGAGGTGAAGGTTTCAAGCCTATGCAAGGGCGTCCGAGTGCCGTGTAGCTGGGTTGACAAGGGAGGGTGGGTGGAGGAGTGGGAGAGAGGGGTGCCCACATGAGGCAGAATGCACATCACATGAGGCGGACCAGCACAGCTACCCAATGCATATCCCCGCTCATCCTGAATCCACTCACCGCGGGTCCAGCAGGAACTCGTTGGGGTTATAGTTGATGCCCACCCGCAGGTCAGCTGCGGCACCCAGGTCGATGATCTTCAGCTCGCCCGTCTCTGCATTGCCGAGGTTTGGGGGGGGGCCAGGGAGAGAGGGCAACGAGGATGGCAGGTGCGATCAACAGACCAGGGGATTGGCATGGCCGCATGGATGGGGAGAAGGGGAGGGGGGTGGAGACGAAGACCACGATAAGTTCACCCATCCATCCAGAACTAGGTTATGGCTACCCACTCATCCACGCTTGAATCAACTCTGGCAATCCCACCCACTCCACAATTGCCATTTTCCCCCCTGGGAAGCTGGGCCAGGGATACATCCATGATCAGGCCAATGGCTACCCACCCACCCACATTGCAGCAGGCCCTCGTCCTTCAGAATGCATTTCCTGCATGATAAGGATTTGAAAGATAAGGGTTTGCTGGATGCTCCCACGCCAGATTTGATGGTCGGAGTCTCTATGGGCATACCCGAGTTGAAGATCATGTTTTGTGGCTTGATGTCGCGATGCACGATGCCCACGGAATGAAGCTTGTCCACACTCTTCAGAATGCGCTTCAGGATGGTGCGGATCACGCGCATCTCCCGCTCGGGGCCTTTGGGCTCGCGAGGCATGTACCCCAGCACTGCCTTCTCCACCTGTGCGGTGGGGGAAGGGGGAAGAGGGAATGAGAGGGGAGGGGGGAAGAGGTTGTGAGAGACAACATGAGAGTGTTTAAGAAATGGATTGAGAGGTGCAGGGGGGGGGGGGGGGGGGTGTGGAGGGGCAAGAGGTGGGAAATGGGCTGAGGGGCTCCAGTGGCACGCACCCCAGTACTGCCTCCTCTAGCTGTGGCGAAGAGACTGCAGTTGGGTTGGTGAATGGGGGGGAGGAGACTGTGGCAGAGAGGTGAGGGAAAACAAGGAAGTGCCTTCAAGGGCAAGGTCTCATCTCATCACCCACGCTGTAGGGGAAGTTGTCATCCCAACACTCACATTGTAGGGGAAGTTGTCATCCCAACACTCACATTGTAGGGGAAGTTGTCATCCCAACACTCACATTGTAGGGGAAGTTGTCATCCCAACACTCACATTGTAGGGGAAGTTGTCATCCCAACACTCACATTGTAGGGGAAGTTGTCATCCTGCAGCACGTCAGCGAACGTTGCGTTGCCCTCGAAGCGCCACACAATCCAGAAATTGTCTCGCGTCTTGGTCTTCTGCTCGGGGTGGGGAAACGAGGAGAGGAGGGCGGCAGGACGGAGGGGAGGAGTGTTGAAGTGTGAGATGCAGAAGGCCGTACGGAACAAGGGAAGTGGAAGGGCGGTGGCGTTGTCAAAGGGGTAAGGAGGGCGGGGCGCCCCGATGGGAGGGAGGACGGGGAGAGCGGAGGGGTAAAGCGGGTGGGGATGGCGGATGGAAAGAGAGGGGAGGACTGTGTGAGTGTGGAAGCACCAGAGCGGGAAGCACATGCGTGAAATAACGCATTTCCGACTCTGGAGAAATTAATACAAGATTTCGGCCTTTGAGCCTAGCCTAATGAACGTGGGCAGAGAATACCCTCCTACTACCACAGCACCGCCAGCACCCCCCATCCCCACAGCATTCACCTCCACGCCTCCCCATCCCGACCCTCCCCCTCCCCCCGACCTCACCCTCCTCCCCCGCCCAGCGCACCTCGACGAAGCCGTCGACGAAGTCGGCGCACGCCTGCGGGCACGCGCGCCGGACGCGCTCGTTCATCCACAGCTCCGCCGCGCCAAACTCGCTCGCCTTCTTCACCACGAACTGGCGGGGGGGGAAGGGGGGGAGGAGGTGGGGGGGAGGTGGGGAGGAGGTGGGGGGAGGTGGGGGGAGGAGGTGGGGAGGATGAAGGGAGAAAGAAGGCGGAGCATGGGTCTGAAGACACGTGGAACCAAGACGCTCGTTCATCCACAGCTCCGCCGCGCCGAACTCGCTCGCCTTCTTTACCACGAACTGGCGCCACAGGCGGGAGGCGTGAAGGGAGAAAGGGGGGGAGAGGAGGGCATTGAGGACGGGATTCGGGAGATGCGAAGGGCACGTGATATAATGATGTTTTTGGGACGTCTCAAAAGCAATATAATGCATTGAGGCCGGAACTTGCGTCGAGGGCAACCCATAGTAAAACTCCCTTGCCTTGCTCGCTTTCCTGCTACCTAGATAACGAATCAGCCTCCCCTGATGCGTACTCGTTTCAACCCAACCCTCCAAGCTCCCCTCCCCCGCCCGCGCGTTCCCCCTCCCCCTTCAGCCCCACTCCCCAAACTAGCCCCGTCTTCCGCTGACCGGTGACCCTTGCTCCCGCCTGGTCTCGCCGCACTTCCCCACTTTCACCCCTTCCCCTTACGCGCGCACCTCTTCCCCCGGCTTGTCCGCGATGGTGGCGCGGAACACGCTGCCGTATGCGCCCTCCCCCAGCTTGCGCCCCAGCTTCACGTCGGACTGGGCGCGCGGAACGGAAGCGGAAAGGGGGATCAAGAGAGGACGGGAGGAAGGCCATAGCGGAGAGAAGGGGTGCAGGAAGAGGTATGAGTGGGAAGAAAGTAAACAGGTTGTTGCGGCCGTACCATGCACGAGAGTTAAGACCAGGAGAGTCGAAGGAAAAAAATATATTAAGGCATTCAAAATGGTCATTCGTGGTATGATCAGTTACCAGACGCTTTAGTTCACGAAATGGTTCGGTACGCTGTTTTTTCTTGTCGCTGAGATTCTTCGCGATCACAGGACAACTTCCCAGAAGCCAGACCGCGAACGACCTCAGAATGTCACAGAATGTCACGGATCACCAACACGCCAAATCAACCTTTGCCAAAAGAATCACACGGCGCGCAATGCACCCGTACAGTCTGTTCAGTGCGTGTAGCAAGGTCCGCCTCGCGATGAATCCGCCACGCGGAAAGTTTGCCTCGCGTGAAGCACACCTTATTTTCAACGCGCCTCTCACCTTCTTAAGCTGCGGCCGTATCTTGCGTTCGATCGGCCCGTACACGAACATATCGAAGAACCCTGGAACGACGCCCGGCGTGGCCCACATGTAAGTCCCCAGCAGCACCAGCAGCAACACTCCTCCCACCGTCAGTCTCAACTGATCGTCCGCTGCGAGCGTGCTCCGGTAGATGACGTCACCGCATTGCATGACGGTGCACGGGAGACCCACGCCGACGGCCAGGAAGAGAGAGGAAAGTGATCCGTCCGTCAGAGCGCCGTCAGAGCTGACGGCTGCCGTTAACGAGACGAGAAGGTCGTTGACGGGTCCAGAGGCGTCGCATCGTGTACTGAGAGCACCGCCATTTGAGCTAGAGCTATGACCGGATTTCAGTGAGATTGGAAGGGATTGAGAGCGGCGAAGTTGTAGCAATCGCAGGCTAGCAAGAGTAGAGGTGAGCGATGAAGTTAAGGAAATGCGGGAAGCGGGGGAAGCGGGAGACGAGGACGGGGTAGCTCCGCGCGGAAGACATTTTCCCGCTTGAAGACAAGAAGCTTCGAGTGCTGCCATGCTTCAGACGAATATTTTTTGCTACTGGTAATCTATGACAAGGCTGACTCGAAGCGTTCGAAGCAGGTGCAGTAACCCGCTCACGTGGACAACCTGCTGCTGGTTCGATTGCAGGTTTGATCCAGTTGAAATGGCTTATTGCCTAGCCTTGCTAGAGTTTCCTCGCGCGGGAACGAGGCGAGCGCTGAATCAAGAATTACGTGGATCCCGCTTCCACGGTATTAGCTGTCAGAGACAGCAGACGACTAGCAGAGTTGACAGCTAGAAAGCATGGCGTACTGAAATGTACGGTGCGACTGGACTCTCTGGTCGCTAGTCACATTCGCAAATAGAAATATCACTGGTGAATGAGAACGGAGCTTGAACGATGTGGGAGGAAACAGTCTCAGGGAGAAAGGCGGGAGCAGGTAAAAGATGGACGGGGTGGGATATCGGAGGGTTTAAAAGGGTTGGGATGGTTCGAAAGGAATAAGGATGAATCATGTGATTGCTGGTCAGACTTGGAAGCAGGCACGGTTGCCCGGAGCAGCAGTCAGTGGGGTAGGGTGGGGGAGAAGAAGGTGTGGTGCAGGAATGCGTTCTATTCAGAGAAATCACGAAAGGTGAAGATGCCGGGATTGCTGGTCAGGTGAATGCGCTCGTCGATCCCAAAAACTGCCAGCTTCTGGAAGTGTTTATCAGGGCAATGTTCCGATATTTCTCGAAATGGGATAGGCTGGAGACCTGACGAATGACTCGACAAAGCACGTCGCCGAGTCAGCAAGGTTGTCACGCGTGTCGAAAGCGCGGGGTTAACAATCTCGAGGCAGAAAAATGTGGTGAATGATATCGACACGTGGATAGAAAATCTACTTCAATGATCCGCGATGGTTGTGGTGCATGTCAGAGACTGAAGGAGGTGAAGAAGGCTATGCCAAAAGTCGTCAGTGGCAGTGGGTAACGTGACGAAAGCTGCCTGTTTCGCGAGGTGGTCAAAGGGAGCGGCGGTGATGGGCGACAATTGTTCGTTCCGTCGCTTTTTGACGAGGGAATGTTGTTCGCGAGAAATGTGTTAGCGGGCCACTCGAAAGCGCATTCCAAACTCAAAATAATGTTAGCGGGTCACTCAATCGAAGAGCAGTGGCATCACCTAGACAGACGATGCAGCCGTGTCATGGAACCAGAACTCCAGGTCACTCGAGGATTTGGTAGGCTGAACTGTTCGCTCAATCCTGGGCTGTACCTTCGCGGCAAAGTGTCGCGATTTGCGAACACTGCCAAGCTGGCGGAAGATGTGGACCACAGAAAAAACACCTGCGCTCAACAAGTGTGCAGTTTTGTTGGTTCCCATAAGAAGCAGCAAAAACCAGTTGCATTCACTAAAGTCCTCTCTAAGTGCCAGTATTGTGCCGCCAAAATTTTCCCCAACTTGTGCCAGTGTGAAATCCAAACTGGGCTCGTGGTCCTGCCAATTTCTGCGCGTGTTATCCTGAGGGAGTCCTTTCTGGTTTTGCCCATCTTCTCCCCTCTGTCTCGGTCGGCTCAAATCGACTCGGCTCGGCTCCACTCATTTCCCCTTGATCATCATCCTCATCCCTTGGTGTTATCTGGATTGAAACGAGTTCAGCTGCTTGTGTTGTGTGCAGCTGCTAGTGGAATTCCTGATTCAACTGGATTTTTCTGCAGTCTAAATCGTAGCTTGGAGGCATTTATTATTGCACTTGCTTCATCTCATGGCGACGGCGCTCAGCCATGTTGTTGCTTCCTGCGAAGCAGTAGTCGCTTCGACACCTTCGCGTAACTCCGTTGCGTCTTCCGCCATTACCAAGACAACGCGACTACATTTAAATCCATCCTTGCTATCCAGCAGTTTCCCGCTCCGCTCCAATACACCAAACATTAAAACATGTTCGATTTCGCGAAAGCAGGTTACCGGAGTTCGCGCGATGGCGACGGAAAGCTCGTCGTCCATCGCATCAGCGGAGGTGTCACAGGGAGATCACGGGGGGCTGAAAGTCGGTTACCACACGGCGCAAGGTCTTCGCGATAGCATGGAGGACCATCTGGTCGTGATTAGAGACATTCCCGGCGGTTTTCTCTACGCCGGCATCTTTGACGGCCACGCTGGAAGCGCTTCCGCTCGCTTTTTAAAGTGCGAGGTCACTTGATTCTTTTTCAATGCATTTTTTCCTGTCTTCTCATGTCAGTGATCCGCATCCCTCCAATCTTTGACTAAATACCAGAAAGAGAGCCTCCGAATGTGAGTTCCTTGATCGATGTTAAAATGCACATTCCAATGCGTTTTGGATTTTCTGGTAATGGTTAATGGGTGATGGGTGATGGCAGGGACGAGCTGTACATCGACTGCATGGACGCGTTAGAAGGAGGCGCGTTACTGTCGGACGAGGACCTCGATGCCGTGGAGGACGCGCTTCAAGACGCCTTTATCCAGGCGGACCAGAGGCTGCTGCAATGGTGAGTACAGCTTGCTAGTGTAGCAAGTCCGGCAATACTATACCTTGTAGCGAGACTTGATGTAACGAGGAATTGGAGGACGCCCTTCAAGACGCCTTCATGCAGGCGGACCAGAGGCTGCTGCAACGGTGAGTACAGCAACAGCTAGCAGGAACGGCTAGGTGCTACAGCTTGTGGCAAGACTTTTTGTAACGAGGAATGTGGAGGACGCCCTTCAAGACGCCTTCTTTCAGGCAGATCAAAGAATGACATGCCTTTCGAAGAAAGAGTGATTCCACAGATAAAAACAGTCGAAAAAACATAGAAATTCAATGATGGCGATCGGATTTGCGCATACTCATCCATGCAGTCTCCACATTCAGCCATTCGTGTTGACATCCGTGCATGCGTCATCACCTGTATCCCCCATGAACCCTTGCACCCATACACCTACTCTCTCCACACTGGGTCAACTGAGTTGAACCTATGCCTCTCCGTCTCCAGCGCATCCCCTCCCCTTTCCTCCTCACACGCACACTTGCACCCCCCTCCTTCTCACGCGCGCATGCACTGTTCACCATCAGGCTCGCAGAGCACAGTGAGGAGCCGGAGTCCGGGTCCACAGGCACGGTGGCGTTTGTGCGCAAGGACCGGCTCTTCATCGCTCACCTTGGGGACTCCCGCGCTGTGAGTGCTTCTAACAATGCAGGGGGCACAAACACCACCGTGCCTCCATTTTGGCCTATCAAAGGGGGTTGTGTGCCAATATGGAGGCACGGTGGCGTTTGTGCGCAAGGACAGGCTCTTCATCGCTCACCTGGGGGACTCCCGCGCTGTGAGTCGCTCTCTACTGCTGGCTTTTGAGCACGTGATGGGATGGGATGAGGACTTCCAAAGTTTGTAAGGCATGTGTTGAGATACGTCTCTCAGCAGCAGAATCAGGGTCTGCACAGAGCACTTTTACCTGTCCCTGCATTTGGTACTAGGTGCTTAGAGGAAGGTTGGAAAGTGGCACAGAGGAGCTATCGAGGGGCCATTGTAACATGGGTAGTCTTCATACCCTCCCTCTTAAAACCCCTCGCCTATTCCCCATGCTCCCGTCCCGTCCCGTCCCGTCCCGTCCCGTCCCGTCCCGTCCCGCATCATCCCATGTTCCCAACCCACCACAGATGACCTATCTAAGGGCCACCGTGGTACGTGGAATCACCATACCCTTGTCCCCCACGCCCCTTCCCCGTGCTCTCGTCCTGCATCATCCCAATCAACCTGCCTCATACGCTTCTCCCATCCTCATCCCCGCCATCCCAGGTGCTGGGGGTGGGCGGTGATACGGAGGACCTATCTCAGGACCACAAGCCCCATGGGGAGTCGCCGATTGCCAAGGCGGAGATCAAGAGGATTGAGAAGGCGGGCGGATGGGTGAGTGCAGGTGACAGGTGGTAGTGGCTGAGGGTGAGAATGGGGCCTTATTGGGAGATGGGGTGATGTGGGATGGGTGGAGAGGGGTTGGATGGAAAGGTTGATCTGGAATGGAGAAATCGGGCAATGTGCTGATGGGACGTGCAGGCATGTGATGGGAAGTAAAGGCAAGGCTTGTGATGTGAATTGCATCTCAGGCCAAGCGGGCCTGCGTGGGTGACACATGTTTTCTTTACAATCATCCTCTTCTGCTTACTGTGTGCAAATGGTCGACTGTATGTTCTGACTGATTGAATCACAGGTGAGTCAAGGCCGCGTTTGTGGAGTCATAGCAGTGTCGCGTGCCTTTGGCAATGCCAACTTCAAGACACGCCGCGAGCAGTAAGCACTTGTCGTTCAAGCACAGCTCCTGAAACCCAATTGTTCTGCACACGCTCCAGTCTCTTTTCAAGCATAATTCATGTGCTGGACTGGACCACTGTTTGGAAATCATCGGCGTGTGCTGGTTCCCGATTGTTCATAGCATGCTTCAGCCAATGGGCTATTGGCTGGAAACCACCGAACTGGTTCTCCTCATCATGAAGATGCAACACACACGTCCCCCTGTCCCGGCACCATCTGGGCTGCAGGATGCTGTCAGAGGGTGTGAAGAAGGGGCGATGGACAACCCGCTTCGTTTCCAAGTAAGTGCCTCTCACCTCCACTCCGATTCAGGAGAAGCTTAAAAACGAAGTGGGGCTCTGCATCCAAACTGCCTCTTCACATTGGCTGGTGCTTACATGCAAATGAAGCCTTTCACTACCGGTCAAGTTTTTGTTCAATATGTGTGCGTCATCATGCCAGCCTTTGTGCCGTGCCGATGATCTCAATCCTCACTGCCCCGTCACCCACAGGTCACCGTCCGTGATCTCTCCACCATGTCACCCTCCTCCTCATTCGCTTAGAGAGGATTCAGGCGCTCGTTTCTGAGCGATTGGATCTTAGCAGTGCGGGACGTGTACACTCCTGAGCTGGCTTCTGAATACTCTCTAAATTCATCTCCCTCTACCCCTTTCTCGCCATCCCCTCCCCTCTCAGGCGCTCGTTTCAGAGCGATTGGATATCAGCGGTGCCGGACGTATATGCTGCTGAGGTGGAGGAGGATGCCGAGTTTGTCATCATTGCATCTGACGGGCTCTGGGAGGGCGTGAAGAGGTATGACTCTTTGGTGATGCCCTTTGCTGGCGTTCTGACTCTGCTGGCCCTCTGCTCTGGCCTTCTGGTGTGGCCCTGCAGTGTGAACCCCTCATGTGAATCTCTCAAGTGAACCCCTCATGTGGCCCTACCGTGTTCCCTTCCGGTGTGTCTTTTGGCCGTTCAGCATTCCATAACTGCAATCATGTTACTTCTCATCTCCACGTCTATTTCTGGTGCCAGCGTCTTCCTGTATCATCCCCCATCCCTCCTCGTGTGTGGTGGCATCTTGGGGTTCCATTTCTTGCTGCAGCTCGGAAGCCGTGGCGTTTGTTCGGAAGGAGATGGAAAGCCATGGTGACATTCAACAAGCAACAGACAACCTAGCCAGTTTTGCGCTTCAGGTACTTGATACTCTCTTGTCATGTAGTGCATTGCACTCCGATTGCACTCCCATTTGCGTTGATTAATCCATCCTTTTGCTCGGTGCGACGGTGCTCCTTTCTCAGGATCGGAAAGGAGAGGACAACATCAGCATCGTAATTATTGGCTTTAAATAAACACCTGATTGACTAGGTTGCAAGAAACTATTGAGTGTCAATGTGTATGAATTATTGCAAGCCATGAGGACGAAAGTGCAGGGGTTCGATCAAAAGTTCCCTGACATTCAGGTGGAAGGAACTCCTTATAGCGCGTACCTGCTGAAGGGCATGAAATGCGGTGTGGTTCGTGAATGTGCTATGCGCTCCACCCTTTCCTCAATTGATCAATCATCCGTCTGCTGCAGAGTCCCTCCGTCGTCCCACATCAAATTATTACTATTCATTGTGGTTCTCGTTGGTTGGACACTCATCGATTGATTGCCTCTGCGATCCGCAAGGCGCTCGCGATCTGCTAGTTATTTCTGCGAGACACGCCTGCAAATTTTTGGCGTTGACAAATTTTGGGTACGCCTGTCTTGGTACGCTTCGTCATCAGCGTCTTTGTGCCGTACAAACTTCGTATCGAGTCGAACTGGCAAGAAACATCCGTTATTCACGACGCGTTAGGCCTGAAGCGCGAAAGATAACAGGATTTGGTACGCAGGCTCTAGAAGCCAGACAGCTGAACGCGACGTTTAGATCAGAAATGCGAAGAGTCCGAGACTGACCGTGGCGTTCCAGATCAAAGCGGCAGGAGACGTCACATTCCAGATTAGAGACGGCTGAACGGCAACTCTGGAAGCGCCTGGAACAGAACGTCCGGAAACAGTAAACGCTCCACTACTCACGCTGCGGCCCTTGGCCTGAACAGACACGACAGAGCGCGCCTAAAGAGGCTAGGGGCCGCAGCGTGAGTGGCGGAGGACTGGACGGCGGATCGTGGGGGGGGCGGGGAGGGGGACGACGGGTGGAGAATGGCCGGCAAGGCAGGTTCCGCGAAGCTGCGTGAGGCGTTCAAGTACTGTGTGGACCAAGTCAGGTGCGTGGATGCTGCATGCTGGATGCTGTATGGTGAAGGTTGGATGTTCATAGTTGAATGAACGAGGTACGAGGCATGGCATGAGGCATGCCATGAGGCGTGAGGCATGAGGCATGCCACACATGCTCATCCATGATTCATGAATTAGAGCACTACATCAGAGCACTGTACATGCCAGCACAGCACATGCCCACCCAATGTCACAACACCCGACCCGACTATGTGTTGCACATTTCACCGCCACGTGTGTGAAGATTTGTTTTGAGACGTCCCAAAACAAATCTTCATACACCCGACGATGTGTTGCGAATTTCACACTTATCCACACCATTGCCGACGTGGCAGGAGGCATGACTCGGAACATTACATCGGAGCACTGTACATGCCGGCACAGCACAGGCCAACTCAATTCGCGCTCAGGGCATTCAATGTCGAAACATCCCTGGTATGTCCTGCCACCCTCCTGCGTCGTGCCACCCTCTTGCCCCGTTGTCCCACTTCCCCCATCGACTATCTTTTTCTCTCAACTCTCTTCCGTTCCACTGCTCTTCTCCTTCGCAACGCCACAGATCCCTGACAGGGCGCGGGAGCAGCGTCTTGCCATCATTCGCCTGGCTTGGTGGAGGGACGCCCTCACCCGCCTCTTCCAGGTAGTGGCCCTCTACCCTCTCCGAGATGGGCATCCTTCTCCGATATGCGTATCTTTCTCCCTTCTCTAGCTTGGTGGGCGAGAATGCTGCTAACGACCGACCCTCTACCCTCTCCGAGATTGGCATCTGATAATGCTATCATTGCTAACCCCAGTCTCCATGTACACAACACACGTGCAGGGCCAACCACCCGATGACCACCCGGTGCTGGTGGCACTGGGCGCGGTGAGGGAGGCGAGGGGCATCACCAAGCCCTGGTTGATGCGAGTCATTGCCGCTCGGGTGGGTGGTGTGTGCGTGTGAGAGAGTGTGTGCGCGCGAGTGCACGTGCGTGCGTGCGTGCGTGTAACATTGTTCATTAGTAAACATCATCATTGCCCGTCATTGCTGATCATCAACATTCACCAGACTTGACCATCGTTGACCATCATTACCCATAATTGACCTTCATTACCCATCACCATGGCATCAGATGGAGGACTTGGAGCGGTCTGCCTTCCCACCCAACACGGTCGCTGACGTGGAACAGTGAGTGCAGCCGCTCAACGCAACACTCAACGCAACACCTGCACATCACTATCCGTTGACAGACAACTGCCTGAAGCACATGCGTTCTGAACCGTGCGATGATTCTTCACCACATGTGCGCGTGCATGCATGTCACGCATGCATGCCTGCCTGCCGCCCTGCCTGTTTGTCTGCATGCATGCATGGACAGGTACGCGGAGTCAACATCCTCAGCGCTGCTCTACCTCTCCCTGCAGGCGGCTGGCATCCACAGTGTGCACGCTGACCATGCCGCCTCCCACATTGGTAACCACCTGTGTAACAACATCAGTAACAGCACTTATTTTCTGTAAACTGCTGGTGGCTGGTATTCACAGCATGCATGCTGATCATGCTGCCTCCCACATTGGTAGCCTGAGACCTTGCTACTCTCCGCATTGGTAACCGCATTAATGCTCCTCACTCTCCGTCCCAGGCAAGGCGGAGGGCATGGCTCTTCTGCTGCGCGGCGCATCGTACCACGCTGCTCAAAGGCGGTCCCACATTCCACTAGACGTCGCTGCAAAGGTACAGTGCTTGAATCATTTCTAAATCTCGGTCTTGATGTCCTCAGTGCCCCTGTCACTACGATTATATTTGGTAATTATAATCGGACTTCTTTTCACGCCTCATATGCTATTCGTTACCCTTCACCTCTTTGTCTCCCACCCTCATATCTCTTCTCCTAATCCATTGCACTTTACTGCCAGCACGGGCTGGTGCATGAGGAGCTGTTTCGAGGGCGGCATCCTCCCAGCTTCAGGGAGTGTGTGTATGACGTGGCATGTGTGGCGCAAGCACATCTGCAAAAGGCCAAAACCTTGCAGTCCTCCTTGCCTCCTACAGCTCGACAACTACTCTTGCCATCAGCTGTAAGTTCTACCACCAATGACTCTTGTTATTTAATCTATATCATATATAGGGGAATTGATGGAGCATTTTGGTGGTGTTTTGCAGGTGGGTGCGAATCTTTTCCTTCACAACCTGCAGCGCCACCACTTCGATGCAATGGACCCATCGCTTCTTCGAGGAGTGTGGGGAGTGTCTCCGCTATGGCTGCACTCAAATCTGTTATGGAAATCACTACGAAAATCTGCCTTCTAGCTTCAGCTGATTGCATGTTAGGCGAATATCATATGCATTTTCAGCTGTAAGGTGTAATCTAGTGTTTTCCTTCATATTTCCTTCCACCAACCACACATAATGTTGACCAATGGCTGTGGCCGTTCAACCAATGATCAAGCTACACGTTAGCATCGAATTGACTCCCACTGTGTTCGATACGAAATTGAAATTTCACCTGTCTGACACCACACACGCCACCCTTTGGAGTCACGCGCTTGGTCAATTTGAATTCCCGAGTCCCCGACTCGCTCGAATCGACAACTCCTGTCTCCGTTTCAGCAATCGCGCGATTTTGCATTCAACTCAGCCCATTTCAACCAAGCTAGGCCCAGCCTCACCCTACCAAGAACAGCCGGACCTAGAACAATCTCGCATAATACCACCTGTTTTTTTTGGCAGTGTGTTCAGCCCGTTGCGCTGATTTCTAGTTTTCGCCAATACACCGACCGTCGGAAGCAGGTCGGAGCTTTCCAGCTTGTGTCACGACTTTCCCGTTGCGCATACTGGAGGAATAAAGCCGAGCAGCAAATACAAAAACTCCGTCTTCCAGTAAGTCTTCACCTTGCGTGAGCGCCAACTCTCCGTTGGCTAGTCTCCGTAGGAACTTCTCCCACCCGGCTAAACCCAGCTCTTCTTTCGTTCCACGCCTTTTGACGCCATCTCCTGCTGCTAATCACAGCTCCAACCTTTCACAGACAGCTTCCAGTAAGGCCGCCTTCTAGCACTTGTGTGTCTCTTCCTCTAGGTCAGCACGATGGGCTTGCGGAATAACTCACCCAGGGGAGCTTCGTTTTCCCGACTGGAGTACCTACCGCTGCTTCTCCTCTTCGTCGCGATCGCAGCAGCCCCGGCAAACGCACTCCACCGCCCCCGCCGCCTCATGCGGGGCCTGCAAGCCATTCGCGCCACGCTTCCTCTTGAATTGACGGCCACCATGGCATCGAGTTCCGCGACGCTCGGTGTGACGAAGTGGCGCCCAGCGATTCGCCGGCTGATCACGGCGATTGGATTAACACAAGCGAAGACACCCACTGCTCCCAGGCAGAACGGCGGCGCTAACGTGGCCATCGGCGGCGACAACCTAACGGTCACCCAGAAGGAGGCCGTTGCGAAGCAGGAGAGCGCGGCGCCGAGCCTCCAACGGTCACCGCCCAATACGGTCACCTCCGAGCTCCAAAATAAGAACTCCGAAGACAACACGCACGAGACCTCCGTTGAGAACAACAATGACCACGAGAAAGGCAGCGGCGGCGGCGGAGGCGGCGGGTGCTCTGGTAACAGCGACTTAGATTCTGATTTGGCGCCTCCCTCGCTCGCCTCCCCGTGCCCACACCATCCCCCTTCCGGGGGCGATCCCCATCGCGCCGATCGCCGCTCCAGCCGCCTGTCGCCGCTACCCATCGCATGTCCCGCGCGCCCCGCCATGTGCGACTTCTTCTTTGACGGCCTGACGGACGAGATACCGGTAATCCGTCTGTCCGCCGGTTCTTTTTTCGCCGGCCGGCCGATTCCCATCGGACCGTCTCCCGTCGTCGCCATGGCTGGCGGAGCCTTCGTGGATGTTTCGCGCGTTGAGGGGAACTACTCCCGCGCCGTGTGTCTGGGCGAGCCAGCTGAAAAGCCTGCACCAGTCACGGCGACAGGCACGCGGCAGGGGGAGAGCACGGACGTTTTAAAGAAGCTTCTTCAGGACCAGCTGATCCTTCCAGAAAGGATGTTTCAGCTGCGCGGGAACGGAGAACTGATGTACAGCGGTGCTGACGTGGCGGACTGGGACGACGACACGTGGCTGGATGCCGCTAAAAGCCCCGATGGCGTTACCGTAAGCGTGCAGATCGACGAAGCTACGGTAAACCTGTTTGGGGTCAATATCGAGCTTAATAATACCGAGGATGGATCCGCCACGTCGGAAAACCGCGAAGTTCCTGGAGCCGAGGCGCAGATGGCCCTGCTCGAGGCATCCTCGTTATTAACAGACCCGGCATCTTTCATGCACGATGCGTCCCCCCCGTCAGCCTCGCCGCCATCAGCAGCAGCAGCACCAGCAGCAGCGACGGCAGCAGCAGCGGCGGCGGCGGCAGCAGCAGCAGCAGCAAAGGCGGCGGCGGCGGCAGCAAAGAACGGGATTGCCCACAAGCAGCTGTTAGAATGGCCTGAGCGGGAGCCGGCTTCCGCCAGGCGCCTGGCGGAGGCGGAAGGCGCGAGCGCGAAGGGCGCGGCTGCGCAGTGGCAGGAGATGATGCTGAATGCTGGAGTCGCGGCAATCCCTGAGGCAGGGCGCCCGGCCCTCCCTCTGGTGGCGACCATTGTGGTGCCTCAAGATGGTGACGCTTCCCCTTCTGTCGGTGACGGGAGGGACGCGGGGAGTGTGGAATCGGAGGAGAAGCGCAGCTGGCTGAACCAGCCGACCAGCGGTGCTGTGGAGGGGGTGAGTGACAAGGGCACCGGGGGCGTCAGTGGCAAGGGGTCTGGTGGTGCTGCTGGTGCCGGTGCTGTTGCTGGTAAGGACAGCATGGTTCCTGGCGAGTCCAACGGCAGAAGCAGCAGTGGCAAGAGCAGTGATGGCACGAGTGACAAGATTGTAGGCAAGGTTGCAGACAAGGTTGCAGGGGTTCCAGAACAGCACCATGACTCTGAGGCTAACAGCCGCTTCTACTTCCCTTTGCACCGCCGGTGCATCTTATTCCGAGTCAAGATCGTTTGACATAATACTGACATAGCTTTTTAGTAGTATCCGACGGGGTAACAAGAATGGTGTCTCTCGCACCTGTTAGGCTGAGCTCACAAAATAGCATTATGACATGTTTGTGCTGTGGTCCCACATGATGCTTATCGAACTTTGACTTTACGTGCTGGTCATGTGTGATGGTACTGCTGGTGATGAGCCTGATGTTACATGGATCCCTGGTGAGGAAAGCTGGATCCTAACCGAGGTCCATGGGTCGGAGAGAAGGCAAGGCAAAAGAAGGTTTACCAGAAAATCACAACAATGTAAATAAAGAAGTTGCTTATTTCAATCGATGTTGCTGTTGAAACTCTGAGCAGGGCATGCTGTTGATTGTAGAGATAAAAGTGTTTTCCTTGTTCCGTACAACTTATAAACCACCAAACTTCTCATGTGATTTTTTTTGTGCGAGCTCACAAACGCGTACTCCACTGAACCTTTTCAAACCCGAAACCTGGGGAACTCCAAAACCTCCATGCACTGCCGAAGATACATTAGTATGCTCCGCTGCTGTCGCTAATCTCTAGGCGCGAAGCTAGGTAGTTTTCCAAGTGCAGGATTTGTTGCGCCTAGGCGAGAGAAAATTAGTCTCGCTAGAATTCTGTCGTAAGGCCTCCGGGTCTCGGGGAATAAACTCTGTTTTTCCGCGGAGAATTTAGTTGATTCCTAACCTGTAGCAACCTCCCTGGTTAATATTTGGCCTGACAATGAAGATCAAGGTGCTCTCGCGATCGGAAGAGCAGTTCACGCGCGAGCGAAAGCAAGATGTGACAGTGAGTCTCCATTTTGAGCGAGCAAGCTCAGGCACCCAGGGAGCAACGGACATGGACAAGGCGAGCCATAAAAGCGGAGGAGAACATCCATATCCTCGATAGAATCCTGGGTATCTTATCGGATCAATCTGCCAGAATAGTCCCCTCTTCTCGGTCCTGCCGTGAAGGCCGAAGGCTACCAACGAATTTGAGACATCTCAGAAGCGCGCGTCACCGTCTGTAACCACGCTACATCAGTGCTAGAAAGCCGACGAGGGATTGCGGGTACTGAACGCCAGCATGATTCCTGACAAGTCTCGGCGAAATTCCATGACCTCCTCTCTTTCCTCACGCTCGTTTCCTCGTTCTTGGAAGGTACACCAGAATCTCCACCCAGCTATTCACCCACTGGAGAAGGCGAAGGAGTATCAGCGCGCACTAAATGCAGTGAAGCTAGACAAGGTGTTCGCCAAGCTCACCTCTTCCACCCACCCTCCCCACCCCCCTTCTCCCTTTTCAGAAAGTACACCGGAATCTCGACCCAGCGCTCCACCCCCTGGAGAAGGCGAAGGAGTATCAGCGCGCGCTCAACGCAGTGAAGCTAGACAAGGTGTTTGCCAAGCCGTTCATGGGCGCACTCGGCAGCCACGCAGACGGCGTGTCCGCCATGGCGAGAAGCCCCGTCAGACTCAACTGCGTCGTCTCCGCATCAATGGACGGAGGTGAACCAGACCCTGAACCCAGAACCCTGATCTCTGACGTTTGAACTCTGAAATTTGTTCCTGAACCGTGAGAAGCAATAACCCTGAAGCGTACCTTTCACGACCGCTGGGGGTGCCCCTGCCATGGGGAGCAGCTGCGTTAGTAGCTAGCTACTAAGGCTCAGTTGAGTCGATGCAGCGATCCTCGCCTCCCTCGGTTTCCTGCTCTTCCTTCCCCCACCAACCGTCTTTCCCCCCTCTCCCTTGCTGTTCTTCCATCCCGCATGTCCCACTTGCTCAGATGTGCGACTATGGGACGTCCCTTACAAGTGAGTTCTGTACCCTACACACTGGACAAGATGATATTTGTTGCGTTGCGATATATTGCGCCAGACAGGGACATCGCACGATAGTCAGTCCGGTGCACCAACATTTGGTACGGTAATGGCGCGCCTATATTCTGCTTCATTCCTACCTAGGCGTGGCTAGAGTCGTATCTGTCGCTCGTCCTGTCCCAAACCCAAAGCACCTTCCCTTTCCACCTGGCGTCTGTGTGAATCTCCCTTTCTTCCTGTGACCAGGCGCACGCTGTGCCGGTTTGTGGGGCACAGCAGGGCGGTGAGGGGCGTGGCGATCTCAGCAGATGGGGAGACCATGCTGTCATGCGGCGATGACTGCACGTGAGTGTGACTGTATGGGGACTTCTGAGACGTTGCAATGCTTCTGTGCCGGTTTGTGGGGCACAGCAGGGCGGTGAGGGGCGTGGCGATTTCAGCCGACGGGGAGACCATGCTGTCATGCGGCGATGACTGCACGTGAGTGTGACTGTAGAGGGGGAGGAGCATAGGAAAATTGGCAGTGGCATGTGCGCAGCGCATGTGTTACTGTGTCAATAGCAACACAGACCATGGCCCCTCATTCCCTGGTGTATGCCCCTGCTGCCCTCCTCCCCTTATCTCCCCCCCACAGCGTGCGGCTGTGGCAGCTACCAGCGCCGGAGATCAAGGAGTTGGGGGTGGCAGGGGGGGACGAGGAGCACGAGGCCGTTGCCACCTTCCAAGGGAAAAACGCCTTCAGGTGAGCCTTCAGGTGAATATTCAGGTGAGCAGTGGACCACAAGTGGAAGGGGCGTGTGTTTGCCACAGCAGGAGCGCAGGTGGATGCGTGGACGTGAGGCCATGAGAGTCATTCCATGTCCCCATGCCATGCCGTTTTTTGCCCATTCCATTGCCATGCCCCGCACAGAGCAGTGGACCACAAATGGAAGGGGCGCGTGTTCGCCACAGCAGGCGCGCAGGTGGATGTGTGGACATTAAGAAAACGCGGTTCACTCCATGTCCCCATGTCCCTCTGTGCTCCCACGTTGCACCTTCCACTCCATCCCCGCAGAGCAGTGGATCACAAGTGGAAGGGGCGCGTGTTCGCGACAGCAGGCGCGCAGGTGGACGTGTGGGAGCACTCTCGCTCCGACCCCATAGCCACGTTCACGTGGGGCGCTGACTCCGTCTACTCCGTTCGCTTCAACCCTGCTGAGCCCGATGTGTTCGCCACCACTGGCAGGTGAGAGGAGGGGAAGGGGGGTGTGGGGGTGGGGAGAGCCTGCTACTACTCTCTTTACACTCCGACCCCATAGCCTCGTTCACATGGGGCGCTGACTCCGTCTACTCCGTTCGCTTCAACCCTGCCGAGCCCGATGTGTTCCCCACCACTGGCAGGTGAGGGGAGATGCAGTGAGGTGAGGTGAGGTGAGGTGAGGTGAGGTGAGGTGAGGTGAGGTGAGGTGAGGTGAGGTGAGGTGAGGTGGGGGCGTGGATGAAGTAGCAGGGGGCAGTATGGGGTGAGTAGAGTTGTATGTTGTCTTGTCGTGAAAAGTCTTTTGTTCGCTTGTTGTCTTCTCCTCTTCTGTTGCATATACTTCTGTTGTCTTTATTGGATTGTCCTTTTGGAGGTTGTTCATTTCAAAATGTGCCCTCCTTCTTACACCACTCTCCGCCCTTATTTTCTCTCTCTCTTCTCTTCTTTTGTTGTGCCCACCATGTGTGAGCCACCAGTGATCGCAGCATGTGCCTCTACGACCTCCGCATGTCAACACCGCTGAGGAAAGTGATCATGCAGGTGAGGTGCGGCAAGCCCGTGTGGATAAGAGGGGGGGAGTGATTACTGGCACGAAATGAAATCCTGGGGTGATCGGTGGCCGAGTAGTGCGGGGTGGGGGTCGAAGATCGTCCCAGTATACGTGACTTGCCGCTCTTTCCACTTGCGTGGTGACTTTTGAGTCGACTCAAAAGTCAATCCTTGGGGGATTGGTGGCAAAGAATTGCGGGGTCGGGTTGAAAGTCGTCCCAGTATACTTAAGTTGATTTTTGAGTCGACTCAAAAATCGCCTCATCACACGCGGATGGGGTCGAAGGTCGTCCCAGTATACTTGACTTGCCGCTCTTTCCACTTGCGTCTATGTTTCAAAATGCTCTTATCCTTGCTGTCTCTTCTCCCTCCCCCCTAACCCTTCTCCCCTCCCCCGTTCCCCTTGGCACCCCACCGTACAAAAGCGTCACTCTGATGTTCTGCTCCTCATTCCCCTCCTCCTCTCCTGCATTCCCGTCCCATTCCCCTCCCCCATTCCGTAGACCAAGACCAACGCCCTGGCTTGGAATCCACGGGAGCCTCTCAATTTCACTGCCGTGAGTGGGTGTTGGTTTGTGGGGATGGGTATTAATGGGTGGGTGGTGGTGATGGGTGTTAAAATGGTGGTGGGGATGGGTGTTTTGAAAGGGGGGGGGATGGTTTTCTGGTTTCTGCAAGCCTCACTGTGGTGAATGGTGGCGTTTCGGGGTGTGGTGCTTTTGATGAAATAATTGCAAAGCAGAGCATAAACACCCGCTGCATTTGCCACCCCCTGCGTCCCAGTGCCCTATGAGGCTATCACCCTGTTCTCTTGCTACTTCTGTCCGTCCAACAGCCTCTTTTGTCGCCATATGCTCTCACTCCCACCACCCACTCTCACTCCCTCACTCTCACTCTCACACTCCCACACACACTCACATTCTCCAATGCTTTTGCCGATCCCCATGGACCACCTGGCAGGGTGATGATGAGAACGGCAGCTGCTACTCGTATGCCATGCGGAACCTGCATTGCACCCTCGCATGCTCGCACGCCAGCCACTCACCCGGCTGCTCCCTGCTGCCCTCCCCACGGCCCATCCATCCCACCCCTGGCAGGGGAATGAGAATGGCAGCTGCTACTCATACGACATGCGCAACCTCAGCACTGTCTTGCATACTCGCAAACGCCTAGAATTTCCCTGTTTTTATTGACAATCCTTTCGCTGCCCCCCACTGCCCACTGCACACCCCACCCCCCCGGCAGGGTAACGAGAACGGCAGCTGCTACTCGTACGACATGCGCAACCTCAGCACTGCCTCTCTTGTGCACAAGGACCATGTATCCGCTGTGTGAGTCCTATGGGGCATGGGTGTTTTGAGACGTCTCAAAACATGAGTCCTGTGGAGCATGGGTGTAAGTTGTGGTGGCATCAAATCTGCAACCTCAGCACTGCCTCTCTTGTGCACAAGGACCATGTATCCGCTGTGTGAGTCCTATGGGGCATGGCGCGTGGGGCATGGGGCATGGGGCATGGGCCATGAGGCATGTGGCAATGAGCATGGGGCATGGGGCATGGGGCATGTGGCAGTGAGCATGGGGCATGGGGCATGGGGCATGGGGCATGGGGCATGGGGCATGAGTGTAACCACCACAAGCACTGCGGTGCGGTGTTCTCGCTGTCGCACAAAAGGAGTGCAGAAGGACTGTAAAAGGACTGTAAAAGGACTATACCACTGCCGTACTGTCACCACCAGCTGCTGCTTTAGAAAGCTCCCGGTTCTCTGCTTTGCCTCCAACCCACTCCTTCGTTCCCCCTGCGCGCACACCAGCATGGACATAGACTACTCGCCAACAGGAAGGGAGTTTGTCACAGGATCGTACGACAGAACTGTGAGTGCGCTGCCATGCCTTGTGCGTTCTTATGCCTTGCACCTCAACCCCTTCTCCTCTTCATTCTTTTTTTGAAGTGCCGCAAAGATAGACTTGTCACAGGATCGTACAACAGAACTGACATGCCTTATGCCATAGCCCCTTCTCCCTTCCGTTCCTCTCTCTCTCTCGCTCTCGCCGCCACTCCCTCCTTCACTCCATCTCTCCCTCCCTCACTCTCACCTTCCCTCCCAGCTTCCTTCTATGCTTCCCTCAGCCTGCAACAGAGACGTGCCAATTGACTTGCTTTCATCATACAGTGTTATCGGGTTGGGTTTGGGAGGTACCTTGTTGCAATCGCACTCACCTACTCGTCTAGTTGCAAACTTTCAGTTTCCACTTCTTCCACCTCCTGTTCCCCTCCCCCCCCGCCCCCCCCCCACCCCCCCCCCCCTCCCAACTTCCGCCCCTGCCTTCATTCTGCCCTCCCCATTCCGCTCATCTACCAGGTGCGGATATTCCCGTATGATGGCATCAAGAGTCGAGAGGTGTATCATACCAAGCGCATGCAACGGTAATCACTCACCTGCACGCGTTCTTATGAATATTGCGGTTTCGCACCTGCTGCACGCGTGTCTCCTTGTGCACCTGTAGCTGTCCCCACTCCTACCACGCTCATCTGTCGTTTCTCTCGCCCTCTCCCCCTCTCTTCCCTGCAGGGTGTTCTGTGTGCGGTTCAGTGGCGATGGTTCCTACGTGCTGTCAGGCAGTGACAACTTTTCTTCTCTTTCCTCTCCCCTCTCTTTCGTTTCTCTCTGCATCGCAGGGTGTTCTGTGTGCGGTTCAGTGGCGACGGTTCCTACGTGCTGTCAGGCAGTGACGATGCCAACATCCGCCTCTGGAAGGCACAGGCCTCGCAGCAGCTGGGCGTGCAGGTGAGATGGGCGTGCAGGTGAGATGGGCGTGCAGGTGAGATGGGCGTGCAGGTGAGATGGGCGTGCAGGTGAGATGGGCGTGCAGGTGAGATGGGCGTGCAGGTGAGCTGGGCGTGCAGGTGAGCTGGGCGTGCAGGTGAGCTGGGCGTGCAGGTGAGCTGGGCGTGCAGGTGAGCTGGGCGTGCAGGTGAGCTGCTATGGGTGGTGGTCGTGAGGTAGGCATGATAGGCGCATGCATGATGGATGTGATAGGCATGTGAAAGTGAGGTGGCTTCTGCACCGCTCCTTGCCCCGTGATCCGTGGATGGCAGGTGGAGCAGGAGAAGCGTAAAGCGGACCATTTTGCAGCACGCCCTCTCACTGCCGCTCTCTCCATCCCACCCCTCTTGCCCCTGTGTGTGTGCTGCTCCACAAATTGCAGGTGAAGCGGGAGAAGCGCAAGGCAGAGTACAACGCAGCACTGGTGGAGAGACACCAAAAGTGCCCTGTCTTCCTCTGCACTACCCCCTGCCCCTGCCCCTGCCCCCTCATCCCACCATCCCTTTGCCCCTGTGCGTGTGCCGCACCAAATCGCAGGTGAAGCGGGAGAAGCGCAAGGCGGAGTACAACGCAGCACTGGTGGAGCGGCACCAACACCTGCCTGAGATTCGCCGCATCCACAAGTGCGTGCGGGGAAGGGAAGGGAAAGAGGGGGAAAGGAGAGGAAAGAAGGGGGTAGGAGGAAAGGGGAGGGGAAAAGGGGGAAAAGTGCGGGAGTAATGGGGAAAATGGAGAAAGGGAGGAGGGTGGGGAAGGGGGAAGTGGGAGAGGAGGGACAGGGAAGGTGGGGAGTGGGGTGGACAATTTCCATGTGCTCTGTGCCGTAGCAATGCAACCATCCTTTACTCGTCCCACGAATGTCCTCCCATGCTTCCATTCCCCCTAATTTCCCTTACCTTTTACCTCTCATCTCTCCCTTATTTCCTCCCTTATTTCTCACCTTTAATGTTTCTTTCCCCAGGCACCGGCACGTGCCGTGGCCAATTCACAACGCCATCAAGCTGCGGGCCACGATGGTGGCAGCCGAGAAGCGCAATTTCCTTGTGCTCAGTGCCATGCTGCAATGCAATCAATCAGCCTACATTTGTCCCACCTAATCATGTTCAACACCCCACGCTTCCCTTCCCCCAGGCATCGGCACGTGCCGCGGCCCATTCACAACGCCATCAAGCTGCGGGCCACGATGGTGGCAGCCGAGAAGCGCAAGGAGGAGAACCGGCAGCGGTTCAAGAAGAAGAGCAAGGGCGTGGAGAAGAAGGACAATAAGAAGAAGGGCGAGCGCCGGAATAAGATCATTGCTGAGCTGGAGTAGACGCAGGGACATAGAAGGTTTTATGTTTTCGTTCAGTATCGTACGCATGGCTTCTCGGTCTAAACAAAAAAAAAATGTATATTGGCCGCAGGCAGCCACCAGAAATCAAAATGGCGTGGCAAGAAAAGAAACAGACAAAGCCACACCACACTTAAAAAATGATCCTAGATTGTTTGTACTACGGATTATCTTCACCCTGATGAGCTGAAATGAAACTGTGTAAGACTCCAAAACGAGGATGGAAGCGGCGTCCCGTCTAGTTTGAAACCACGGTCTGTCTGACACGAGCACAAAACCTCGTCAACACAGCAGGACGATGGCGTCTCGGGTCATGAGTCATGATATCCACTGCTTCTGGAGGCGCAAGTGTGATTGGCTGCAAAGTTTGTAACGAATCATACCATCGACATTATGTCATCGTGAATATCGCATAGATGTGCTCAGCCGTCAGATCATCCCAGATAGAACTCTCAAATAATCATAGGGAATCTGATCCTTAGCTTGCCTTGTCATGACTGTCGCCTTCGCGGTCCGTCGTGGGACCGCGCGGCGTCAGTCGATTAACTCTCTCACGAGGAGCATTGCAAATTTCGGTTGGTTCCGTTTTCCTGAGGAGATTAATAGTTATCAAGACACTTCTTCTCCACTCCGTACGAGAACCTCGGAGGAGGCTTGTAACGGGGATACACAGTTGGTGCCGACGTCCGGTGGAGATTCGCCGATCCGCGACGATCTCGCCCGGGATTCTCATTCTCGCTTCTGTCACTCGCAATCGCGTACACGCGAGAAACACTTATCCGCGATAGAGTATCGCTCGTTTAAGTCAAGGACGGATTGGCGGGCTGTTCACAGCGGGGATGGCGGAAGCAGTGGGGGGAACAGTAGCTGTCGGAACGTGACGGTTCCGCGCACCCCTCAGCAGTACTTTGACCTTCTGTGCTCAGGTAACACCTCCCCCTGCTGTGCTCAGGTAACACCACCCCCTGCTGTGCTCAGGTAACACTCCCCCTGCTGTGCTCAGGTAACACCTCCCCCTGCTGTGCTCAGGTAACACCTCTTCCTGCTGTGCTCAGGTAACACCTCCCCCTGCTGTGCTCAGGTAACACCTCCCCCTGCTGTGCTCAGGTAACACCTCCCCCTGCTGTGCTCAGGTACCACCTCCCCCTGCTGTGCTCAGGTAACACCTCCCCCTGCTGTGCTCAGGTACCACCTCCCCCTGCTGTGCTCAGGTAACACCTCCCCCTGCTGTGCTCAGGTAACACCTCCCCCTGCTGTGCTCAGGTTACACCTCTTCCTGCTGTGCTCAGGTAACACCTCCCCCTGCTGTGCTCAGGTAACACCTCCCCCTGCTGTGCTCAGGTAACACCTCACCCTGCTGTGAGAAGGAGAAGATGCTTCAGCCTTGCTCAGTTAACACCCCCCCCTGCTGTGGCAAGGAGCAACCGGGCAACAGCAAGGTAACACCTGAGGATGCTTCAGGTTTTCATTCCCAAATTACCCACCACTCACTTTCCTCAATCCTCCCTCAGAGCACCCCTTTCAGGTGTGTGAAGCAGGGGAGGCAGGCAGAGCGGTGATAGCAACGAGGCGAATAGCGGAGGGGGAAATGGTGCTGGCAACCACTCCTCTTGTGTCACACCCCACATTGGAACACGTTGGCAAGGTGGGTTGGTGTTGTGAGGAAAGTCTTCCTGTAATGGAAGGTGTGGGAAATGGTTCTGGCAACTACTGTTGTGTCACACCGCACATCGGAACACGTTGGCAAGGTGGGCAAGATAGACATCACAGGCCATCGCAGGGGCACTTCTTATGGGGCCATCACAGCTTTTTATGGACCACTGTCCACACACTGCCTTCTTATGGGCCACCCTTGTCGTATTTCTCGGTGTTTTCGCCTCACCTCTGAGGCTCTGCGTCTCGTCCTCCCTCTGTCGCGCCCATCGTTCCCATTTCCACGTTATATTGGCACTTGATACCACACTCCCACCACACTCCCACCACATCCCCACCACACCTTACCAGGTGTGCTACTTGTGTCTGGGACCGCTGGCAGCAAAGCAAGAGCAGCTTACGCACAGCGTGGGGGGGAGGGGAGGCGGAGGATGGGAAGGGGATCAAAGGGAGTGTGGCGGAGAGAGGAGGGGGGACGAAGGAGGTGACTATAACGAGCGGATGTTCTGCAGTAAAGCGTGTGCTGATGTGGCATGGGTAAGTGTACCCTCAGTGTGTGGGCCACACACACACGCACACACGAGAGCAAGCGCACTCAATGCATTTGTGACTGGCACCTATAACAAAACACTCACCTGACAAAGACATATATTGTGTTTCCGAGGATGCCCAAAGCACACTCAGATCTGTCTCCTCACACGTTTGTTTGGTTGTTTTTAGGTAGGCCAGTGCTTCGTGCATGCCGCACTAGTCGCTCCCTCTCGTGCCTCCCTGGCAGAATGACTTCTATGCCACGGGATGACTTTTGAGTCGACTCAAAAGCACACTCGCATCTGTCTCCTCGCACGTTTTTTTTTTTTTTTTTTTTTTTTTTTTTTTTGTTCTCCAGGCCACTGCTTCATGCATGTCTCACGTGCCTCCCCCTCCCTTGCCTCCCTGGCAGAATGACTTTTATGCCATGGAGAGCGCAGCTGATTGGTCCAACCTGCATCAGCACTGTAGGTGAGGTGAGGTGAGGGTAGGTGAGGTGACAGTAGGTGAAGTGACTGTATGTCAGCTTGGATAGAATGACTTCTATGCTGTGGAGAGCGCAGCTGATTGGTCCAACCTGCATCAGCACTGTAGGTGAGTGAGTGAGTATCGAACCGCTTAGATTGCATCATGCTGCCTGCCACTGCCCTCTGTGCCTTTCCCATCTGCAAAATTACCCCAGCAAAATGGCTAGGGTGGGTCCTGCAAAACCACCACAGGGGCCCCCATCTTCCACTCTTCCACCCATCACCCCTACCAGGATCCACTCCCTCCGCTTCCCGCTGGTGGCAAAGCGTCTCGCCTGCATGGTGCTGCCTGGTGCTGCTTCTGTTGTTGATGCTACATCCCCCTTCCCTTACCTCCCCCCTTCCTGCAGGATCCACTCCCTCCGCTTCCCTCTGGTGGCAAAGCGTCTGGCCTGCATGGTGCTGGCTGGTATGGCTTCTGCCAACGTGCTCCAACCCTTGTGCCATGTCACAGAGAGCGGGGGAGCAGCTGCCATGCCTGCTGCGGTGAGCTTCTCACCCCTTGTTCCTCAGATAGTATGGTGGTGTTCGCATGGTGCTGGCAGCTGTTACTGCCTCTGCCAATGTGCTCCAACCCTTGTGCCATGTGACAGAGCACGCTGGCCCTGCCATGCGTGCTGCGGTGAGGCCTTTTGCCAGTACGAAGCATGGTGCTGGCAGTACGAAGCATGGTGCTGGCAGTACGAAGCATGGTGCTGGCAGTACGAAGCATGGTGCTGGCAGTACGAAGCATGGTGCTGGCAGTACGAAGCATGGTGCTGGCAGTACGAAGCATGGTGCTGGCAGTACGAAGCATGGTGCTGGCAGTACGAAGCATGGTGCTGGCAGTACGAAGCATGGTGCTGGCAGTACGAAGCATGGTGCTGGCAGTACGAAGCATGGTGCTGGCAGTACGAAGCATGGTGCTGGCAGTACGAAGCATGGTGCTGGCAGTACGAAGCATGGTGCTGGCAGTACGAAGCATGGTGCTGGCAGTACGAAGCATGGTGCTGGCAGTACGAAGCATGGTGCTGGCAGTACGAAGCATGGTGCTGGCAGTACGAAGCATGGTGCTGGCAGTACGAAGCATGGTGCTGGCAGTACGAAGCATGGTGCTGGCAGTACGAAGCATGGTGCTGGCAGTACGAAGCATGGTGCTGGCAGGCGCTGCCTCTGCCTGCCAATGTGCTCCAGCTTCTGTGCCATGCCATCGTTCACCCCATTTCTTTGGGGCTGACAAGCAAGGTCGGCATGCGGGGTTGATTGAACCCGAACCCACTCGCTTCGGAAATGACTCAACTAACAGCTGAACCACCTGTTTTGAGACGTCTCAAAACACACTAACAGCTGAACCACCACTGGATGGGCAACACTGTTGCGAGCATGGATGCTGCCCTTATCCTCGCTCGCAAGAAGTCGCACGCTAACGCAAGTCTAACCATCTTACGACCTCTCCCACTCACTCTCTCCTCTCTCCCCTCTCTTTTCTGCCCTCCCTCTCCCCTCTCCGCGCCAGTGGCAGCAAGAGCATGGATACATCCACTCTGCACTCTCCTCTCTCCTCACAACAGGCAGCATGGCACAGGCAGCAGGGCAGGCCACAGTCCGATCCCTTTCATGTATGTGACGTGAGAATGATGGTCATGCTCACATGCCCACATGCTTACATGCTCACATGCCCACATGCCCACATGCTCACATGCCCACATGCCCACATGCTCACATGCTCACATGCCCACATGCCCACATGCTCACATGCTCACATGCCCACATGCCCACATGCTCACATGCTCACATGCCCACATGCCCACATGCTCACATGCTCACATGCCCACATGCCCACATGCTCACATGCTCACATGCCCACATGCTTACATGCCCACATGCTCACATGCCCACATGCCCACATGCTCACATGCCCACATGCTTACATGCCCACATGCTCACATGCCCACATGCTTACATGCCCTCATGCTTACATGCCCACATGCTTACATGCTCACATGCTTACATGCTCACATGCTTACATGCCCACATGCTCACATGCCCACATGCTTACATGTCCACATGCTCACATGCCCACATGCTTACATGCCCTCATGCTTACATGCCCACATGCTTACATGCTCACATGCTTACATGCCCACATGCTCACATGCCCACATGCTTACATGCTCGTATGCCCACATGCCCACATGCCCACATGCCCACGTGCCAACATGCTCACATGCCCACATGCTGACATGCCCTCATGCCCACATGCCCACATGCTCACATGCTCATTTTGCCTTGCCTCATCTCCCCTCGCATACTCTCCTGCCTCGTACCTCACCCTCCATCCGCCACCCCTCCCCACCAGTCTTCACCCCTCACTGGTACGCCTCGCTCCTAGCCCGTCTGCATCTCAACGCCTTCCGCATCGCGCCGCTGCCCTCACTCACCACTGCAGCAGCAGCAGAGCACTGTCGCTTCGATGCAACCACTCCAGACCGCATCTCCCTCTCCTCAGCAGCACTCTTCCGAGCGGCGAGTGCAGCAGTGACGGGCGACGAGGCGGTCGGCACGGGGGTGTACCTCCTTCCTTCTTTCTTCAACCATGACTGCGGTGCGTGCTCTCTGCTTGATGCTGCATGCTCTTTGCTTGATGCTGCATGCTCTTTGCTTGATGCTGTGTGCTCTCTGCTTGATGCTGCATGCTCTTTGCTTGATGCTGCATGCTCTTTGCTTGATGCTGCATGCTCTTTGCTTGATGCTGCGTGCTCTTTGCTTGATGCTGCGTGCTCTGCTTGATGCTGCGTGTTCTGCTTGATGCTGCGGCTCACATGCCCAATTTCTCGCATGCGTACCCATCCATCCACCCATCCACCCATCCACCTGCCGCCATTGCCAGACCCCAATCTGGACATCTCATGGCCTGCTGACTCTACAGCTGTGCTCCGAGCTGCTTTCAAATTCACATGCTTTTTCATTGACCCATCCATCCATCCATCCATCCATCCATCCATCCATCCATCCATCCATCCATCCATCCATCCATCCATCCATCCATCCATCCATCCATCCATCCATCCATCCATCCATCCATCCATCCATCCATCCATCCATCCATCCATCCATCCATCCATCCATCCATCCATCCATCCATCCATCCATCCATCCACCCATCCACCCCTGCCATCTCTCAGACCCCAATCTGGACATCTCGTGGCCTGCTGACGCTACGGCCGTGCTGCGAGCCAGACGGGATATCGAACCTGGTGAGACACTGAGACGGGTAAGCAAGTGTAAATACTGGTTTCATCTCGGCTGTCAGTGAGGGGATTCACTCTAATGGTGATCCCTGCTGCTTCTGCTGCTCCTGCTCCTGCTCCTGCTCCTGCTCCTGCTCCTGCTCCTGCTCCTGCTCCTGCTCCTGCTCCTGCTCCTGCTCTCTTTGCTCCTCCTGCTCTTGCTCCCAATTATGTTAGTACAGGTCACATTAGCACGCACCAACCCTTGCTGCCACTCCCCACATGCCCATACCTCCAGGGGAGCACCTCACAATAACGTACCTGGACAGCAGCCTCGGAAGGGAGGCTCGGCAGAGGCATCTGAAAGAGGCGTATGGGTTTGACTGCACGTGCCAGCGCTGCCAACAAGGGGATATGTAGTGTAGATACGACTTTTGAGTCGACTCAAAAGTCACCTCGTATGTTTTTTGAGAATTCTCAAAAGACACACCTCATATGGGTTTGAATGCACCTGCCAGCGCTGCCAACAAGGGGATACGGTATGTATTGTAGATACCGTAACTGGTATGATCACCGAATCACTGTAGTTTGAGTTGCAGGCCCATTGCTATACTCAATCAGACATTTGTTTGTTTTTTGTTTGATCATACCGTCATCGCCCGGATAGTAGACAGTGTTGAATAGTAAACAGGGGTTGTCTATTATCCGGGTGTCTCTTATAAACAGGCTAGCCTCATTATAAGTCACCTATTTGTGTGTACGAGATAAGACATATGTGTTTTACCATCGAACTGCAATATATTATAGTGAAACTTAGAATACCGAGTACATTTTTACCCTTGCGATGCGCGAACTCTTCCACGTGCTGGCTCAGGTACTACCAAATTTGCCTCTGCAAGTATTCTCCATGACGTGGCTTCCCGAACAATGGTTGCCGAAGTGGCACCTTCGCAACATCCACACTCATTATGAGGAACTCTTGCTAAGATGTGTAAGAATATTCCTAGGTAGTTGACACCCAAAACCTCCCCAAATACAAGATAACCCAAGCATTTTTTCTAGTGTACGAGATAAGACATATATGTCTACTATCCGGGCGATGACAGTATATCTATTTCAAGTTGGCCACTCACACGTGTGCAAGAGTCGTGCTCCATTGAATAAGTTTAAGAATAATTATATACTTTTACTGAAATAAAATTTCGAGACATGGGACATGGAAGAGGACTCTCCAGGCAAATACCAAAGGTGTTAACAAGACATTGACACACAATACATGTGGTGTGGATTCAAATCAACCTACAAAAGCTACTCATATAAAAACATCCCCTTTCTTTTACCACTGCCAGTGTACCATGTAGTGAAAAGATGACTCAACTTCACCCCCCTCACACTTCTAAGGAACCAGGCTACACTAAACAGTGTAGTGTGTACTGATCTCGGCGCCAAAAACACTCCCAAATTCCTGTTACTTCGCGCCGCCACTGCCAAACGGTTATACACAGTATAACCGACTGAAAAAACAGCATCAAGCTCTTGCCGAGAGCAAAAATTCTGCCTCCACCTTACGTTATCCCACGCGTGCTGCCGTGCCAGTACACTTGCTCTTTTTTGTAGTATCTGCCCGTCGAGACACCTTTGCGAGTGCACTAGATCCTCGCTAGGGAGCTGCTGCTCGTACTGTATAAAGCGCCAGTCGAAGAAGGAATGGAAGAGGAAGAGCGGCGTGGTGACCCGTGCTAGGGTGTGTTCTGGGAAGAAACAGACCCAGTTGTCCCTCACTTGTGACCCTGAGGGGGAGGGAGGGAATGGAATGGGATAGGAAGTGGGGTGTGGTGGTGACCCGTCCAAGGGTGTGTTCTGGGAAGAAACAGACCCAGTTGTCCCTCACTTGCGCACCTGAGGGGGAGTGAAGGGATGAGAGGAAGTGCGAGAAGTGAAGATGCAGGGATGGAGGCACTTCAGAACTAACCTTCAATGGAAAAAGCAGAGGGTGGCTTAAAGCTCGCGGCCCAAATTGTTCAACCTTAGTAAGGTTGACCTTTGGTTGGCAGGAGAAGAAGTTGACTTGTTGGGAGTTGGGCTGTTTCCTTTCGCCCAGTTTCGCGCTAGACCCTTGGGGTTTTCGTTGACACGGCAAACCCCTGGGAGCAACCTGGGTTTGCTTCGAGAGTCCCAAATTGCAATCAACATATTGTTGTTGTTCCCTGCTCTCCCATTCGACAAAAAATATCTGGCCAATCAGATTGCATCTCACTTCTCGTAACCACCCTTCGCAACCCAAACAGCACTCAAAACATCACCCCCGTCAACCTTAGTAAGCTTGGCCAGCGCGCCCCGCAATTTGGGCCGCGAGCTTTAAAGGGAGGTGGGCAAATTCTGAGACGTCTCAACATCAAAAGAAAAAACTGAGACGCCTCAAATGCAGAGGGTAACTTTGAGGGAGATGGGCAAGTAAATTACTGCCATCCACCACCCGCCAGAGAACACATATTTATGTTGCTTTCACCTGGTAAATGAACATCCAGTTTTGCTTTCACCTGGTAAATGAACCTCCAGTTTTGCTTTCACCTGGTGACATGACATGACCCCCCAGTGTTGTTTCCACCTGTTTCCACCCTGTGCCCATTCTGTTTTCACCTGGTACGTGGTATTTTCATGCTGTTTTCACCTGAAGGGCATTTGGGGACTTCAATGCGGTGCAGAGCGGTGAGTTGCCGAATGTACTCTCGCCAGGAGTACACCCCAAAGCGGTCCTTGGCGTCTGCAGGGAGGGAGGGGAAGAGAAGGGGAAGGGAGGGGAAGAAAAGGGGAAGAGGGGGGAGGGGGGGGGGGGGGGGGGGGGGGGGTGTGACATTTTCAGTCGACCCAAAGCGGTTGCCACAAAATCACAAAGCTCACCAATGAGGCACAGCGCTTCACTCACCAACGAAGAAGCCGGAGTCGGCGAGGCACTTGGCCTTGGCGCGGGGGAAGGCGGCAGCGAGGCGGTCGCAGTGCATGATGATGGCATGGCCGCCCGCTGAGCTGCCCGAGAAGAGCACATGCGACGCCGCCCCCATGCCCCACCTTCTGCGCAGATCTGCAAAAACGATGGTGTTACAGGAGGGTGGAGATGGGTGAGAGGCGGTTGACATCATGATGGGTGGGAGGCGGGTGGGACGCCTGCAGAGCTGCCGGAAAAGAGATTGTTCGACGTTGCCCCGATCCCATGCCTCCATACTCCCCCCCCCCTCCCTCTCTCCTTACCCTCCCCACTCCCTCCTCACCGGTGATAATATCATCCAGAATCTGCCGCCCCTGCATGTACACAGATGCGCCCTCCCCCAGGTCCGCCCTCCCCCGCGTGCTGCTGTAGGCGCCACCATCACAGTACACCACCCACACCAGGTTCCACGCGTGAAACACCGGGTTGGCTGCGCTGTCCTGGGATAAAAGCCCTCCCAGCTGTGGGTATTCCTCAGATGCCTGATGACAGGGTACGGTGGGGTGGGTGGGGTGGATTTGGGTGGGGTGCAGTGCGGTGCAATGCGTTTCTCAGGCGCCACCATCACAGTACACCACCCACACCAGGTTCCACCCGTGAAACACCGGGTTGGCTGCGCTGTCCTGGGATAAAAGCCCTCCCAGCTGTGGGTATTCCTCGGACGCCTGATGACAGGGTACGGTGGGGTGGGTGGGGTGGATTTGGGTGGGGTGCAGTGCGGTGCAATGCGTTTCTCAGGCGCCACCATCACAGTACACCACCCACACCAGGTTCCACCCGTGGAACACCGGGTTGGCTGCGCTGTCCTGGGATAAAAGCCCTCCCAGCTGTGGGTATTCCTCGGACGCCTGTTGGGGAGAGAGAGAGAGGAGGGAAAGTGGGAGTTGACTTTAGAGTCGAGTCACCACCCACACCGGGTACCATGAGTGGAACACGGGGTTGGCTACGCTAGCTTGGGATAAATTGCCGCCCGGCTGTGGGAGGTCGGGGAAGACAGAGGAGAGTGGGGAAGAGGGGATAGGAGAGGGAGGAGTAAGAAAGGGCCGGAGAGAGTGAATGGGAGTGGAAGAGAGTGAGTGGGAGTGGAACACGGGGTTGGCTGCGCCGTCCTGAGACAGGAGCCGCCCTAGCTGAGGATAGGACTCAAATGACTGGGGAGAAGAGGAGGGGGTGGAGAGATGGAGAATAGAGACCAGGGAGAAGAGGGGATGTGTCACTAACATCGCTGATTTTTCCGCCGTTTTCAACGACTGCGGGGAGGCGTGTGGCCCAGGGAAGAAAGGCCGGGGAGTGCGAAAAGGAGGGGAGAGGGGAAGGGGGGGAAGATCTCCACTCACGTTGTTGATTCTTCCGCCGTTTTCAATGACAGCGGGGAGGCGAGTAGCCCAGAAGCGCGAGGAACCGAGCGGAGAGTTGGCGCGCTCGAGGCACTCGCGCGGGGAGAAGCACCAGCCGCCCGTGGGGAGATGCACGTGCCACTTGCGCCTCCCCGCACCAGCCCCCGCGCGGAAGTAGTACGCGGGGGGACTGAGAGGCGGGAAGTGGATTAGGGGGGGAAGGGGGAGAGAGGAGAGGTTGGGGGAAGGGAGGGAATGTGGGGTGGAAGGGGGTTGGAGGTGGTTGGAAAATATCGAAGGAAATTATTCAAATGGAAAGGGGAGAAGAGGGGAATTGGGACGACGGAGAGAGCCGTTATACGACCTAGAAGGTCCAATCACCGTCCGGAAGCATGGTAATGTATGCGCAATATGGATTATAATAAATTATACGCACCTCCCGTCGAGGCATTTTGAGTTGTACGCGTTACTAGGCAGGAAGACGAGGCGAGTGGCGGATTTGAACCGATTCGCTGACTGCACTCCGAAAATGGAGAGGGGTAACGCGAGGAGCAGCGCGAGCAACAGCGGGAGGACTCTTAATACGGGCGAGAAAGCGGGGACGGCGACGAGTAACATGACCGCCGCGGATATCGGCGAAGAGATCGCGGAGAAAGTACTTTCTTTGAGTCGACTAAAGAGTAGAAGTGACTGCGGAGGAGTTGTTTCACTGAAACTGTGGAGATCGCCGTTAACTGAAGCGCTTGGACTTCCGAGGTCCAACCCGACACGTATTTGGTCGCAAATAGTGTCTAATAGCTCGTATGGCCATATGTTTTGAGGACTTCAATGCGGTGAACCACGGTAGAAATAGACTCTAGGGAGTCCTAGAGGTGAAATAGTTCTGGCCGATCCCGCGTTTCCGCTGAGCCAAATCAGTCTGGACGAGTGTGGTTGAGTGACATGTTTCGCGTTCTAGCGCGGATCGATGGTTTGCGTTTCGGGAAATCTAGGAATAAAGGGTCAACGATCTCAATAACTACGATCGCCGCAGCTACCGTCCTTGGATGGCGAGTAATTCGGCGAACCGGCGAACAGAATAGGGAGCAGCAGAAGCAGAGTTAGTTGGGTGGGCGGCGAACGAAAGCCGCATTTCTTGGAGGTGGAAGGTGGGGAAAGTTGTAGAGAGGGGAGGGAGGGAGATGGAGGTAGATGAAGCAAGGGAAAGTTTGATAACACCAAAACATCTCCAGGTTTTGTTGGTTTGAGAAGGGCAGGAATGGGTGGGGTTGGGTAGATAGTCACTAAATGCAGGAGCACTGGAATGTGCGCCGCAGATGCGACAGGGTCCCATGAGCATTCTGTAGATTTGCATCCGCGGCTCGCTAATGTCCGACCGACATGTAGGCCCTGTTCGGTAGCAAAAATGCACATTTTAGGGAAGCAAGGTTCGGAACCGAGCTGGAGGTGTGGTTCCGAACCTTCAAACCTGTTAGAGCAAATTCATTTTTTTTGCCCGTGAAGTTCTGACAGCTCGGATACACCTCAGCAAAAACTAGCAGGTCGCCGCACTGTGCGCACAAAAGACAAACCATATCGACCTGAATGTAAATCTCAACGGCCAACATTACCAGTTGTACATTTCCACGAGAACACCCATTGGTTTCCTCGAAATTGCGTTTTGGGGCAAACTGACCAGATTCTGGGGCAACAAATAAAACAGCAACTGAAAATGGTCGTTTTGAAACTAAACCGTCTGTTCTGGCCATCGCCTCCCTTTGTTGGAAGATTTGCCCGTGGTTCACTGTAGCGTGGCCCGAGCGTCAACACCTTCGCCGAAGCATTTGCAGGCGAGGGCGGTGCGACAAAATTTCGCTACTGGCGCATCGTGACTAAAAGCGCTGAAACTGTGCAAAGGGCCTCAATCAGGCTTCACATACAGGCTGAGTAAAAATGAACACAAGAACTGGAACCCAAGTTAATAACGATTACAAATCCTACTCATGCAGGTAAATTCCTTTATCTCTGCCGAGGAACCATCTATTGAATATCTTGTTCAGTTCCGGCGCTCCAATATAAGCCCTGAACCAGCTTGAGTAGAACACTACTGTGTGCCCCATTCCGGGCGCCAGCACCACCCCCAAATTCCTCTTTCCCCGCGCCGCTTCCGCCAAATACCCATACAGCAAAGATGCCATAGAAAACACCGCGTCGACCTCCTGAGGCAGGCAAAACGACGGGTTCCAGTCGAGACCCCCCCACGCATGCTCGCGAGCCACGGCACTGGCGTTTGGCAGGAGGATCTGCATGGTGAGGCAGTTTGTCTCGTACTGGATCTGGGTCCTGTTCCTAGGCAGCTGATTTTCGTGGAAGATGACACGAGGGTCGAAGTGAAACTGGAAGAGGAAGAGGGGTGTGGTGATCTGAGGGAGGGTGTTTTCCGGGAAGAAGCAGACCCAGTTGTCCTTCACTTGTGCTCCTGATGGGGGCGGAAGGAAGGGGGGGAGGGGGGAGTGGGGGAGAAGGGGAGCAACATTAACTTTGGGTTGACTCGAAAGTCACAATAAGTCAAGTTACAGTCAACACAAGAATTTCCTGGTACTAGGGTTTACACCTGATAAACACCTGACCACTCCCGTTTACACCTGGAATATACGTGGTCGCCCTGTTTCCACCTGAGAATCACCTGGTAGTCCCATTTCCACCTGGGGATCGCCCTGGTGCATAGCTCTCACCTGCTGGGCAGTTGGGGACGTTGATGCGGTGCAGAGCGGTGAGCGCCTGAACCCTTCCTCTCCAGAAGTTCTGTCCAAAGCGGTCCTTGGCGTCTGGCAGGCAGCAGCAGGGGGGAGAGGGAGTAAAAGAGGGATTACAAGAGTGGGTAATCAGTTTTTAGGCGCTTCAAATCTTGAAGGCAGCAGCAGGGGGAAGGGGGGGTAAAAGAGGGATTACAGGAGAGGGTGGATCAGGAAGGCTGTGTAAATCATGAGGGTTTGGACGGATCTAGAGCAGGTGTGCAAGACCGAGAAGGAGCAGGAGCAGGAGCGCACTTGCCACACACACGCAAAAGGAGAACCTCTGACACAAGCAGAGGGGTGTGGAGTCACTTTTGAGAATCCTCAAGCAGCGTGAGACTGCGTGCCCTTATGAGCAGTCACTCTTGAGAACTCTCATAAGGGCAGGCAGGCAGTCTCACGCTGGCAGCCCAAAGCATCCCAGAGGCTTCTGAGAATTCTCATAAGGGCAGGCAGGCAGTCTCACGCTGGCATGGCAGCCCAGAGCATCCCAGAGGCTTCTTGCAAGGCACAATCCAGAATACCAAAGGGCCTTACGCGATGCTTGTAGGGCCCAGCCCAGGGCACCATTCAAGGAGCCCGAGCCCAGGGCACCATTCAAGGAGCCCGAGCCCAGGGCACCATTCAAGGAGCCCGAGCCCAGGGCACAATTCAAGGAGCCCGAGCCCAGGGCACCATTCAAGGAGCCCGAGCCCAGGGCACCATTCAAGGAGCCCGAGCCCAGGGCACCATTCAAGGAGCCCGAGCCCAGGGCACCATTCAAGGAGCCCGAGCCCAGGGCACCATTCAAGGAGCCCGAGCCCAGGGCACCATTCAAGGAGCCCGAGCCCAGGGCACCATTCAAGGAGCCCGAGCCCAGGGCACCATTCAAGGAGCCCGAGCCCAGGGCACCATTCAAGGAGCCCGAGCCCAGGGCACCATTCAAGGAGCCCGAGCCCAGGGCACCATTCAAGGAGCCCGAGCCCAGGGCACCATTCAAGGAGCCCGAGCCCAGGGCACCATTCAAGGAGCCCGAGCCCAGGGCACCATTCAAGGAGCCCGAGCCCAAGGCACAATTCAAGGAGCCCGAGCCCAGGGCACCATTCAAGGAGCCCGAGCCCAGGGCACCATTCAAGGAGCCCGAGCCCAGGGCACCATTCAAGGAGCCCGAGCCCAGGGCACCATTCAAGGAGCCCGAGCCCAGAGCACCATTCAAGGAGCCCGAGCCCAGGGCACCATTCAAGGAGCCCGAGCCCAGGGCACCATTCAAGGAGCCCGAGCCCAGGGCACCATTCAAGGAGCCCGAGCCCAGGGCACCATTCAAGGAGCCCGAGCCCAGGGCACCATTCAAGGAGCCCGAGCCCAGGGCACCATTCAAGGAGCCCGAGCCCAGGGCACAATTCCAGTGCACCAACAGAAACGCAGCGCTGACTGACCGACAAAGAAGCCCGAGTCAGCGAGGCAGGTGGCTTGGGCGCGGGGGAAGGCGGCAGCGAGGCGGTCGCAGTGCATGATGATGGCATGGCCGCCCGCTGAGCTGCCCGAGAAGAGCACATGCGACGCCGCCCCCATGCCCCGCCGCCTGCGCAGGTCTGCAAAAACGACGGTGTGATAAGAGGGTGGAGATGAGTGGGAGGCGGTCATAAGGGGGAGAAAGAGGGTGGGAAGTGGTGGCAGTGCATGATGATGGCATGGGCACAAGAATCCAAATTCATGTCGGGAGTAGCATAGCAGCATGGGCGAGCACAGCTGCCCGAGAAGAGCACTTGAGACGCCGCCCCCATGCCCCTCCTCGTGCGCAGGTCTGAGGTGGTGTGGGAGGGAGGGAGAGAAGGAAGGAGGAGCTTATGTGGAATAGGGGGGGTGAGGCAGAACTAGCGAGCAGGAGGGCGACAGCAGAGCGGATGAGTCATCCCCCCCATTCCCTCCTTAGCCATCCCCCCCCCCTCTTCTCCCCTCCAAATACACCATTCCCCCCCCCCTAGCCACCCTCCCCCAGCGAACCATGAAATATTGCGGCCAATATCGCCTGCCCCTGCATGTACACAGATGCGCCCTCCCCCAGGTCCGCCCTCCCCCGCGTGCTGCTGTAGGCGCCACCATCGCAGTACACCACCCACACCAGGTTCCACCCGTGAAACACCGGGTTGGCTCTCTTTCTCCGGGAGAGCAAGCCGCCAAAATGAGGGTATTCCTCGGATGCCTGGTGGAGGAGAGAGGGATTGGGAGGGGGGAGTGGGAGTAAGGAGTGGTTGGCTGCGGTGTGCTGGGAGAGTTGAGGATATTCCTCGGACGCCTGGTGGGGGGATAGAGGGACGGTGGGGATGAGGGGACAGGAGGGGTGAGTGCGAGGAAGCCGTCTGGCCCAGAAGCGCGAGGAGCCGAGGGAGAGAGGGAGAGAGGGAGAGAGGGAGAGAGGGAGAGAGGGAGAGAGGGAGAGAGGGAGAGAGGGAGAGAGGGAGAGAGGGAGAGACTGTGGGTCGGCACTTGGAGTGATATGGCACTCACATTTTTCACCATCCCGCCGTTTTCAACGACGGCGGGAAGCCGGCGGGCCCAGAAGCGCGAGGAGCCGAGGGAGGAATTGGCGCGCTCTAGGCAGTCTTGTGGGGTGAAGCACCATCCGCCCGTGGGGAGATGTTAGGGTTGGTTCGATGAACCACGAAACCTACGGCGAGATGCGGAATGACGGCGGAATGGAGTGCGTGGGAGATTTTAGATCTAAGACGGTGGAAATCGACCTACGGTGGAGAATAGAAGCTACGGCGTGAGAAGCGGGAAGGAAATCGAGAAGGAATGTGCAGGAAGGAGGAATAGAGAAGGAGAAGCATCAAGAATGAGATCGACGGGGGAAATTGTGGTTCAAGCTTGAGGCGCGTTCGAGAAGGTTCGAGATTCGGACTCAAGAAATGTTCGGTGCATTCGGTTCGGTTCCGTGTGCGACTCGTGGTGAAACGAGGCGCACGCGGTTACTTGGGAAACAAGTGAAGTTACGAATCGCATTTTGTGACTTGCTTGACTATAAAACTGCTTGTACTCATTCTGGAAATCACAACATTGAAACCAATCAGATTCTGGAAATTGCTGAAGTGTGTATTGACAACTTCAAGCAGAGCTGCGCATATCGTTGGATTTGGGAGATCGTGGAGAACACGATAAGCAATAGCAAGTAGACTATTGCCGACTAGGGTGTTTACGATCCTAAGAGGAGATGCACGTGCCACTTGCGCCTCCCCGCGCCCCTCCCCGCGCGGAAGTAGTACGCGGGGGGGCTTGGGTGGGGAAGGAAAGGGGAAAGAGGGAGAATGGGAGGAAAGGTAGAGAGATATGTGCAAGGCGCCCTTGGGATTGCCTTGTGAGGGTGGGGGGAAGTGGCGATGAGAGGGTTTGGTTTTCCATGTTCAGCTCTCATCAACCCATTCACACAGAATCATGTCCCTCCCATCATGGAATATTCGCAATCGCCAAGGAATCAGGTTTCCTTTTGCGTTAAATGATCGTAGCCGTGCGGAACGACAGTGGCGGATTCGATACTAAGGCGCTTCAGAATTAGTTTAGAGGCGCCTAGTATACATTCGGAATGAAAATCAATATGGAATTTGACACGATGGAGATACTAAAATCACTCTTGAGAATTCTCCAAAATGAAAATCATTATGGGTTTTTACACGATGGAGGAATCGTCCTTCCTTCCACCGGCGGCCGCACCTGCCGTCGAGGCATTTCGCGCCGTGCGTTTTGTTGCGCAGGACGACGAGGCGCGTCGCATTACCGGATTCTACGCGTTTCGCTCGCTCCGCCGCCGCGCACAGAGGGCGGGGCGGCGCCGTGAGGAGCAGCGCGAGGAGCGGGAGGAGCAGCGTGAGAAAGGGGGGGAAGCGGGGGCAAGCGCGGCGGGCGGAGGTGAGAAGCGCGAGCAACGCAATGACTGACATTGGCGGATCAGGCCCGGGGGGTTGGGGAGGGGCGGGGAATTTTCCGCGAGAAGCGCAATTCAACTCCGAGCTGTTGATCGAAACAGCGTGAGATAGTAGTTCTCTCAACTCGGAAGTAATCCTTGCTTTTGACGGAGCAACCGCGCGGAATACTCACCGCAGAGGTGATTGCCGGCTCGAGACGAGCCGTCTGACCTACACCCATCCGACTGGGGGCGGGCGGCGGTGGGGGGCGGGTTTGGTCAAACGCGTAAGGGGCTGGTGGAATGCTCGCGCAGACGTGATAGCCGATTCGAGATGAGCCGTCTGGCGGATCTGTCCAGTCCAGATGGGAGTTTTAGGACTCGTTGTGTGGTACTGTACCGTACTGTACCGTACTGATGCGTCTTTTTTTCCGGAAACAGTGGCAGCCGTCTTTTCACTCACTGACAGCAACCTACACTCTAGTATAAGCGGATCAGCGACATGTGGAAAATTGAGTTAGGTTTGCGCACGAGGGGGGGATAATGGCAAATGTGACATGCATCCATGGCGTGGGGCCTGAATTGGTTGTGATCGCCCGCCGCAAACTGCAAATCAGGCGAATTTGCAACTTCGCTAATTTCTGTGGAGTGGAGAGGAGAGCATTGCTGGCGCCTTGTCGCGAAATGGACCACACACATGCATCGTAGCGTACCCTTGAAGGCGCTGCGAGATCAGACTGCTGCACCGTGAGATTGGATAAAAAAAAGCAAAGCCTCTTGGTTACAAGGTAACTGTAACGGGAGACAACCCCACTCGTTACCGGTTCACGAACGATTGCAAGTATTGGGCTAGTTTGGGGAGGAGCTCGCTACTCTGTACAAGGCCGCGCTGTATATTTTGCAGGCTGAAAAACATGGTATCGGTTCATGTGTGTGTATAGATCATGTGATAAGGTTATTTCTTCAATAAGATGTAGGTGTTTGCATTACAAGCATTTATATTCGTATCTAGACACTTTACAACCTACGATGCTTCCCTACCCTTTATTTTGGGCAAATCGTGTGTTGGAAACAAAAAAAACATAAAAAACATTACTACTCGTGCAGAAAACTACCCTTTTTACTACTAACAAACCATCTATTGAATATCCTGTTTAATTTCGCCCCTCTTATGGCCGTCGTGAACCATCCCCGATAAAACAACGCCGTGTGCCCCAATCCCGGTGCCAGCATCACCCCCAAATTCCTCTTTCTCCTTACTGCTCCCGCCAATGACCGATACGACAAAGACGCCATAGAAAACACCGCATTCACCTCCTTAGGCAGGCAAAATTTCGGGTTCCAGTGGAGCCCGTCCCACGCTCGCTTGCGAGCCACGGCACTGGCGTTTGGCAGGAGGATCTGCATGGTGAGGCAGTTTGTCTCGTACTGGGTGCTGTTCTCTGGAAGCTGGTTTTCCAGGGAGATGAGGCGGTAGTCAAAGTGAAACTGGAGGAGGAAGAGGGGAGTTTTGATCTGGGGAAGGGCGTGTTCGGGGAAGAAGCAGACCCAGTTGTCTCTCACTTGTACTCCTGAGGGGGTGGGAGGTTGGGAAGAGGGCGATAGTAAGAGGGTGGGGTGGGGTTACGACTGAGTCAACTTAAAAGTCACTACAAGTCAACTTCAAAGTCACATGGTACTCATATTTGCAGCTAAAATTACCTGATATTTCGTGTTCACACACCTGAAAATCACCTGGTAGTCCTATCCTATTTTCACCTGAGGGTCGCCTGTTGCAAAGCTTTCACCTGCCGGGCATTTGGGGACGTTGATGCGGTGCAGAGCGGTGAGCTCCCGAACCCTATCTCGCCAAGAGTACTGGCCGAAGCGGTCCTTGGCATCTGGCAGGCGGGCAGAAGGAAAGGGACGGGCAAGTCCCTGGTTGAAGGAAAGGGAAGGGCAAGTCCCTGGTTGAAGGAAAGGGAAGCGCAAGTCCCTGGTTGAAGGAAAGGGAAGTGCAAGTCCCTGGTTGAAGGAAAGGGAAGGGCAAGTCCCTGGTTGAAGGAAAGGGAAGCGCAAGTCCCTGGTTGAAGGAAAGGGAAGCGCAAGTCCCTGGTTGAAGGAAAGGGAAGCGCAAGTCCCTGGTTGAAGGAAAGGGAAGGGCAAGTCCCTGGTTGAAGGAAAGGGAAGCGCAAGTCCCTGGTTGAAGGAAAGGGAAGGGCAAGTCCCTGGTTGAAGGAAAGGGAAGGGCAAGTCCCTGGTTGAAGGAAAGGGAAGGGCAAGTCCCTGGTTGAAGGAAAGGGAAGGGCAAGTCCCTGGTTGAAGGAAAGGGAAGGGCAAGTCCCTGGTTGAAGGAAAGGGAAGGGCAAGTCCCTGGTTGAAGGAAAGGGAAGGGCAAGTCCCTGGTTGAAGGAAAGGGAAGGGCAAGTCCCTGGTTGAAGGAAAGGGAAGCGCAAGTCCCTGGTTGAAGGAAAGGGAAGGGCAAGTCCCTGGTTGAAGGAAAGGGAAGGGCAAGTCCCTGGTTGAAGGAAAGGGAAGGGCAAGTCCCTGGTTGAAGGAAAGGGAAGGGCAAGTCCCTGGTTGAAGGAAAGGGAAGGGCGAGTCCCTGGTTGAAGGAAAGGGAAGGGCAAGTCCCTGGTTGAAGGAAAGGGAAGCGCAAGTCCCTGGTTGAAGGAAAGGGAAGGGCAAGTCCCTGGTTGAAGGAAAGGGAAGGGCAAGTCCCTGGTTGAAGGAAAGGGAAGGGCAAGTCCCTGGTTGAAGGAAAGGGAAGGGCAAGTCCCTGGTTGAAGGAAAGGGAAGCGCAAGTCCCTGGTTGAAGGAAAGGGAAGGGCAAGTCCCTGGTTGAAGGAAAGGGAAGGGCAAGTCCCTGGTTGAAGGAAAGGGAAGGGCAAGTCCCTGGTTGAAGGAAAGGGAAGGGCAAGTCCCTGGTTGAAGGAAAGGGAAGGGCAAGTCCCTGGTTGAAGGAAAGGGAAGGGCAAGTCCCTGGTTGAAGGAAAGGGAAGCGCAAGTCCCTGGTTGAAGGAAAGGGAAGGGCAAGTCCCTGGTTGAAGGAAAGGGAAGGGCAAGTCCCTGGTTGAAGGAAAGGGAAGGGCAAGTCCCTGGTTGAAGGAAAGGGAAGGGCAAGTCCCTGGTTGAAGGAAAGGGAAGCGCAAGTCCCTGGTTGAAGGAAAGGGAAGGGCAAGTCCCTGGTTGAAGGAAAGGGAAGCGCAAGTCCCTGGTTGAAGGAAAGGGAAGCGCAAGTCCCTGGTTGAAGGAAAGGGAAGCGCAAGTCCCTGGTTGAAGGAAAGGGAAGGGCAAGTCCCTGGTTGAAGGAAAGGGAAGCGCAAGTCCCTGGTTGAAGGAAAGGGAAGGGCAAGTCCCTGGTTGAAGGAAAGGGAAGGGCAAGTCCCTGGTTGAAGGAAAGGGAAGGGCAAGTCCCTGGTTGAAGGAAAGGGAAGCGCAAGTCCCTGGTTGAAGGAAAGGGAAGGGCAAGTCCCTGGTTGAAGGAAAGGGAAGGGCAAGTCCCTGGTTGAAGGAAAGGGAAGGGCAAGTCCCTGGTTGAAGGAAAGGGAAGGGCAAGTCCCTGGTTGAAGGAAAGGGAAGGGCAAGTCCCTGGTTGAAGGAAAGGGAAGGGCAAGTCCCTGGTTGAAGGAAAGGGAAGCGCAAGTCCCTGGTTGAAGGAAAGGGAAGGGCAAGTCCCTGGTTGAAGGAAAGGGAAGGGCAAGTCCCTGGTTGAAGGAAAGGGAAGGGCAAGTCCCTGGTTGAAGGAAAGGGAAGGGCAAGTCCCTGGTTGAAGGAAAGGGAAGCGCAAGTCCCTGGTTGAAGGAAAGGGAAGGGCAAGTCCCTGGTTGAAGGAAAGGGAAGCGCAAGTCCCTGGTTGAAGGAAAGGGAAGCGCAAGTCCCTGGTTGAAGGAAAGGGAAGCGCAAGTCCCTGGTTGAAGGAAAGGGAAGGGCAAGTCCCTGGTTGAAGGAAAGGGAAGGGCAAGTCCCTGGTTGAAGGAAAGGGAAGGGCAAGTCCCTGGTTGAAGGAAAGGGAAGGGCAAGTCCCTGGTTGAAGGAAAGGGAAGGGCAAGTCCCTGGTTGAAGGAAAGGGAAGGGCAAGTCCCTGGTTGAAGGAAAGGGAAGCGCAAGTCCCTGGTTGAAGGAAAGGGAAGGGCAAGTCCCTGGTTGAAGGAAAGGGAAGGGCAAGTCCCTGGTTGAAGGAAAGGGAAGGGCAAGTCCCTGGTTGAAGGAAAGGGAAGGGCAAGTCCCTGGTTGAAGGAAAGGGAAGGGCAAGTCCCTGGTTGAAGGAAAGGGAAGGGCAAGTCCCTGGTTGAAGGAAAGGGAAGCGCAAGTCCCTGGTTGAAGGAAAGGGAAGGGCAAGTCCCTGGTTGAAGGAAAGGGAAGGGCAAGTCCCTGGTTGAAGGAAAGGGAAGGGCAAGTCCCTGGTTGAAGGAAAGGGAAGGGCAAGTCCCTGGTTGAAGGAAAGGGAAGGGCAAGTCCCTGGTTGAAGGAAAGGGAAGGGCAAGTCCCTGGTTGAAGGAAAGGGAAGCGCAAGTCCCTGGTTGAAGGAAAGGGAAGGGCAAGTCCCTGGTTGAAGGAAAGGGAAGGGCAAGTCCCTGGTTGAAGGAAAGGGAAGGGCAAGTCCCTGGTTGAAGGAAAGGGAAGGGCAAGTCCCTGGTTGAAGGAAAGGGAAGGGCAAGTCCCTGGTTGAAGGAAAGGGAAGGGCAAGTCCCTGGTTGAAGGAAAGGGAAGGGCAAGTCCCTGGTTGAAGGAAAGGGAAGCGCAAGTCCCTGGTTGAAGGAAAGGGAAGCGCAAGTCCCTGGTTGAAGGAAAGGGAAGGGCAAGTCCCTGGTTGAAGGAAAGGGAAGGGCAAGTCCCTGGTTGAAGGAAAGGGAAGGGCAAGTCCCTGGTTGAAGGAAAGGGAAGGGCAAGTCCCTGGTTGAAGGAAAGGGAAGCGCAAGTCCCTGGTTGAAGGAAAGGGAATGGCAAGTCCCTGGTTGAAGGAAAGGGAAGGGCAAGTCCCTGGTTGAAGGAAAGGGAAGGGCTGGGCAGAAGGAAAGGGAAGGGCTAGTGCCACAGTGATTATGGGGCTGGGCTGGGTGAATGATGAAGGAGTGCAAAGGAGAGCAAGAGCAAGAGGAAGAGCAGCTTTGACACATGTGAAATGCCGTAGCAGTGATCTGCCACTGTCACCCTGGCAGGCCCAAACCTTCTCAACCCAAGAGGCTTCTTTGAATCCAGAAGTTACACACTGAAGGGCAGCCAAAAAAAAGAATACAGTGCCTTGAGACTTCTCAAAACACTTCTTCATACATGTGGTTTCTTTGAATCCAGAAGTTACACACCGAAGGGAAGCCACCAACAAGAATACAGTGCCACCGAAGGGAAGTTAAACAAACAGATGCGCTCACTGACCAACAAAGAAGCCCGAGTCGGCAAGGCACTTGGAGGAGGCGCGGGGGAAGGCGGCAGCGAGGCGGTCGCAGTGCATGATGATGGCATGGCCGCCCGCTGAGCTGCCCGAGAAGAGGACATGCGACGCCGCCCCCATGCCCCGCCGCCTGCGCAGATCTGCCATGAAGGGGGGTTGGAGGAGCGAATGGTTGGCGGCAGTGTGTGGGTGGATAGGTGGGTGGGTGGCTATGCAATGCCATTCCCCGGTTGTGTTTCTCCCTTCCCTTTCCTCCCCAGTCTTCTCCCTTTCCCCTCTCTGAATTCCAATCAGCAGATGTGCCCACCCCAAGTCCACCTCCCCAGATTCCACCCTTCCCATTCCCTTCCGAGCCACTCTCCACCCCAGCGCACCGTCAATGAGTGCGGCCATGATCCCCCGCCCCTGCATGTACACAGATGCGCCCTCCCCCAGGTCCGCCCTCCCCCGCGTGCTGCTGTAGGCGCCACCATCGCAGTACACCACCCACACCAGGTTCCACCCGTGGAACACCGGGTTGGCTTTCTTACTCCGCGACAGCAAGCCTCCGAATTGAGGGTAGGAGATCGTAGCCTGGTGGTAGGGTAGGTAGGGTACGGTGGGTTGGTGTGGGTTGGGGTGGGGTGGTGTGCAGTGCGGTGGGAGGGATGCCTTTCTCAGGTGCCACAGTCACAGCTGTAGGACAGGTTTTACAGATGCACTAGCCTCGGTTTCTTGCGCTGTATCCACGGTTACATAACAGGCATGATCATTCGTGAGAGAAAGAGAGACGGGGAGTGATGAGAGACTTACATTCATCACCTTCTTGCCGTTCTCAATATCGGCGGGGAGGCGTCGGGCCCAGAAGCGCGAGGAGCCGAGGGAGGAATTGGCGCGCTCGAGGCATCCCTCCGGGGAGAAGCACCACCCGCCCTGGGGGAAATGCACGTGCCACTTGCGCCTCCCCGCGCCCGACCCCGCGCGGAAGTAGTACGCGGGGGGGCTTGTGATGAAAAAAGGGGGGGAAAGAGGGAGAAGAAAGGGGGGAAGAGGAAGGGTGGGGGGAAATGGAAGGGGCGCCCAATGATTGGCCTTGAGTGGTATTTTTCAGGGCTCAGCAATATGATGACCCGACCACAGCACGCCATAAAGTCTCGCGTCTATCGCTCAAGTCTCGAGTCCCCTATCGCCCAAGCACTGAGCGCGCAAGCACCGCCGCCTGCCGCACCTGCCGTCGAGACATTTCGCGCCGTACGCGTTGTTGGGCAGGGGACGGGGAAAGAGGAGGGTGGGGGTGATCCGATCGTTCCAGTATGGGAGTGACATGATTCTATGTTCATGGATTGATGACAAGACATTTTCCGCGAGGGCTGTATCACGAGGCAGCCCTCGCGGCGTGTTGATTGCCAATTACAGTGTGAATCACCGCCGCCGGCCGCACCTGCCGTCGAGGCATTTCGCGCCGTACGCGTTGCTGGGCAGGAGGATGAGGCGCGTCGCACTAGTAGCGGATTTAAACCGGTTCTCTCGTTCCGCGGCGCACAGGGAGTTGGGCGGCGCGGGGAGCAGCGCGAGAAGCGGGAGAAGGAGCGCGAGCACAGGGGGGAGACGGGAGCAAGTGCTGACTGTCATTGGCGGATCGGGCCCCGCGGCGGGAAAATTTCCGAGAAGCGCGTTCTACCTCCGAGACGCATTACTAAGTCCGAACCGCTCGTATAACCCGTAAATAGCAGGTTGAGAAAGCGTTGCTTTTAGAGTGTTGCGACGCGACGCACCACGCTACGGAGGTGACTGTTGAGTCGACTTAACAGTCCCCTACCCGAGCATTGCAAGCTTCCGTACCAGGCACCGCTTTCTAGTGACTGAACCAAGCGCGGGTACGTTCATGTCCGGCCCCGCATCAAACGCTGATCAGAAGAACTCCGTTGGGCTTTGGCGAACTGATAAGGGGCTGGACTGGAATGGAATGCTCGCCGCCACAGTGACCGCCAGGCCACTGTCCGACTTGGTGGAACTGACAACGGTGGGTGGGTGGGACGTGGGACTCCTGTTTCCGCTCCGAGTCGGAAAACAGTGCCAGCCGTCTCTTCACGCCGCCAACTCACTAACAGGCGGCTCAGCGACATGCGGTGGCATGGCAGTGGTGGAGCAATGAGCAAAACATGGCAAGATTCCGAGTGAGGTGAGGTGTGACGAAATGGCAGCACTTGGTGTTTCTGCGAGAAAGTGAGAAGCCTTGGCCGGCGATTCATGTGCTATGGACGGACGGATGCGGCAGGCCGAAGAGATTTGTGTATCATGATGGTTGATTATCATCAGTTCGGTCGGTTTGCGATGGGATGTGATGCGATGCGATGGGTTCACCTAGGGGGGATGCGAATCGCGATGGCAGGTTTGGTTGGGAGGGCTTCACCCTGCCCTGCCCACAGCAAACTGTAAATTTGCTGGAGATCCAATTTCTCTGGAGAGTTTATGTAGCGCCTCGAGGATTCACGAACAGCTATCGCTCGCATCGCATCGCGCATTCTGCGGGTGGGCAAAGAGGGCCGTGCGAACTCAGAAGGGCTACGGCATTGGAGAACGAAACGCCAAGCTCTAGTGTAACATAGTCCATCTAGTGAATCAAATCCACTCGTCACTGGAAATACATGAAAGGAGCGAATTCCCGGAGGTACTCTGTACAAGTTCTTTCTTTGACGCTACATGCAACAAATACACTAAACATTAGGTCTGTGAACATCTTTTAAAAGTGACAAGTTCGGGACAACACTAAACATTGCAAAGTTATTGATTGTTTATGTTACCCTCTTACCAGTTCGTGACAACACGATCTAACCACAACCACCTTGGCTATTGAGCGGAATCCTGACCGTATGCTTTCTAAATCCGGCGGTTCTGCATTACTATTTCCATCGCTTTGCTCACAGGTGCAAACCTCGCTTGCTTGTTTAGTTGAAATATCAATTATCACATTAAGGAGAATCTGAATGGCATTCACACCCCAAACAATTAGCTTAATTTCAGCACATAATCCTTATTCATATGCGTATGTACAAAATCAACCCCTTTCAGTAGCGGGCCTTATGCCCACATCCTGAGAACATCATCTAGGATGAACGGACACGATCTTTTCTTCATCTGAGCCAATTCTGGATTCGCCACATCTCTCACGTGCTTCCCTATTGGTCGCAGCGATGTGGCGATTGGCTCCTTTCCACATCCGCTCTCGGTGACGTTACGGCATTGGGCACCGCGCTCCTCCTGGTGCGGTCCGGCTCACCCCTGATTCTCCAATCTCCAATTCCGCTGGGGAAGCGAGCAGGCAGGCGTGCCTGAGGGGAGTGTGCCCCTAGCCGAGCGAGGAAGGCTTTCTCCCTTGGGGTTCCTTGGATGGAGCAATGGGAAGAAAGAGAGTGGCATAAAGCTCCATCTCTGACACGTTCACCACTTTTGGCAAAATAAAGATAGCTTGCAAAGTGCACTCAAGGCCTGTGCCTTGGTAGTACTGTGCAGAAGCTGTAACATACTCAAGTTTTTTGTCCGTAGTTGCATGGCGTTCCGGGTCTGAAGGCAAGGCTGGGAGAGTGAGCTAGAGTAGCATAGCGGATTGGTCAACACGGCGACCGCCGTGTGGGCCATCCCGGGCCGTAGCGCCGCTGCTAGCTACCTCATGGCTCACCATGGCGCCGGAAATCCTCGCTACGGCGGCCATTCTAGCCAGTTCGGCGATACCACGCTCACCAAGGTCTTCGTGGGAGGCCTTGCGTGGGAGACGCAAACGGAAACCATGCGGAAATATTTCGAGCAGTTCGGCGAGATTCTTGAAGCAGTTGTAATCACGGATCGAATGACCGGCCGCTCCAAAGGCTACGGATTTGTAAGCAGCCATTTAGCAAGTTTATGTACTAATCCAGCTTTGCACAGTACACCAGTTCCTGCTCTAGGAAGCATCAGCCTGACTCGTTTCATGACAGTAGGATAACTCGCCTCCCTCCGTTTCAGGTGACTTTCAGTGACCCAGAGGCTGCAGGAAGAGCGTGTCTTGACCCGTCGCCAGTCATAGACGGTAGAAGGGCCAACTGCAACCTCGCTTCGTTAGGACAGAAGCAGCGTCCACAGCAGCCGCGAGGACAGCAGGGTAAGATCCCCGCAGTCCGATAACGTTTCAGTTGTAGCTATCTTCTCGCGAGCTACCTTTTTTATGATGCTAAAACACCTTTTTCACTCACCGCCTGAGTTTCTGGCAACAGGTGGAGCGCCGTTTGGCGGGTACCCTCCGCAACACGCGTACCCCATGTACCCGCTACAAGGCTACCCTATGTCACCCTTCGGGTACGTTACATCAGGCTCATCGTCCCTTCTCGCTCCCGCTACTTATATCTCTTGACGAGGTACTCATTCGGGGCTTCAAGATCTGCATGCTCTTTTCTTGTCAATAACCCTTCAGGTACCCTCAGCAATTTCAAGAAGGAGCCGGCTACGCGTTTCCTCAGGTATCTAACATATAGCACCGTCGCGTTCTTTCCGAATCCCGTGCTTTTCACTCTTTTTAAACTCATCTCTTGTTTTATTGCTATTACATTCAGGGAGTGTTCCCGCCGTACGGCCCTCAGGGCTTTCCAGCGCAGCCGGGGATGTTTGTACCGCCTGTAGGGACAGCCACTCCAGGAGGCATGTATCCTGGATATCCTCCTGCTGCGTTCGGGCCGACGCAAGCGGCGCAGGCAGCAGGGGGTTTTCCGGGAGGTCCTTCTATGATGCCATCCGCTCCGCAACCAGCTGGAGTTGCCGGCGTTGGTGCTGGTGCGCAACCTTTTGGGTTCCAGCAGATGCAAGGAGGACAATCCCAAGGTTTCCAGGGGACGGGCGAGCAGCAGCAGATGGGAGGTGCCAGCCAGCTTGCAGGAGGCCCTGGGGCGCAACCAAATCCAGGTGAAATATTCTGATACATACAGTAGCCCCTCTTTCTACCCTTTCGGTCATCAATCTGTCTGCAGGATGTAAAATCTGATACAAATTTTGCTTCCCCTTCTGATAAATTTTGTTTCCTGCACAGGTGCACAGGAAGCGACCGGTGGAATGCCATCACAGCAGCAATACGGAGTTCCCATGCAAGGGGGTCAATCGCCATACTCAGGCCAACACCAAGGGCCAACTGGATAGGATGACACTGAACTATAAAAAAGTGAAGATAATTGTGTGCAGTTTTGCTTCGGATGACATCCAGGGTGTCTTAGTCGTGAAACTAATGACTCGTGGAGCAACAGTGCGCACACCCTGGTTGTCATAATGTGCATACTCAGATTATTTCATTGCATTCTTCCAATGACTGACAATCACACAATATTTACATGCTTACGATACGTCATAATTGTTGCTCGGCACTATTTACACAACTCACAAACCATAGACGACGCGGCTATATCGAGTCCCCCCTTGCTCACCTTCACATTTTGAAGTCCAACGCTCACCCCGCCAGCACTTGTCATGTCACCCCGAGCTTCTCAGCCAGAGAGATTTCAGCACGTCAAAACGTAAGTTCTCGCAGCGTAGTGCGTCCAGTGAGCAATCCATGGCGAAACCTGGCGGCACCGAGGGGCCTCGCGCGCGCACAGGTGCAAAACCCCAAGAATATTCAGGTGCTGGGAAACGACAGGAGAAGCCAAGTTCGGGTAGGCAGAAGGGAAAGCCAAGTCCGGGCAGGCGACAGGAGATTTCGAGTTCTGGAACACGGCAGGAAAAGACGGGTGGGGGGCGATCCGCGCACGCGGACTCGAGCAGGGTGCACGCGCAGGCGGCGTCCGCCGTGGAGCGGATAATGCGCGCGAACGAGACGAGGCGCGGCGGGTGCGCGGTGAAGGGGCTGACTCTCGCGGAGGGCAACGTGGCGAAGCGCGCCACGCACGCCGTGACGTGCGAGACGCTGCGTTGTAAGGAGCGCTGCGAGGTTAGGGTTCCTGCGATGTAAGGAGCGCTGAGGTGTAAGGGAAGCTGCGATATTAGGTTGCTGAGGGGTGGATATAGCGCGTAGCGCTCGCCATAGCGGATGTCACGACCGTTTATCTTTCCATTCCGCTAACCGCGCCACGTCATCACAAACTTCTAAGCCTCGAACCCTGAAACCTGCGGGTTCAGGGTTTAGTACCTTCAATCTGTCTCATTTGACCCCTACATTCTCTTTACTGCCTCTGTCTGCCCCTTTCTACCCCTCTCTGCCCCTCTCCGCCCCCCTCTGCCCCTGTCTACCCCTTTCCACCCCTTTCCACCACGCCCATCAGACCTGCCAGTGATCAAGGATCTCATTGCCGCCACTGGCCTCGCCAACAGCAACTGGATGAAGGTAGGGGAAGGAGGGGAGAGAGAGGGGAAGGGGGCGGGGAGAGAATCGAGGGGGAGGATAGACTAGGAAGGGGGGAAGTTTGGGGTGCGGGGAGGGAGTGGAGGCGGGTGCACCTTAATGCACCCCAGTGCACCCCAGTGCACCTCATTCCCCCCCAGTGCACCCCAGTGCACCCCAGTGCACCCCAGTCCGCCCCAGTGTACCCCAGTTTTCTCACACTTGCAAAGCAAAGCCCACATCGCTCCACTCCGAGTGAAGCAGCTGATTACCCATTTGTACCTTTCTCCAACCCTCCTCACCTTTGTCTGTCCTGCAGGCCAAGCCCCACCTGGTGTATGTGCTCGTGTACGATTTGGTCGTGTCAGGCAAGGTGAGTGACCCCTTAAAGCCCTTCCTCCTTCCCCTTGTCTTCGCATAGGTTTCCTCTCCACCTGTGCTCATCATTTCGCGCCTTACAACTTTGCTTCCCCTCCCAGCATCTTGGGAGGGAGCAGCAGTGCTGCATTATCGGAGTCACTTGAGAGGTTTCTCAAAAGTGACTCCAATAGACTCCCATCCCATCCCTCCACTCGCCCTCCCTTCCTCTCCCAGGGTACACTGGGGTCGGGAGCGGTGCAGAAGGTAGTGCTGTCGCACAAGGCGGCTCTCAGAGCGGCGCTTGCTCGGCTGCTGGTGAAACAGCGAGCAGCATCAGTAGAGGAACTGCTTGGTCCCTCCAGTGACCCGCCTGTTGCTGCACGTGAGTCCTACAACAACTGCCTCCCAAACTGCTATTCATTTTCCCAGTCTTGTTGAATATGCATTCGAGCGATCAGGAAGCAACCAGAGACATGCTCTGTTTTGTTATCATGGCCCACACACACTCATCGCGGCACTCCTTGTTTTGTATTTCAGGAAGCACCTGATTTCTCCTTGTTGTTTTGTATTTCAGGAAGCACCTGATTTCTCCTTGTTGTTTTGTATTTCAGGAAGCACCTGATTTCTCCTTGTTGTTTTGTATTTCAGGAAGCACCTGATTTCTCCTTGTTGTTTTGTTCCATACCCCATTTCTCTTGCCTGTTGTCTTCTCCTCCAGACCCCTGCTACGCGCGAGTGAACACCCTGCGCACCAACACACCCACTATGCTCGTTTTCTGCTCACCACCCTCACCTTTCTCTTCCCCCCTAATCTCACCACCGCAGACCCCCGCTATGCGCGAGTCAACACCCTGCGCACCAACACCCAAGCAGTGCTGACACACTTTCAGACCAGCACTGCCCCAGGCAACGGCGGCAGCGGCGCGGGGGATGATGGCACTGGAAGCAGCAAAAGTGGGGGTGATGAAAGTGGAGGTGGTAAAAGTGGGGATGATACAAGTGCGGTTGGTGCGTGCAGCAGTGCAGGGCGTGCGGCAGGGAGGGCGGAGGGAGAGGTGGCACTACAGCGGGACGAGCTGATTCCAGACGTGCTTGTGTTTCCCGCGGGCACAGAGCTGCACCGGCACCCTCTGGTAGAGAAGGGCGAGCTCATTCTTCAGGTACTTCTAATACAACACAATCCCTAGTCAATGTCCGCACCCGCCTCTCGGATTCCAGACGTGCTTGTGTTTCCCCCGGGCACGGAGTTGCTTGCACCGACATGCGTTGGTGGAAAGAGGGACCTGATCCTAGTCTGTGCTGCTTCCATGCTGCCTCCTCCCTTCCCTTCCATCCACCCATCAGGGTCGCGCAAGCTGCTTCCCTGCGTTCATCCTCGCCCCTCGCCCCGGGTGGCATGTGTTGGACGCATGTGCAGCGCCGGGCAACAAGACATCCCACGTGGCCGCACTCATGGAGAACACAGGGCGGCTCGTTGCATGCGAGAGGGACGCAAAGAGAGCAGCTCTTTTGAGGAAGAATCTGGACAAAGCCGGGGTGACGTGTGAGTATGGGAGGGGTGGTGAGTACAATGTGAGCTGCTCTCCTCTTTCTCCGTCATCCTCTCCTCATGCACGCCCCCTCTCATCTCCCCTCGCTTCCCTCCCCTCATCATCACCAGGTGCTCAAGTGCATGAGGGGGACTTTCTCGCCATCGACCCCACCTCATCACGAGGTTCCAACATTGAGCTCCTCTCCTCTCCTCTCCCCTCCTGGTCTCTCCCCCTTTTGCTCCCCTCGCCTCCCTCCCATCATCACCAGGTGCGCAAGTGCATGAGGGGGATTAGTGAGGTTCTGCAAATGTAGTCTCTCTCCCCTTCCTCACCTCGCCGCCCTCCCCTCATCACCAGGTGCGCGAGTGCATGAGGGGGATTTTCTCGCCATCGACCCCACCTCACCTGAATTCGCCGATGTGAGCTCCTCTCCTTGGCCCTCTCTCTCCTGTCGGGAGTTGATTCCTCCTCTGTTGTGTGCAAGCAAACCATTGCTCTCGCTCAGTGTGACTCTTTTCCTGAGAAACCCTCCCTTCATACTCGCCCCCATTTTTCTCCCCCCCCCTTCCTCCTCCCTCACCCTATCAGGTGCGAGCAATCCTGCTCGACCCCTCGTGCTCCGGATCAGGCACCCGGCACTCCCGAGGGGACCTGCTTGTGCTACCTGAGTCGACTCAAAACGCGTGCTGCTACATCCTTTCCTGTCCCCTCCTCCCCCTCTTCACAGGTGCAAGCTATCTTGCTCGACCCTTCCTGCTCTGGATCAGGCACGCGGCACTCCCGAGGGGACCTGCTGCTCTCTCAGGGGTCCCCCTCCCCCCATGACAGGGCTGGGGGGAGAGGGAGCAACGGGGAGAGAGGCGGGGGGAGAGGGGGGGGGAGAGAGGGGGGGAGAGGCGAGGGGAGAGGTTGGAGAGGCGGTGGGGGAAGAGACGGGGGGAGAGGTGGGGGGAGAGGGGGCAAGGGGGAGGGGAATGGGGGGTTTGAGGGAGAGGAGGGTAGCAGCGGACGCCAGGGGGAGGACGAGCGGGTGGAGAGACTGGCTCGTTTCCAGGAAGCTGCGCTGAGGCATGCCCTCTCATGTATGTGTTAACTTCTTACAGTTGGTTTTTGAGTCGACTCAAAAACTGAGGCATGCCCTCTCATGTACGTGTTAACTGCTTACAATTGGGCACCCAGTATCAAAGAAAAATTGTAAGTTGAATTAAGAGCATGCACTGCACTGCACTGCACTGTACTGTACTGTTCATAAGGGCAGGTCTCAGTCTTCTCCTCTGTACCCCTCTGTATCCCTCTGTACCCCGCTATACCCCTCTCTTCCCCCCTGTCCCAGAATCACTGCGAGTCACCTACAGCACCTGTTCAGGCAACGAGGCAATGCTGGCGACAGTGCAGCCTCTGAAGCCCCCTGCACCCGTTTGCACCCCTCTCTACCCCCAGTCCCAGCAGCACAGCGCATCACCTACAGCACATGCTCAGTCAATGAGAGGGAGAACGAGGCAGTGGTGGCTGCGGTGCTTCCTGCTGCTCTCTCCCGTGGCTTTCGCCTCGCTGCTGCCTTGCCTGCCTGGCCCAGGAGAGGGCTGCCCTCCTACCCCTTTGGTGAGAACATTTCCGTTGAGGCACCTAGAGAAGCAACACTACAGCTTTTGAGGCGCCGGAGAAGCAACTCTTTATGGTGAGTATGCCCTTGCACCGACGTCTCAGCGCACCAAGACCGTCAATGCTCCCACGATACTTCCACCCACGCCTCCACGCAGGGCACCAAGTGGTGCGCACGGATCCTGCCATCGACGGCACAGATGGGTTCTTTGTTGCGCTCTTTGAGGTTTGACATATCTCCGCCACCCCCCTCCCCTCTTCCCCGCTTCTTCCCTCCACTTTATTTTTGCAGGGCACCAAGTGGTGCGCACGGATCCTGCCATCGACGGCACAAATGGGTTCTTTGTTGCGCTCTTTGAGGTTTGAATCTCCGCCACCCCCCTCCCCTCTTCCCCGCTTCTTCCCTCCACTTTATTTTTGCAGGGCACCAAGTGGTGCGCACGGATCCTGCCATCGACGGCACAGATGGGTTCTTTGTTGCGCTCTTCGAGCGCCAGGTGGCAGGTGCTGCTGACGTGGCAGGTGATGCTGACGTGGCAGCATATGCCGACAGAGCAGCGGCGGTGACAGAAGCAGAGGCAGCGAGGGCAGAAGCAGCAGCGGAGCTGGCAACAGCACAAGCAAAGTTGTTACCAGTAGCAGCAGCAGCGGCAGAAGCAGCGCCGGCAGCAGCACCAGTAGCATCAGCAGCAGAAGTAGCAACAGCTAGTGTGGATGCAACAATGCAAGTGGCAAGTCAACCGAACCACAGCACGGCGAACGGCTGTGGTGGTGACAGTGATGCCACCGGAGCACATCATGAGGTTCGATCCGAACCTCAGCCAGCGGTTCGGGAGTCCCGTGCTGCTAGAAGGAAGCGGCAGAGGCGAGCAAAAGCAGCGGCAGAAGATGGGAGCGGCAAGGAGAACAAAAAGGGGAAAAGCGATGCTGAAAGCTGATTAATTGTCGGTAGATTACTATAGCTGTACATTGTTTATAGCATCACCTTCGACACAGCATAACTGCATAAACACCAAGTAGATAAAATATTATGTACCTTACCATACAAATCCGCAAGCTGCCATTCAACTTCAGGCTGCGTCCACCACCGCTTGAAGTAGGCTATTAATCAACCTGCAGTGTAGCTAGTGCAGCCTCCATGACTTCACAGTTGCAACGCTGCAAGTCACGCTTGCACTGAACTTAGCAGCTAGCATGAGGCACTTGGCTGGGCACACCATTCTTGAGGCTCTTGTGGTCAATCAACCTGCAGTGTAGCCAATGCAGCCTCCATGACTTCATAATTGGACCGCTGCAACTCACACTTGCACCAAACGTACTCCCTAGCGAGAGGCACCCAGCTGTCTACATTGTTGAGAAAGGAATGTGCAACACTGGTGAGTGTGTTAAGGATGCTTGGGCTGAGGCACTGTAACTCTGAGCCTGCTGTGCCCTGCTGCCCTTGCTGCTGCGTTTCATGCCTGTGCTGCTGGTGGCTTCGCTGCTGCTGGTGCTGCTGCGCGTATGTGTTGATGAGCTTGTGGACGTCGAAACGAGTGTGGGCGTGCGAGGGAGGGGGGTGGGCTAACCACGAGGCAAATGCAAGGAAGGCAGAAGCATGCTGATGCCCATGTGAATCACACTGGTCTTCGTGTGCGTTGTGACAGATGGATTCAAGAAGCTGGGAAAGAGGCCACAGGGGGCACGAAAACACCTGCGGTTGCTTCAGCAGGTGGAGCACATGTGTGAAAGACCCATCGTTGGTTAACGGACACATGTTGGTGGGTGAGGAGGGGTGCAGAACGGCAGCAGTGCAGGAGGCGCGGAGCTCTGGGAAGTAATCTCCTGCTTGGCACAGCTGGGCATGCAGCAGAGACTCACACTGCTCCCATGTCACACCCTCACTCACAACCTCACTTGCACTCGCACCCGCACCCGCATCCGCACCCGCACTCTCACTCGAACTCCCACCCACACCAGCATGCCCCGAGACACTCCCAGTCCCATCTCGCACACTCGTTCCTGCGATTCGCCCCTCCTTATCACGTTCAGCTGTTCTCTCCTCGCGATCCGGCGGGTTTACAAGGTGAAGCTTGCGTTGGGGAGGGAGGGAGTGCGACCAGCATCGTAGCCCTGCATGGAAGAAACCCTCCCAGCTGGATGGAGGAGGGGGTGTGGGAAGAATGGGCATGGGAGGAGTTTTGAGGCGCCTCAAAAGCTTGCGGTGGGGAGGGAGGGAGGGAGTGCGACCAGCATCGTAGCCCTGCATGGAAGAAACCCTCCCAGCTGGATGGAGGAGGAGAGAATGGGCGTGGGAAGAATGGGTGTGGGAAGAATGGACAGGGGAAGGCATGAACAAGACTTTGTGCTTCATGCGAACGGAGAAATAAAGGACCAATATAGCAACAGAGATTAAAAAAACACGTGTCCCAAAAGGGAAGGCCGCAGGAGCAAAGGGAGCCAGAGAGGACTCAAGAAAGTGTCGTACGTGTAAGGAGCGTCCACTTCAAGAGCAAACGTGAGATGCACAGAGGGCTCCTCGTGTGATAGTCGTAGACCAAGGGGTTGCTGGGACCTGACTGGAGTGCACCGCTCACAGGGAGTGCACGGATCATGGGGAGCGCACGGCTCGTGGGGAGTGCAAGCCTCATGGGGGTATCCTCTAGGGATGTAAAGCACGTCTCCTGGCCTCAGCTCAAACTGCCGCCCTATTGGCACCCACCCCTCCTCCTCCTCCCCCTGCTTGTCTAGAGGCGCCTCACAGTGCGCCCCCTCCCCACCAGCATCACCGCCACCTGCTTGGGCAACTGCACTGCTGCAAGTCAACCCGCTTTCTCCCTCACGCATTGCGCATTGCTTTGCGACGTCCTCACAGGCTTCCTGGCCTGGTTTTCCTCCCTCCTGCACTCCACATTGGCCGCTCGCACCACTGCCACGCTCTGCCACACCATTCCTCCCTCTAGATTCATCAGCCGCTGTATTGGAATCCGATTCTCTTCCTGCTGTGCGTGCGCCTGGGCCGGTTGGTTCAAGCGCAGCGTGGGCTGATTCAAGGCCAGGCACGGAGAAGAGGCGGGGTAGCTCGTTCCCCGGCGTGGGGGGAAACACCCGCCACCGCTTGCACCCGCTCACCTGTCACAGGGGGAAAGAGAGGAGGGTGGGTCACATAAGCAGAGCAGGGAGAGCTGGTAGATCCAAGGCCAGGCACGGAGAAGAGGCGCGGCAGCTCGTTCCCAGGTGAGGGGGGAAACACTCTCCATTGCTTGCACCCGCTCACCTGTTGCACGCACACAGAGGTGGGAGGGAGGGAGGGCGCACAGCAACACACTGTGACTGGTTGCTTAAGCTTTATGTCCAATAACCTATTCCTACTCACACACGCACCCTCCACCCACTGACTCACTCACCCGCCATCCACCCACTCTCCCACCCACCTGACACACCAGCACACAGTGGTCATCCCAGTGTCTTTAGAGGCTCCTCAGAAGTTGCACCCACTCATCCACCCACTCGCCCACTCACTAACCCGCCCACTCAACCAAGCCACCCACCCACCCACCTGGCACACCAACACACAGTGATCATCCCAGTGCCGAGACAAGCCTTGCCGCCCGCCCACTAACTTACCAATCCACTTACCCACTGACTCACCCGCCCGCCTGCCCGCCCACCCACCTGGCACACGAGCACACAGTGGTCATCCCAGTGTCGAGACAAGCCCTGCCGCCCGCCGCCCGGCGTGAGGTAGAGGTTGACCCCGACAGCTGGCAGGGAGAGGGCGGCAGCGATGGCGCGTGCGAGGGCGGCTACAGCAGGCGAGCGGCAGTTGATGCCACGGAGGGCAATGGTGCTGCCGTGAGAGAAGGCTGCACGGAAAGGGTTTGATGGTGGTAAGGTTCTCGGGGTGATGGGTGTGGCCGTGGCGTGTGTGACGGCGGCTAGGGCAGAGGGATGGTTGTTGACGCTGCGGAGGGCGATGGTACTGCCGTGGGAGAAGGCTGCACGGAAGGGGCTTGACTGTGGGTGGGCTGGGAGGGTCGGGGGGTTTGGTGGGGCTGAATCGGTTAACAGGTTTGGTAGCGATTGCGAGGTGTGCTGATGATGGGAGGGCTCAAGTGCTGAGGTGTGCTGGGGCGTTGACGCTGGGGAGGTTGATGATGCCAGGGCTGAAGCTGGTAAGGCTGAAGCTGGTAGGGAAGAAGATGGCAAGGTGGTTGCAGTGACACGCCTGCGCTTGCACGCTCGTCCCTCTGCTGCTGCTTCCCCCTCTCCTGCTGCTTCATCCTCTGCAGCAGTCTCTGAAGCATGATGGTGACATGCAGACCCCCCCACAGCAGTCGGCTGAGAACAAACAAAGGACACGTCAGATGAGGACAAGAGAGGCCGCCCAAGCTCGCCTGCCACGGACATATCCCTCAGAGCAGCGAACGGGTCGGCTTCACCGGCATTCATTCCCGGGCAGTGCGCTGCCCCGGGCAGAAAAAAATCCAGGAGCCCATCGGCAGTCCCAAGGTGTGGAATGGCGCGGATCAGAGCAGCCAGGGAAGGGCCTTGACTTGTGAGAGAGAGTCGGCCATTTTCCATGCGCCTCACCAAGTGATGGCTTAAGAGACGGCAAGGGCCTTCCTTTGGTTCGGGAGACTGATCTTCCTCAGGGAGTAACTGATGATGTGCTCCGTGTGGGAGCAAATGGTGTGCTACCTCTCTTCTTCCCCCACGAGCTCTGAAGAGGAAGGGGCGCGTCTCCCATACTGTGGACAGGAATACAGTCCATGAGCCTGCTGCCATGCCCAACAGCTGCTCTGCTCGCCTGCTGCCTGCTTCTGCCCTCGTGTTTGTCTGCCTGATATGTGCTTCTGCAGTCACATCAGTCACACTCGCTTCAGTCACACTCGCTTCAGGCACATACGCTCCCCCCACACATGCTTCTGCACTCACACTCGCTTCAGGCATATCCCCCCCTGTCTCCATCCCCCCTCTCTCTGCTGCATTGCCATTCACCCCGCCTCTTGCCTTCACAGCGAGCGCCATCCCCACCCAGGCCATCACAGCCGCTAGATGACACCGCTTGCCATCCATCTGGGACTGCTGCGGGTGGCGCGAATTGTCCTTTCTGTGAATGCGGGAGTATTCCCGGCGGAGCAAGGCCAGGGCTGACGCGAGTAGGGGGGAGGGCGGCAGAGGCGGGAGGAGGTGGGGAGACGTGGAGGGAAGAGGTGGACTGATGGATGCGAGAGGGAGAGAGTGAGAGTGAGAGTGAGAGTGAGAGTGAGAATGAGAACGTGTGGGTTGGGAATGGGAGAGGAAGAGCAGCGACCACAGGGCGTCCACATGTGTGTGCAGGTGCTCCTGTGTCTGGCCCTCTGCACTCCTCTCATTCTCCCCTTCCTCCCCTTCCTCCTCCTCCTCCTCCGCCTCCTCCTCCTCCTCCTCCTCCTCCTCCTCCTCCTCCTCCTCCTCCTCCTCCTCCTCCTCCTCCTCCTCCTCCTCCTCCTCCCTCTCCGCCTCCCCACATTCTCCACTCCTTTCTCTTCGTCTCCCTTCTGCCTCCGTCCCATCATCTCTCTGCCATGACGATCTGTGAGTGTGCGCCCATGCCACGCAGCACGCATCAGATTGCAGTACAAAGGAAGGGAGAGAGGGAGGACAAAGGGCGAGTGTGAGAGAGGGGGAGCAGAACAAGGCAATTCCAATAAGGCACTATCTACTGGCCGCACACACAACACAACACAGCATCACACGACAAGCTTTGGTGAGGGATCACAGCGAGATGGCTGCAGCAGGGCACAGGCGCATGGCAGCACAGGAACAAATGGAATGAAGACGCATGGGGCCACAGTGGGCACGGGGGCAGCAGATAGGAGGACGCACAGGGAAGAGAGCAGCGCGTGCAGGGCGCTGTGCTGACTGGCCAGGTGGGCGGCGAGAGGGTGACGTTGCACAATGCATCAGCTGGTGTGAACCGCATGTAGATAGACGACTTTTGAGGAGTTTCACAACTTAGCAGGACGCACAGAGAAGAGAGCAGCGCATGCAGGGCGTTGTGTTGACTGGCCAGGTGGGCGCCGAGAGGGGACGTCGCCACGTCAGCAATGCAGCGCGCTGCTGCAGTAGTGGCGGCACGCGAGAGGGAGGAGGAGGAGGGGGAGGGAGGCGAGTGCAGGAGGGAGCAGAGGCATGCTAGCAGACACGGCTGGTAGCATTGCTTCTCGGTACAAGAAGCACCACCCATGCATGTTGGTGGTTGTGGTGGTGGTGCTGTTTCTGCTGTTGCTGGCGGTGGTGCATCTGACGGGCTAGCCTCACCTGGAGAGCAACAATGGCATGCAACAAGGAGGCCACACACACACACACGGAGATTCTGTGAGAACAGCGGCACACAAGGTTCGATTGTGACAGCTTGCTCCACTGTACAGCCACAGACGAGCCGCAGTTGTGCAGGCAATACAGCCACTCGGAACGATCTAACCAAGATTTGAGACCTCTGAAGTCTGGGAAAGCGGTCTCACGTGGTGGGTGCTTACCTGCAGTGGGGCCGGGGACGGGGGCAGGGAAGAAGGCAGTGAGTGCGTGGTGAGGGAGCAGCAGGAAGAGGAGTGACGCCAGTGACGCCATGGCTGCTGCTACCGCTGCATGGCAGCATGCGCACTCGCACCTGCTGGGGGGGGGATGAAGCAAGAGGTTACAGCAGGTAATGGACGCACTTTTGAGGCGCTTCAGAAGACAGAGAGGGCGTGGTGGGGGAGCAGCAGGAAGAGGTGAGACGCCAGCCAGTGACGCCATAGCCGCTGCGACTGCTGCATGGCAGCATGCGCATTCGCACCTGCTAGGGGAATGAAGCAAAATGAAGCAACAGCAGGGAGGAGACGCATATACAACGCAGCAGCACCTTACAGCACCTGAATCCAACTTACAGCATCTCCCAGCGTCTGACCCCTTCTGTGCCTCTCATCTTCTTTCAATGCACCTCCCACCGTACCTCCCATCCCACCATACCTCGCCTCTCACCGTGCCTCACCTCTCACCGTACCTTGCAGCAGCCATGGCTTGGACCATCAGCCGAGGCGCATCGCAGCCGCACAGCACCTGCCATCCCAAGCTGTCTTCTGCTTCTGCATCCACACCATCAACTGCGTTCCCCTTCGCATTAGTCACATTCCCGTTAGCATCACCCGCATTCTCCTCATTGTCGATTCCATTCCCCTTTCCGTCAGCACCTCCCCCTCCCCGTGTGCCCTCCGCCAGCATCCCCTCACTCACGGCCTCCGCAGCCCTCACCACGCGCACGCGCGCGGGCTTCCTCGCGCAGTCCCGCCCTACGGCCTCCGCCTGCCCCGCCGCCGCTGGCGGAGCCACCGGCGCGGCATCCGGCGCAGCGGACGCAGCAAGCCAGGCGCGGAGAGCCGAGAGAAGGCGCTGCAGGGGCGGGGATAACGGAGTGCTGCTAGAACGAGGAACATTCTTAAGCTCTCGGCGCATGACTGAATGCCAGTAGAAACGTAGAGGCGAACCCTAAAAAGTGAAACCTAAGAGCAAAATTGGCGAGTACTTGTGAGCAGAATGCATTTTAGCACAACGAGACCTAGGGCCACCTAGCAAGAACATACCTAGGTCAAACATTCATGAAACTTGAATTGAAATGCAAGGGACTGCAAGCTGGAATCGGAGATTCGGGAATCAAGGACTGAAGAGCTTGTGGTTATGCAGCTAGTTATGGCAAAATGGGATCATTTGGTGAGCGATACCCGTTATAGGTGTAGCCGTGCTAAGAAAATGCCGAAATCGTTTAGGATGAACTTTCGGGTGTACGGGCAGAAACGCGGGAATGCGACCCAGCCCAGCCACCCACTGCCAAGCCACGACACCACGACTTCGCCAGGTTTCTACAAACTGATTCGGCTTACAACTGACTGGAAAAATATATACTAGTACACTTTACCACCTCATACTGTACATATTCTACGCGTTTCTTTGTTTGCGTACCAGCCCCAGCCGAGCAACAAAGCGATCCAGCTGTATTCTGGGGACTCGAAAGGGGAAACAAGGTAAACCCAAGGCCCGAGTCGGTTCTTTTCGCAACGGAATGAACGAACGAACTGCCCGAATCGGGAAGAATCTACAGTGCCGCCGGGCTGATCAATTGTCAGGAGCAACACAGGCAGCCCTCCCCCCTCCCTCACCTCCTTCCGCCCCTCGCATCCATCACGATTCACCAAAACCGTCCGATGCTCGTCACGATGATCCCGACGCTGTCGCGCCAAACTTTGAACAGTCGTAGGGATGTGACTCTGTGACCACCACCACCAGTCCGTCCTTGAGCTCTTGTCCGTGTTCTCCTCTCCACCGTTCGCTTCGCCTCCTTCCCTTCCACTTTCGCCCCCCCCCTCATCCCCTTCATCGGGCAAGAGACAACGGGGACGAGATCTTCCCAACAAGTTTTGCCATTCCTACAACTAGTGGTAGTAATAGTACCGTGCTAGGGTGCTCATCAGTCGGACTGCCTGTGAGTATGATGAGCCCATCAATTGCCAACGGTGCTTTACCTAGTAATACATTGGTGCTTTGTTAGATCGTCTGAGTACTATTTAATCAGTTTCAAGTGCTACGACTACTAGTAGTAGTACTAGTAGCAGCAAAGCTCACAATCCACTCACGGAGGGACCACCGCTCTGGCCGCCATGATGTCAATGGACTCGACGCTTCATGATCTCGCGCCGCCGCAGTCACAGCGGCCGTCCGAATCGGACAAGCCGTTTTCTACTACTCCTGCTATCGCAACGTCTGAAACGACGTTGGCGGTGACCGCCGCATGGCCTCCCATGGCCGCGGCACTCGCCGACGCTGCCGTCTGCCTCTGTGACCTTCAAGGGGAAGTTTTCCTTCCCTCTTCCGCCTTCCCCCAGCACCATCTGCCAGCCACAGAGTTCCGCAGCAACCCCGCAGCGGAAAGGGAGCAGAGCGGCCGGAGCGTGTGGGGTCATGAATGCTCGGAAGATCTAGACGAGGTGGCGGTGATTGAGTCCCCTCATTATGCGGCCTCATGTGAAAGGAAAGTATTGGCCGCAGTGCCAGGGAAAACCATAACTAGTACTGCTACCACCATTACTGCTGGTACTAGTACTAGAAATGATTGTGGTCACGTTATGGTGGGTGCGGAAGCGTTCCTGGCGGAAACACTCGGCGCTGCGGAGGGTGCCTCACCCCCCTGGCTCTCCGCTCTCCGCCAGCGCGCGGGGAGCAGGCAGCCGCGCGCGGATGTCCACGGGCGGCGATGGCGGAAAGGAGTTCCGCAGCGGATGTCTGTATGTATGGGGTGGGAGCGAAATGAGGCTACTATGGGGTGTGATAATGTGATTACCACCAACCATACTAGTACTACTATTAAGAATAATAGTATTTTTTACGAGGAACAAGAATTGCCGCATTCTGGACGCACAGCAGCGCGGCCGCATCTGCGAGACACAGAGGATGCGGCATCGGCTGAGCATTGTGCGTTGGACGGAATAGGGCAGAGAGCAGCAGACGGGGATGCAGCAGCAGGAAAGGAGGCAGCAGCAGAAAGAGATGCAGAAGCAAGAGGGGAAGCAGCAGCAGGAGGGGTACCATTAGGGAAGACATTATGGGTAGGAGAGGCGTTAGGGCACGCAGCAGCAGGATGGGGTGGGAAGGCAGCAGCAAGAGCGGGGAGAAGTGGCAGGAGAGGCGGAATTGACGGGGCGTTGGCTAGGCTGAAAGAGGCGGGTGGGGAGGCGGTGGAGGAGGGCAGGTGCTGTAGTGACGAGGTCCAGAAGGAAGGACAGAACGAACGCAGAGGGGGGAAGGAGAGACAGGCGGACGGCAGCCGTGGTGCTGCTGTGTGCATCGAGAACCTGCGAGGCAGGGTGACGTGTGTGGATCCGCAAGCAGGAAGGGCAGCAGAGGACGCACAATGCGCGGATGGAGCAGGAGGAGGAGCAGAAGGAGAAGCAGGCGCAGCAGCAGCAGAGGCAGAAGTTGCAGAAGCGGGAGTGGCAGAAGTGGAGCACTGTGCTGGCGATGCAGGCAGCAAGAGGGTAGCGGAGTCTGGTGAGGAGAGGAACGGAAAGCGAGGAGAGCGAGTGGCGGCAGCAGAAACAGGAGACTTAGAAGCAGAGGCAGAAGCAGAAGCAGTGGCGAACTTAGCTGGCGATGCAAGCAGCGGAAAGCGAGGAGAGCGCGTGGCAGCAGCTAAGCCAGCAGCCAAGCGAGCAAAGAAGCAGGCAGTTTCAGATGGCAAAGAGGCGGGCAGTGCTGGTGGGGCTGTGGTGTTAGATGGCCCTGATAGGACGACGGAGCAGAGGCAGGTCAGTGGCGTGGAGAGAAATGGAATGGAGAGAAGTGGCGCTGATGGTGCCGGTGGTGGTGGTGGCGATGGTGCGGGCTGTGCGAGTAGTGACGGTCACGGTACCTGGATTGAGATGCAAGAGGAGAGAGCGACATGCGAGGGCAAAGCACAGCAGGCAGAGCGTGGGAACGATGAGGCAGGCTGCAAGGATGGCGGGCAGGAGGCAGAGCATAGGGACAAGGCGCAACAGGGAGACAGTAAGGAGGAAGCAGCTTGCCAACCGGCAATGGAGTGCAAGCAAGAGGCGCAGCAATGCACTGAGCAGGAGGAGGAGCAGTGCAAAAAGGAGAGGCAGGGCAGGCAGGAGGAGCAGGGCAAGCTGGGGGGGCAGTGGGAGTGGGAGGACGAGTGGTTGGTGGGAGCGGACTGCAGCAGGAGGAGGCCGCGGTGCCGCAGCCTCAAGGAACTCATGCACGCCACCACCACCACTACCACCACCGCCGCTGCTACAGCTGCTGCCGCTACAGCTGCTGCTGCTACAGCCGCTGCTGGTGCGGGTGGTGCTGGTGGTGGTGGTGCTGCTGCTGCTACTGCGGCGCAGAAGAGCAAGGGTGGTAAAGGGAAGGTCAAGGGCAGGTGGGGTGGGGAGAAGGGTGCAGGTGTTCCGGGCAACGGGAAGGTTGGTTTGAAAGGGGCTCAGCCGGTCAACAGCAGGGTCCCTTGGAGTAGTAGGGTGTCTCTCTCGCCCTCTGTTTCCGCTTCTCCCTCTGTGGCCAGTGCTCCTATGTCTGGTCCTGCTGTCAATGCTTCTCATTCTGGTGCGGCTGCTGCTAGTGGCTCTTCTTTCCGGCCTGCTGCTACCAGTGCTGCAGCGTTCAAAGCGGCATCTTCTGCTCCTGATACTGCTTCTATCGCTCCTGATTCTGATTCTCCGGATGTTGCTGATGCTGCTGCATCTGCTGCTCCCTCCGCCGCTATCGCAAGCTTCCGATGGGACGATGAGACAAACGGCCAGTGTTTCCCCACTCCGAAGAAGAGAAGGCGAACGGAGGTGCAGCAGGTGGGGAAGACGAGTCCAGTTGAAATGACTTCAAAGAATCCTCAAAAGCAGGTCGGGAAGTCGTATCCAGCTAAAGTGGTTTCTGAAGCGCCTCAAAAGTTTGGGAGGATTGATCCAGTCAAAGAGAGACAGACGGGCTTGCGTCCGCAAGGGAAGGGAACTGGGCTTGTTGGAGAAGACAGGAATGCAGGCTTCAAGAATGCTGGTGTGACTCGGGAGGTGGGGGAGATGGAGGTACGGAAGAGGGAGAGGGATGGGTGCAGGGATGGAGTTGGAAGGGAGGAGAACGGGGGAAGGGAGGAGAAAAGGCGGGCAAATGAGGATTCGAGCAGTGCTGGTTCTGGTGGGAGTGGTAGTGAGAGTGGACGTGGCAGTGCGAGTGGGAGTGATAGTGAGTGTTCCAGCGAGAGTAGGAGCGATAGTAGGAGTGAGAGCAGGAGTGAGAGTGGGAGTGAAAGTGGGAGTGCAAGCAGGAGCGATAGTGGGAGTGAGAGCAGGAGTGAGAGCGGGAGTGAGAGTGCTAGTGACAGTGAGACGGCTGTACAGGTGAGAGAGAGAGGTGGTTCATCCCTCTTCAAGAGTACGACTGGGCTAGATCATTCCACCAAACCACCCATGGTGCCAGTACCACCAGTACCACCAACACCAGCAGCACCACCATTGCCGCCTGTTACCAAACCCCTCCCTACCCCATCCCACCGCTCCCACCGCTCCCCCTCCTGCCCTCTCCCTCGCTTCCCCTCACATGCGCCCCCCCCTCCACCTTCCTCCTCCTCCCCCCATTGGGTGCCTTCCTCCCCCTCTCCCCCGCTCCCCATCCGCGCCCACCCCTCCCCCTCCCTCTCTCCGCGTCCCCACTCCCCTTCTTCTCCGCACCATTCCCCACCATCCGCCTCCCCTGCTCCCCTTGCTTCCCCCATTCCCCGTGCTGCTATGTCTGGGGGGGATAGGGCGAAGATGCGGGGAGGGGAAGGGAAAATCTGGGGGGAGGAAGCGGGGCAAAGGGGGAGGGGTAGGGGGAAGGCGAGGGGGGGAGCTCTGAGGGGAATGCGGAGAAGCGATGGAGCGGGTGTTATGATTAGAGGGGGACCTGGGAGGAAGACAGAGGAAGTAATGGAGGAAGGAGCAAAGGGATTTACGAAGGAAGATGGGGGAAAAAGAGCAGTAGATTTGACAAGGGTGGCGGAGAGGCAAAGGGAGGGGAATGTGAGTACGCATGCCACGGGGAGGGAGGATGGCGTCGGGGGAGGGCGAGCGGGATGGGGAGGGGGAGGGGGGGCGGTAGGGGGAGGGGGAGCACTAGGGATAGGGGGAGAAGGGGACAGAGGGGAGCAGCAGGAGCAGGAGGGGAGAAGCAGGGCGCATCAACCAGCAAGGAGGCAAGCAGCCGTGGTGTTCACAGCAACAAAAACGACCGTGGTTCTAGGGGAGGGGTTGGACGAGGCACAACGGCAAGCAGCCTTCACAGGGGCGATTCAGCTACTGGGCCATCACCAGGCGAATAGGCTGAAGCAGAGGGGGTATGGCGGACGGGGGAGTGGGAGAGGGAAAGGGAGAGGGAGAGGGAGGGGTGGGAGGAGGGGAGCCAGAGGAGGGGGCGGGGAGAGAGTGGGGGGTGGAGAGGAGCGGGAAGCGGGAGGAGGGGGCGGAGAAACGGGGGAAGGAGCGGATCCGTTTGCGTATGAGGTAGTGTGGGAGGAGGCTAGCAGTGGGGGGGGCAGTGAGGGAGGTGGGGGAGGGCATGGTGGGGAGGTATGGGGGAGAGGGCAGGGGGGTGCGGGGGGTGCGGGAGATACCGGAGATGCGCGGTATGAGGTGTCACGGGTGCGTGGTGGGCAGCAGTTTACAGTGACAGACCGGCAGACGGGTGACAGGGTGGCGTTTGCATTCGATGCGCCCGAGGAAACGGCAGCAGCTCTGGCGAGCGTGCATGTTCTGGTTGCTTTCATAGAAGCCGAGGAGGAGAGGCTCAGGTGGCAAGCCTTCAAGGCACAGTGACAGACAGGCAGCAGGCAGATGGGTGACAGGGTGGCGTTTGCTTTCGATGCGCCTGTTGAAACGGTGGCGAGCGTGCGTGTGCTGGTGGGGTTTATAGAAGGGGAGGAGGAGAGGCTCAGGTGGAATGCGTTTGGGGCACAATGAGCAGCCTTGACGTGGTACAGCAGCGGCACTGGCGAGCGTGCGTGTTCTGGTAGCGGTGATGCGTGCATGATGCAGGTACCAGAGCGGCGTTTGAGAGTAGAGGAACGTGGTGGTGTTACCGTATGTGTACCCTTGGACAGATGGCAAGGGATGGATGCTTGAGAACAGACGGCAAGGAGAAGCTTGTCAAATGCGGCTGGTTGGCGGGCAATGGCGGTTATTCAAGTTATGCGGACTATCTGAGACGTTCCAGTAGCCGTTCAGTTTAGAGCATGCATAGCCTAGCACTCTTATCACAGAGCAGGAATGTAGGAGTTCTATTTATTATATTGATTTTGGTATGTTCAAAGAAGGATCCGCACGGCTTAAATCTTACAGCTGCCACCCGGTACAATAAGCAGACGCAGCTTGAACTAGACTCTCGTCTCGTAGTAGTAACTGATGCGGCTGTGCCTAGGCCTCCTCTCCGCCAAGCTACCTCTCATCACGATGCCTTTTATATGCAGGCTCTCGACTCGAGAACCCTTTCTTACGCAAGGCGGCCAATAACTAGTTCTTGTGGGTGAGGCGACCATGCTTAGCCCCTGGCAAGGGCCCTCCCTCCCACGCCCACCACTGCATTCACCACCACTGCAGGCCTCCTTCCTCCCTAAGCACTCTCCAAACCAAACGCCCTTCACAAACACCGCATCCGAGCACCCCTTAAACTAGTTCTTGTGAGTGAGGCGGCCGCTCTCAGCCCCAGCCAGCGGATCAACCACCACATTCACCACCGCAGGCCTCCTTCCTCTCTGCAACAGCATCTGTCCTCTCAGGAGACTTAGTACGGTATCCTAGCACTAGTTCTTATGAGTGAGGCGGCCGCTCTCAGCACCAGCCAGCGGATCAACCACCACATTCACCACCGCAGGCCTCCTCTCCCCAAACGCCTGCTCGAGCGCCGCTCCAAGCTCCTGCACCGTGGTAACGTGGTAACCGCGCCCGCCAAACGCCTCCATCATGCGGTCGTACCGCGCGCCTTCCACGAAGGAGGTGGGAGGCGGGTCGCTGCGGGTGGAGTTGGGGAGAGTGACGGGCCCCCTGCGATCGCCCCCGTAGATGCCCCCGTTGTTCATCACTATCACCACTATGGGCAGATTGTATCGTACCATGGTCTGGAAAAGATTGGGAAGAAAAGGGTCGAGGAGGGAGGGAGGGGGGTCAGGGAAGAGGGAGGCCCCCGTAGATGCCGCCGTTGTTCATCACTATGACTATGATGGGCAGATTGTTTCGTACCATGGTCTGGAGATGGAGAGGGGGGAAAGCGGGAGTAGATTAGGTGTGGGTGAGTGGGGCAGTTGGACGGGCCCCCTGCGATCGCCCCCGTAGATGCCTCCGTTGTTCATCACTATGACTACTATTGGCAGGTTGTAGTAGTCATGGTTGTAGTACCATGGTCTGGAGATGGAGAGGGGGAGGGAAGGGCCAAGAAGGAGGGTAGGGCAGGGAAGAGTGAGGAAGCGAGGTAGGGCGCGGTAAAAACCTCCGTTGCTCATGTCTGTAAAAACTCGCTTCCACTTCCGAGAATTCTCACAAACGCAATGACTGATTATTCATGACCCTTACTCACCTCAATCTCCATGCCACTGAACCCAAACGCGCTGTCCCCCTCCAACGCCACCACTCCCTCGTCTCCCCTCCTTCCACTGTCCTTCTCTCCCTCGCACCCGCCCTTTCACACTACGCCTATGACTCACCTTTCCCCGCTTCCATCCACTCACCTCAATCTCCATCCCGCTGAACCCAAACGCGCTATCCCCCTCCAACGCCACCACCAGCCGCTCGCCCCTCCCCTCCTTCTTCCCCCCCTCACTCCAACTCCCCCTCCCCCCACTCTCCCCCTCCTCCCCTAGCGGAGCCACCGCCGCAGCCACCGCATACCCCAACCCCACGCCCATGGTCCCCCAGGTGGCCGCATCGAGCCGCGAGCGCGGGGTTAACTGGGGCAGCACGGTTCTGCCCATGTCCATGGTGTTTGCGCCTTCAGAGCAGAGCAGGGTGGTGACGGAGGGGGGGAGCGCGGCTAGCTTGTCACGTAGGACCCGCAGCGAGCAGTGGAAGTTGAGGGGGTGGGCGTCTTGAGAGAGAAGGGACTCCATTTTGATGCTGTTGGCTGATGCCTTGGCCTGGGCAGACGGGAGGAGCAGATAGGAAAGAATGGTGGGGCGGGGGGAGTGAGTGGAGAGAGGGGCTAGGAATGGGGCAGCACGATTCTGCCCATATTCAACAAATGAGAACGATTGAGGGCTAGACAGCCTGAGGTTGGTGCGACTTTTGAGAATTCTCAACAGTTGCACCAAATGGGAACGATTGAGGACAAGACAGCCTGAGGTTGAAATGAAACATCTTCAGCTTTGCTTACATTCAACTTTGCCACCCAGGGGTTGTCTACAGGAAGCTTCTGTCCTCCTTCTGCCGCCCACCTCGCAGCAAGCCGCCCGACCACCGCCCTGGCATCGCCCACCAGCCCCACCGCCGGCCGCCTCTGCGCCACCTCGCTTTCGTCCACATCGACCAGGACAAACTTCACTCCTGCCGCCCATTTCGGCGGGTGGCCGAAATGCAGAATCCAGTTCAGTCTCGCGCCGACCAAAAGTGCCACGTCAGCTTGGGAAAGAGCCAATGAGCGAGCAGCAGAGACGCACAGGGGGTGTGAATCGGACAAAACACCCTTCCCCATGGGTGTAGGGAGGAAAGGTATCCCTGTTGCTTCCACCAGTGCTGCTAATTGTTTCTCAGCATGAGCATAAGCTGCCCCCTTCCCCACCACCAGCAGAGGTGCCTTAGCTTCCCTCAGCAAACCAATAGCCTCTGTGATACTCGACTCAAGAGCTGTTGCAAGCGGTGCAGAGGGATCCAGAGCGGTGCGCCAGAGCGGAACCAGCGGCTTCACGTCCTCCAGAAGCTTCCGCGCATCTTCCTCGGAGATACTCCCGTGCAGCACATCGGCCGGCAGGTCCACATACGCCGCACCAGGCCGCCCGGCCACTGTAGCCTCCGCCGCCCGCTTCACCACCCCCGGGATCTCCGCAATCGTCTTCGCCCGCCCGGATTCCTTCACAAACGGCCGAACCACGCCGACCTGATCCAACTCCTGGAAATCCCCCTGACCCACATCCTCCTGCGTGCAAGAACCTGAGAGCAGCAGCAGCGGCCAGGTATTCACCTGAGCATGGCTCACCCCGGCTAGTGCGTGCACACACCCCGGGCCTGACACAGTCAGCAGCACGCCGGGGGTGCCTGTGAGGTACCCGTAGGCTGCTGCAGCGTAGCCTGCTGCTTGCTCGTTGCGGAAGGAGAGGAAGCGGATTCCCTGCTGCTGCGCTGCTGTGGCGACGGCCGTGACGGGAATGCCGATTACGCCGAATAGGTGGGTGACGCCGAGACGAGCAAGAGAGAGGGCGATTAGAGCAGGGGCGTCTAGAGTGGTAGAAGGGGAGGGGGAAGGGGCTGTTGGGGGGGGGTTGAATGGGAGGGAAGGGAGGTGTTGTGGAGTAAGAAGGGGAAAGGGAGCAGGGGGATGAGGGAGGGGGGTGTACTGTGAAGGTGGAGAGGGGAGGGAACAGACATGTGATGAACAAAAGGTTCCAACTTCGACCCGAGCTTGTTGACACAACACCCGAAGTACAGATCAAGAAAGGAAACAAGACTGCACAGTTCAACATCAAAAGTTTCACAAAAAAGCTTGACGTTTTGTTTTCACACATCAGTGTTCATCGTCGCCCTCTCCTGCTCTTCCACATCCCTCCTCCATCCCACTACCAGCAGCCCCGCTAAGCACCAGCTAAGAGTCATTCGGCCTGACGTCTGAAAGCATGACATGCGCATTGAAGTTGGAAGCAGGGTGGGTCTCGCCAGCGGCACTTCAACCTGCCCTAGCCCTGCTAGAGACCGGCTAGACCCATGCAGTACCAGCAGCAGCAGAGGTAGGAGCAGCCGAAGCTGCAGCAGGAGCAGCAGCAGCGGCCTCGCCAGTGAGCATGGCCTGGGCCACGAAGCGGCGCTGGATCTTGCCGGTGGCGGTGCGGGGGAGATGGTCGACAAAGAAGACGCGCTTGGGCAGCTTGAACGCCGCCAGGTGATTCTTCAGGTGCTCCTGCACCTCCTCCTGGGTGAGAGACACACCTGGCTCCAACACCACTGCTGCATTCACCTGACGGAAGGGGGGTGACGGAGTGGCGGTTGAGGGGAAAGGTTATGTGAAGGGAGACGATAGGGAGTGAGGGAGCACGAAGGACAGGGCAGAGAATAGCAGTGAATACTATTTCGTCCCTCTGCCCTGCCCTGTCCTTCGTGCAGAGAAACTATTTCTTTCCACATAACCCCCCAACCTCTTCCCCGTATTCACTCACCTCCCTTGCTTGCTTGACCCACTCACTCACCTTGTCTGAGGCGCATGAGATCTCAGATACCTTATCTCAGATACCTTATCTCAGATACCTTATCTCAGATACCTTATCTCAGATACCTTATCTCAGATACCTTATCTCAGATACCTTATCTCAGATACCTTATCTCAGATACCTTATCTCAGATACCTTATCTCAGATACCTACCCCCCTTCCCCATACAAGCTCACCTCCTCCCCGTAATGGTCATCAGGCGCAGAGAAAGCAACGGCCTCAGCCACCCCTGTCACGGCCAGCAGTGCAGCGTCCACCTCAAGAGGCGAGATCTTCTCCCCGCCCCTGTTGATCAGCTCCTTGAGCCGCCCCGTCAGGTACACATACCCCTCCTCGTCTCTCTTCCCCTCGTCTCCCGTGTGAAACCACCCGAACGCAAACGCCGCCTCATTTGCCGCCGGGTTGCTGCGGTAACCAGCTGTTACATTAGCCCCGCGAATGCACACTTCGCCGCGCTCCCCCACCCCCAGCTCCCTCCCCTGCTCGTCCAAGATCGCGAGTTCGATTCCTGTCGGCACCCCAACCGAGCCAGCCTTATGGGGCCCCTTGGAAGGGAGAGGATTCGCGGTCATCTGATGGCTTGCCTCAGTCATAGCATAGGCTTCGAGGACGGGAGCGCCGAATACTGTTTCCATTTCTTCCAGCACTGCTGCTGCCAGGCTGGCACTGCAGCTGCGGATGAAACGCAGAGGCGGGTAGGCGGCAACAGGGGCGGGAGATTCACCCTGGGATTCCACCTGAGAATTCTCCTGGGGTTTTCCCGAGAGGGTGGGCGGGCCGTGGGAGCGGTGGCGGGAGAGGAGAATCTGGTGCATGGTCGGCACCGCAGTGTACCACGTGGCACCGCTCTGCACCACTTCGTCCCAGAAGGTCGACGCGGAGAAACGGCCAGAAGCGGGGAGAACCACGGAACCCCCAGAGGAGAGAGAGGCGAGAAGAGCCGCCATCAGCCCATGCACGTGGAAAAGAGGCATGACTAGGTAAGACCGGTCGGCAGGGGTGAGGTCGTATGTGTCTATGATGTTCCCAATGGATGCTGCCAGGTTGGCGTGCGTCAGCGGCACGCCTTTCGGGCGGCTCGTCGTGCCTGACGTGTGCAGGAAGAGTGCCACGTCAGCGGGGTCCGGTGTGGGCCCGGGGCCGGGCCCGTCCGGGATATCGGCGGGGGGGAGGGCGGCGACGCCTGGGGAGGGACGCAGGGGGACTCCTTCCTGCGGGGAAGGGGAGAGGGAGAGGCGGGGAAGGGGGGGGGAGAGAGCGGGGAGTATGGGTAGTGACGTTCTCAGACAGCGGTAGGGCTCTGGGAAAGCAGGAACGCTCTTAGACAGCAGTTGATGTTTGTAAATCTTGGGGTAGCTCATCTCATCTCATCTCATCTCATCTCATCTCATCTCATCTCATCTCATCTCATCTCACCTAGCTCCCAGCATGCGCCACCGGTACTCCCAAGGCGGCAGCGGCCGCCTGAGCTTTGACATTGGGGTTCACGCTCTCAGGCAGCAGTTTATGTTTGCTAAGCCTTGGTGAAGCGGTGGCTCATCTCATCTCACCTCGCCGCCGTAGCTCCCAGCATGCGCCACCGGTACTCCCAAGGCAGCAGCGGCCGCCTGGGCCTTGGGAGTGCCGCCCTCGGGGAGAAGGAGCAGGCGCGCCTGCGCGTCCTCCATATAGAACTTGAACTCCTCCTCCGTGTATGCTGCGTTTAACGGAGCTGCTGTAGCGCGTACACGCGTTACTGCGAGGAAAAGGATCACGAACTGGGGGGGGGAAGTAGGTGGGGGGAAAGAATGGCACAAGGGGAAGGGTGTGAAGGAGGGGATGGAAGTAGAGCAAATATCACGAAGGAATTTGCAATTCAGCTAAAACTGACAGAAAGTTAGATGCTGACATCAGAAAAGGAAACATTTATGGATTATCTGGAACGAAATCTAAGGACAGGGTATGCGATGATTATGTCCGCAAATCAAAAGCGACATTGAAATTACACGGCGCGTTTTGAGCCTGCAAAAATAGCACGACAACCACTGACGAGTACCTCGAGTGAGTTAGGAAAAGCGAGAGACACCAGATCGCCGGGTCGCACTCCCAGCGCCCTCAGCTGCGCCGCCACCGCATCCACCGCCGCCTCGAGCGCGCCGTGCGTCACGGTGGGGCCTCCCTGCGTGACGACGATGGCCGCCGCATCGCCGCGCGACTCCACGGCGGAGTGCAGCCACGTGCGGAGGGTCTGCGGCTTCGCGTCAGCCATGGCGATGCCTGATGTGGCGCCTAGTTCACACAGACGACTTTATCAAGATTACTAAAAAAGGCGATGCCCGATGTGCTGTCTGATTCGTCTGATTGAAATAACAACTATAGGATCCACCTCGAGAATCACGCAAACACGGATTTGTCGCGAATCTTAGTAACGCGACAGACAACGCAAGAAGCGTTGGTGCTGCTGGGACATGGAAGCTAGGAAGAGAAGAGGGAATATGGAAAATGGAAAGCTGATGAATGCAGCAGACAACAAAATATGAAAATTGGCATCTTACAACCTACAGGATTCCCAAGAGAAAAGGGCCTGAGGGTGCGATCGCCAGTGACGAGGCAGCAATGTGCGGTTTCAGCGAACATTTCCATGTTTTCGCCAGCTGAATGACGCGATTCGTCTAGGGGGGGTTCACTGGTGACGTGGCTCCGTATGGCACCCCGCATACGACCAGTCAACAGCTGACGTGTTCTGGTTCCCCTCCGAAACGCTTCCACTAAGAGCCAGCTGTCTCTTAGGGACTGTACAATTGTTATTTCCATTTTCAGGAAGTGCAAGTGTGAACGGGCACTTTCATCTACTGCCCCAATCGAAGCGAAGCGTATATCGCAACCCGACGATCGATTGTCTACTTTTACCGCGTATTAGGGTTCCAGTTTAGGGAGATCAGAGCTCGAATTCAAGAGCCGCTACGGGTGTACGCTGATACTCACGATACCGTTCTAGCAAATTAACTTCCGATCGGGGCGGGTGCTCGGAGCGGGACGTTAGTGATCAGTTTAGAAGTGTCAACTTGTCGATCTGGAGTTTTGAGTTACATAAACTGCTGCGGTTTGTTTTAGTTTCCCAGCAGCCGCGGTCCGTACTTGTCCGTTTATCGACCCGAAGTCCTCCTCCCGTTTTGCGCCCATGGCGGCGCACTTCGCGGTAGGCCCGCAGGAAGATGACGCCATTATACGTCAGCGGCTGCTCACTAGAACCTCCGTCACTCGCGGCGAGCCGCCGATGAAAAAGCTCCTAAAGAAGTTCCTCGCTTTCACGTCAGAAGCGGCGCGGCTCGACAGCAGCATAGGTGACTGCGAGAGACTAGCGCGCTCCGTGCTGCACGAATTGGCGGGATTCGAGCAGCCTCTTAACATGTCTCGCGCCGTGATCAACGCTAACCGCAGGGAGCAGGAGCACTTTCACGAGCTGACGAAACAGCTGGAAGCGGATATTATCGAGGTGCGATAACCTAACCGTGTGGCTTCTCCGGGATTCCTTCTCGTCCGATATCCTCGTCAATTCCTCGTCAATTCCGCGTCTCAACCGCGCATTTCCCTCTTCGCGCTCCTTCTCCCCATTCCTCCCCATCCCTTCCCTTTTTCCCCACCTCCCCGCCTCCCTCCCCCCCTCCTCCCCCCCCGCGCATGATCATCAGGCGGTGGCGCGGGTGGATAGTCTGATGGCGGAGGAGGCGGAGGCGCGGCGGCAGCGGCAGCACGAGGAGGAGTGCGAGCTGGTGCGGCGGCAGATCGCGGCGCAGCCCGCGCGCGCGGTGTCGGAGGCGCGGATCGCGGCGCTGGAGGCGGAGGTGGAGGCGCTAGAGGCGGAGAACGTGGGCGCGGGGCGGGTGGTGGAGCTGCGGCGGAAGCAGTTCGCGCTGCTGCTGCACACGGTGAGTGCATGCGGGGAAAGGGGGAGAGGGGGAAGCTTGGGGGGATGCGGGGGCTGATGAAGCCGAGGAGGTAGCTGTTCGTCCCGCTGCTGTGCTCACTACAATTTGGGGTGTGCATATCGTGTAGTTCACATGTACATGAGTTTACTGTATACAATCATTGTGGTGTGTATTTGCCACGTTCCATGCGCAGATGGAGGAGTTACAAGGAGCATTGGAGGAGGACCCTTCAAGAGAGCTCGCAGCAGTGGTGGCGGCAGGAGGGGGAGGAGGAGGAGGGGGAGGGGTGCTGGTGGGTGCTGGTAGGCCGTCTGCGGCAGCAGGGGGTGGAGGGGACAGGGCAGCAACCCCGCCAGCACCCACTCAAGTAGATGCCTCGGGTGCTACCCCCATGACAGTTGACTCGTGACATGTCACCCCCACCACTCACTGTCCCTTCACACACAGTTGGTGGTGCTACTCGGCTGTTTGCTGCACCAGGGGGTGGGGAGGGAGGGAAGAGCAGCACAGCAACCCCGCCACCACCCACTCGAGTAGATGCCTCGGGTGCTTCCCCCATGACAGTTGACTTGTGACACCCGGGCCACACTACTGTCCGTTCACGCTGTGTGGGCAAAATTCTGTTTTTTCACACCCTGGTCAAACAAGTTTTTGTTGTTCCTGGCAGCAGCCGCTCCTGTTCCAATGCTGAAGTCTCTGATACCTTCGTCAAATTGAAGAATGCATACGGTACCGAAGGCTAAAGGCTACGTCCCAACAATGCCGTTTCCTACCACTCTAGCGCCCCAGCGTCCCTGTATAGAGTGTCACAACAACGTACAAAGCAGTTATCAGGGTGGGTGGATAGAGTACACTTGTGTTCTGGTTGCACAGCGCGCGAGGACAGATGGAGCAAGGCCATATGACATGTGGAGCACTGAGTATAGGATAGGATAGGAGGCATGTGGAGGCCTGGATGCTGGATACAGGTGGGGCAGCGTGTGCAAGAAACAGCTTGGGCCGTGGGTGCGGGGTGCGTGGGTGCGGGGTGCGTGGGTGCGGGGTGCGTGGGTGCGGGGTGCGTGGGTGCGGGGTGCGTGGGTGCGGGGTGCGTGGGTGCGGGGTGCGTGGGTGCGGGGTGCGTGGGTGCGGGGTGCGTGGGTGCGGGGTGCGTGGGTGCGTGATACACGTGCCGTGGAGCAGCGAGCACCGGGCCAGCAGGAGGGATTCAGCCAGTGAAAGGGAAGGACCATATCATTAAAGGACCGTATCATCAACAAATGAAAGAATGGAATTCAGCCAGAGCTGCTAGTGATATGTACAGGACTGATCTAGGCATCTCCTCCGTGCCACCATCTCACTCCCCTCAGTTGCCATCCTTGCTACCATCAGCATCGGCATCAGCATAACCATCAGCATCACCGTTGCCATCCTTGCTAGAAAGGATGTACAGGACTGATCTAGGCATCTCCTCCGTGCCACCATCTCACTCCCCTCAGTTGCCATCCTTGCTACCATCAGCATCGGCATCAGCATAACCATTAGCATCACCGTTGCCATCCTTGCTAGAAAGGATGTACAGGACTGATCTAGGCATCTCCTCCGTGCCACCATCTCACTCCCCTCAGTTGCCATCCTTGCTACCATCAGCATCGGCATCAGCATAACCATCAGCATCACCGTTACCATCAGCATCAGCATAACCTCAGTTGCCATCCTTGCTAGAAAGGCATAGTGCCGTCGTAGCGGAAGCCTTGATTGTAGAATAGATAGCAAGAGAAACTTGCAACTGAAAGGATTCAGAACAATGGAATTGATTGATTCAGTGGAATGACAGAGCAGGGTATTTATGTCAGCAGCTAACCCCCTCAGAATGGCCCTATCCACACCAATAATGCCACACCAATAATTCTACCCGCCAATAATTCTTACCCTCCAATAATTCTAGACTCCAATAATTCTGGCCCTCCAATAATTGTATAATTATTGGAGGGCTGGGAGTTTTATAAAGAGACACTACAGTAAAATCTAACAGCATTTGTATTATCTTGTGTTTGTATATTTAACACTCCCCCTTGCTGTAGGTTTTACTGAGTTCTGTTTTGGAGGATACCTGTAAATGGCGCTGATTGCGGTAGTAATTTTGGTCACGGCGTTGATTGCGGAGAGGCTTGGGGCAACTGTTCCGTTCGAGGATCACGTCAGCGATGATCGCGGCGACCTGACTTTGGTGCAGAGTTTCCGTTGGGACAGCGGCAGGTGGGTAGGTCAAGATGTCGTGTAGCGAAATTCTGCACGATCCTCGTCAGGTGTGCACCGTCCGTCCCTGTCACGCCCTTGTTCCAATTTGTCGCCTACCACGGCTGCCGTTTCTCCCACACCCCTCAATCCGCAGGGGTTCTCTCGACGCTCGTCATTCTGTCTCAGTTTCTCGCTCCTCCTGCTTGGTACTCCAATCTCCTTCGAGGAGTTCCTTGCAGATCGACACCTTTCCAGCCATGGCTGCTGCTAGTACGGACGATTTTTCACGGCGAGATGACGGTTTAGGTCAGCGCGATCTGCAGCAGCATCGGCGACTGCTGTAAATGTCGCGCGACTTCTGCAAATGTCGCGCGACTGCTGCTGCAATAGTCGCGCGACTGTTTCTCATGGCGCGCAGCTGCATCAGAGACACGGCTGCGACCTCTAGCAGCGTCTAGCTCTTGTGCGTTTCGCAGTTGTGCGGCGACAACAGTGTGTGACGGCCGCGGCTGATGCGTTTTTGCTGTGACTGGCGCGCTGCCGCTTTAACGTGCGTGCAGCTGCTTCTCCTGGCACGCGGTCGCGGATCCGCAGTTGCACGTGCACCGTGGCAGCAGCAACTGACAACGTCGGCGGCAGCTGACGGCGATGGCAGTCAAGCTGCAGCAGCAGCGTACACCCACCACCAGAGGCTGCGGACGGCAGACGCACGGCAGCTGCAGCGACAGCTGCAGTGAGCGACGCACGACAGCTGCTCCTGGCGGCGCACGGCAGCTGCTCCTGGCGGCGCACGGCAGCTGCTCCTGGCGGCGCGCTGCAGCTGCTCCTGGCGGCGCACGGCTGCTGCATAACCCTAACTACCCGCGGCTGTACCTAGCTGCGGACCCAGCAGCTGCAGGATTGGCGGTTGGCCTCACACACTTCTGTAACTCCTGGCGCCCGGCTTTCTCCTTCCTGCCGAGGTGAGAATGCTTAGTCGATCCTGACTATTTCACCCATGTTGCCCTGTTACCCTGTGAAGTTACCTTGTGCTGCTCCCCTTGACCCTGTGCTGTTCCATGTTGCCCTGTGCTGCTCTCCTTATACCAGGTGGTGTGCGGAAGCAGCTGCAACTGGTACACAAGCATCTGGTGGCTGCTTCTGCACCTGGCGGCCGCTCCTGTACCTGGCGGCTGCTTCTGCACCTGGCGGCTGCTTCTGCACCTGGCGGCTGCTTCTGCACCTGGCGGCCGCTCCTGTACCTGGCGGCTGCTTCTGCACCTGGCGGCTGCTTCTGCACCTGGCGGCTGCTTCTGCACCTGGCGGCTGCTTCTGTACCTGGCGGCTGCTGCAGTAAACGTCTGCCAGCGGCACCACCTGAATGGTGGCAACAGCATCACCTAGTCGCTTGCAGCAGCTCCCCCTGACGCCCTGCAGCATCTGGAGCCCTGCAGCACCGGGCCTGCAGCAGCTCTCCCTGATGCGCTCGCCGCTTGCACTGGTGCAGCTCCAGCACTGGGTGGCAGCAGTATCAGCAGCACCTGCGTCACCTTGGTGAGCAGCACCAGCAGTGCCTGTCTCCAGTTGTCTCCCCCTCCCTCTCATTGGAATCATGCTTTTGTTTTTAGTAGGAGTCAGCTTCCTCTTGTGATTCCCTCTGTCTGCTTGCCTCATGCTGACTCATGCTGATATGTTTCGACTCCCCCTGAAACCAGCAGGCATATGAAGTCTTCAGGAACGGCCGCTGCAGATGGCGAGTGGTTGTGACCAACCAGCAGCAGCGACTGTCCAGCAGAATATCTGATTGCTGCTGTTGTTACTGATTGCAGTAGGTCTTCTCATGATTATATGCTGACTCTTGTGATGAAAATGAAAAGATGGTTGTGAGATGAAATCCTGATTTGTTGCACCCCAAGATACTCCACACCCCACTCCCCCTCTCACTTGTGTGTTTGTAGGCATGCACATGCGTGAGCACGCACACATCACCAAACACATGAGTGAGATGTGTGGAGTTACGTGATGCCGTGTTGTTCAGCTCCCGTTGAGAAGCCCGGACTTGAGTGTGCAGCTCCAGCAGCTTCAATGTGAGTACTGGGTGCAGACGGTGCTACATGTGGAATAGGTTGGAGACCGCACAAGAGGCTGCAGGTGAGATGTTGTTTTGCTGTGAGGGGCTTGGTGAGATAATCCGCAGCTTGTTGAGCTGTTGGGCAGTACTCCGGCCGCAACTCCATCACGAACAGCCTTCCTCGTCCAATGGTAACGTACGTCCATGGGCTTGATGCGTTGACTCATCTGCTCCCCGGTTGCAAGCGCAATGGCGCTTTGGTTATCCACAAAGATGACGGTAGGGTCTTGCTGTCGAAAACCGAGGTCTTAACACAAGCGGCGAAGGTATGTGGCTTCCCTTGCCCCTTCAAACAGTGCAATGTATTCTGCTTCAGCTGTTGATGTCGCAATGACCGTTTGTCGTTTGGTCCTCCAACTGACAGCAGCTCCTCGCAAGGTAAACACGTAGCCTCCAACTGAGTGACGCCCTTCTTCGTTCGCATAATCCGAGTCCGTGTATCCACGGAGCACCTAGTCTCCTCCTCCATAGACCAGGCCCATGTCTGCACTGTTCTGTAAGTAGTTGAACACCCGGCGGATTCCAAGCACTGTCGCTGCTGTTGGTTTGCTTGCTTGCCTGGCCAGTACATGCGCTGCATAGGTTATGTCCGGCCGCCCTGCTGTTGAGATGTACAGCAATGTCCCAACTTGTTTCAGCACCAATTGACCATCAATCTCGTCCGATGGTTCTCCTTGTGGTCCAGGTTCCTTGGTGATTGGCGTCTTGACTCCGGAGCGACTGTCTTCCATCCCGAAGGTCGCCAAAGCCTGTGAGATGTACTTTGTGAGTCCGAGCAAGATCGAGTCGTTGTCAGCAGCGACGTTGAGCCGCAAAAATTGCGTCATTGTATTGCTAATGGTCAAGGTAAAGTTCTGCTTCAAGTGTTGAATCACAGCATCAATGCCTTCGTCGTCATGAGACTGGATGAGGATGTCGTCAACGTAGGTGAGAAGCCACACCGTGTCCTTTCCTTCTCTTTTCCAGATAAATAAGGACGGGTCAGATTCGGATTGCACCATGTCCAGCTCCAACAAGACACCCCGTAAGTGCTGATGCCACAAGCGTGGTGCTTGTTTCAGTCCATACACACTTCTTTTGAGTTTCCAGACTTTGTCTCCGTCCCGTCTTGGTTCTGGTGGTCTCACGTATATGTCCCGATCGATTGGGGGCGTACAAGAATGCGTTGGAGATGTCCAGTTGCACCACCTTCCGCTTTGTAGCAGATGCACCAGCAACGAACATGCGAGAGGTAGGTCCTTGGCTGACCGGTGCATACGTCCCATCGTATGTTCCCCATGTCTGTCCGCATCCCTTGACCACCCATCGCGCTTTAAACCGGTTTGGTTGTCCCTGCTCATCTCGTTTCACCCTTAGTACGACTCCTTCCGTCAGCACCCTCGTTCCTTTTGGTACGTCCGCTCTGTCCACCACTTCGTATGCGTCCAGCTCATCGAATTTAGCCAATTCTGCATCCACCGCGGCTTGCCAAAGAGGTGCGTACGGGGCTTTTGTCATGTCCTTGAGCGTTTTGGGCTCCTTGTACGTCAAGTCCACCATGGGGATGTCGGTTGCTGCACATCCTAGCACGTGTTGCTGCAAGTTGGGAAGGTTGTTGTACGCTTGTGCTGCCCGTTGTTTCCCAAACAGCACGTCTAGTCCTGTCATGCTGTCCGTCCCTTGTCCTTCTTCTCCAAGCACAGTCACAGTTGGGTTGAAGTGAACCCGCCGTGGAGTCGCGTCATGAGCTGCTAGCTCGATCCCATCAGGTGGGTAGGCAAAGTCATAGAGATGACTTGCCTCATTCTCCATTTTGTTGCTTTCAGCACTTTTAGGAACAGAGACGCCAGCTGGAGGTAAGTCACGTGCTGCATCCCATTCTCCTTTATTGGCGGCGTCGTTAATGGGTGAATCTTCTTGATTTGCGTCAGCTTCTTGTCCTCGTGTGGTTGATGTGTCCGTGGACGACGTAGGCGATGGTGAGGATGCGGGAAATGAGTCAAACTCGGACCCAAATCTTTCTCCCCGTGAAGTCCAGCCGTCGATGTGAGGTGAGACTTCTTCCATGTAGCGGTGGCGTTCGAGTACTGATTTAGCGTCCAGAATCATGAGGTCATTAAAGAAACGAGCTGAGCGTGTGTCCGTGTCATCATCGCTTGCCAAGTCCCGCACGATCCATGCCTTCCGAGCGTTGGAGAATCCAAGGAACATCCCAACCCTTCCTCTTTGCTCGAACTTCCCAAAGCTGCCAAGAGGCAGCCAAAGGTCCTTGCCATTGAAACATCTGCCGCCTTTCCCGTCATCATGAAGTACGGTGAGTGTGCTAATGGGTTGCTGCTGCAGCTGATGCGGTTGTGTAACCATGCTGCATACTCCAGCGCATAAGGCCAGAACTTCGATGAAAGGCTGGCTCCGGTGGTCATTGCATGCACTCGGTCCATGAGTGTGTGGTTAACCCGTTCGGCAACCCCATTCTGCTGCGGCGTGTGTGGTAAAGACGTTTGGTGACTGATATCGTGAGAACTCAGGTAATCCGTGAAGGCGTTTGCTGTATACTCTTCCCCGTTGTCCGTGCGCAAGGCAGCCAACGGCGTCTTGGGCAGCTTGGTCTTCATCTCACGGTGCCAAGCCGAGAAAATTGCAGCCATGTCGGACCGGCGAGCCAACGGTGCCACCCACAGGTAGTTGGTGTAGTCGTCCTTGAGCGTCAGCACATAGCGAAGTGAAGGGTGAGCATCACCCAGGTCCATGATGTCGCTATGCACAAGCTCCAAAAGTCGAGTTGTGCCCTTGGTACTTTTTGTGGGAAAGGGGGCCTTGCTCATCTTCCCTCGAAGACATGAGTCACATGGGGGTTTGAGAGGGTTAATCTTGTCAGATATGGTGAGTCCTTCAACATCACCATTCCGAAATGTTGCATCCATGGATGTGTATGATGGGTGACCCAAGCGCTTGTGGGCCAAGCGGTATGTGATGGATGCATGCGCAGAAAGTGGATTCAGCCCTTTATGACCATGATCATATGACGCGTCATCCTCATTATAAGGGTCAGATTCATGGGCAGATGCAAGTGAAGGCTCATACTGCACCATGAGCACACCATGCATGATCATTCCAACCCCAATGACCACATGCTCATCTGCAACCGCCATAGTAATCTCCGTGCGTCCGTCATCTTGAGTGCGAATCCGAGTCCCTTTCGTGTGCAGCTGGCAATAGGAGAGCAGGTTGGACTTCAAGCCGGGTACGTAGAGCACATCCGTGTAGCGCACTATTGTTCCATCGGGTGCCGTTGCTCGGATTGTTCCCGCCATCGAGCTCAACAGGTAACTCTCGTCAGCAAGCTCCACGAAAACAGGTTCGTCCAGCTCCTTTAAACCCTCAAACCAACCCTTTTCTGAAGTCATGTGTTGGCTGCATCCGCTGTCCAGCAACCACAACGACCCTCCGGCTGATGGTACCATTGCTTGTGACGACCGAACCGTTGCAACGCATGTAATGGTGCGTTTGTTGTCTCCCCCGGCTGTCCCTTGCTGTTTTAATGCTTGGTTGTCACGTTTGGGGCTTTCACTCCTTCGAGGCGAGGACGAACGGCTATTCCAGGTGCGCTGGTTTGTCCTCCCTCTGTTTTGTGGTTCCCACCCTGGTGGTGACCAACCAGGGGGCGCCTTAGGACACTTGTAAAACGGGTGGCCAGATTCCTTGCAGTACCAACACACAAGGTTGGAGCGCCCTCCCTTTCCTTCGTTGGCCTTGAGTTTCTCTCCAACCGTTGCGTGCTGCCCTGTCGTTGACTTCACCGCATTCTGGTTGCCCTTTGTCTCGGTCCTCTCCTTTGTTGGTGAATTGTCTCCACGTGCTTGGCCAGCCATGCGAGGAGGACGCTTGTCACGGTTGGTCTTGCTAATGAGGTTTTGGTAGCGTTGTTCCTGAATCATCATTTGCTGCAGTGCGTAGCTGTCTGAGATGTCGTGGAGCATTGCTGAGTGCCTTAGCTCCTCCCAATGCGGCGGCAGCCCGGTAATCAGATTTAAGGTGAATGAATCTTCATCCACCATTTTGAGCCATTGCCAACTTGTCACGAATTGCAATTGCTCGGTTGATGTATTTCTCCACTCTTTCTTGACTCCCCATCTTCAGGTTGTCCAATTGCCTTTGGAGAGATGCCTTTGACACCGAATCCTTTGCCTGGTAAGTCTCCATCAGGTACTCCCATGCTTCGAATGCCGGACTGTATGACTCTTGGGACACGTCAAGTTGCAGCTGAATCGTTGCGCTCACGCTATGCAGAAGTACCCAAAAAGCCAGCGTAGCACGTTGTGAGTAATCTGCTTGTAGAACTTCCAGCCGTTCCATTGCATCTCGCATTTCTCCATTCACCATTGTTACCGGGTATTGTAGCGTCACGAAGAACTCCCACAGGTTTGTCACGCGCGCGTTCATGCGAAACCGAAGAGCCCACTCTCGAAAGTTAGTGCCGTCGAATGGAGTTGTTGTGAACGCTGTCCACCGCTGCTGCCACCATTTTGCGTGACAACCTGTCCTTGTCTTCTTCCGTGTACTCGCGTGGAGACGGGTCGAAGAGCGTAGGCACGTTAGATGGTCGAGGTAGTTGTACCGTGCGTTGTGTGCCTTCACGTTCCACCACTTCCACTTGATCACGTCGCATAACACCACTTGACTGCATCCCGTGCCCCATGCGCCCCATGCTTCCTGCAGGTACAGCTTCCATTTGAGACCGTGGCGCACGAGGAAGTACGACGTTGTTGCCAAAGAGGTGAGATCTGCCCATCACGGGAACTCTAATGGGATGGGAGTTAGTAGCGAGACGTCGTAGTGGGGGAGCACCAGTGTAGGATTCGAATCCCACACCTTCCATGCCCACATGACTGCTTCGACCACTCCCTTCACCAATCTGCCCTCTCATGTTCCTTCCCACGCCGATCCCATCACCATGCTCCATCACATGCGTTCCATTCCCGTACGCATCATCCCTCCCCGTTGCTTCCCTATGCATGGTTGATTGAGGTTCGGGGTGGGAGTTCCTCTCCTTGGAAGGATGCATTCCTCCCTTGGGATGACTCTCCTCCTTGGGGTAAGCTTCCCTCTCCTTCACCTTCAATCCCTGCATCCATATTTGAAGTATGGGTTTGGTTAGTACGCGGAGTGCTTGCATGTGACTGTTCACGGATGGATGGGTTGCTGAAATCTCGAACTTGGGCTGGCATGTTGAACTTTGCTCTTAATGACGCTTGGAGTGTCGGTGGTGCCCTTGCAATCATGTTCTCCAGGTGCTCATGTTGAGTCATGATGGCTTCTTCAAACGCCTCGTATCCAGCATCGACTTCATCGTCGAACCGCGCCATGCCTCCAATCCAAATGTTGTCACTTGCTGTGCGAGTTTGCTAATATGCCTGTCCAATGTGAATGCTGATAAGGTTCTGACCAAATTACGGCAGCATGCCCCCTAGAGTAGCTCTGATACCATGCTGGAAAGGCATAGTGCCGTCGTAGCGGAAGCCTTGATTGTTGAATAGATAGCAAGAGAAACTTGCAACTGAAAGGATTCAGAACAATGGAATTGATTGATTCAGTGGAATGACAGAGCAGGGTATTTATGTTAGCAGCTAACCCCCTCAGAATGGCCCTATCCACACCAATAATGCCACACCAATAATTCTACCCGCCAATAATTCTTACCCTCCAATAATTCTAGACTCCAATAATTCTGGCCCTCCAATAATTGTATAATTATTGGAGGGCTGGGAGTCTTATAAAGAGACACTACAGTAAAATCTAACAGCATTTGTATTATCTTGTGTTTGTATATTTAACAGGATTCAGCCAGTGAAAGGGAAGGACCATATCATTAAAGGACCGTATCATCAACAAATGAAAGAATGGAATTCAGCCAGAGCTGCTAGTGATATGTACAGGACTGATCTAGGCATCTCCTCCGTGCCACCATCTCACTCCCCTCAGTTGCCATCCTTGCTACCATCAGCATCGGCATCAGCATAACCATCAGCATCACTGTCACCGCGGGCCATGGGTCCCTCCAACGGGGGCGAAGAGGTGGAGACAGTGGGAAGCAGCTGGCTGGGAGGGCCCCTGCTCCATGCCATCACCTCATGTCCCCTTAGTCACCATCCTTGCTGCCATCAACATCAGCGTCAGCATCAGCATCGCCATAACCATCAGCATCACCGTCACCACAGGCCATGGATCCCTCTAACGGGGGCGAAGAGGTGGAGGCAGTGGGAAGCAGCGACTGGGAGGGCCCCTGGGAGGACGTGTGTGTGCTGCCTTGAGGGGCGCTGGGGCTAGCTACTGCCGCACTTGCTGCTACAGCCTTGCCTGATTCTTTAGGCCGGGCTGCTGCTACAGCCGCCCCTGCTGCTACAGCCGCTCCTGCTGCTACAGCCGCCCCTGCTGCTACAGTCGCCCCTGCTGCTACAGCCGGGTCTGCCGCTGTCATGCCTTGAGAAGAAGCCCTCTGATTGGCTGCAGGGCGCCGGCTTGCTATCACGCCGTCTCTGATCAGCTTTTGCACCTCTGCTGCTGCTGCGTCTGCTGCCTCTGTGGTGGAATACCCCTCCGGCTCTGCTCCGAGCGACTGCCGCAGGGAGAAAGAGAAACGGCAGCGGCAAGAGCGGGGGGTGTGTCGTTGTTTGAAAGACAGAAGCAGCAGTGCACGAGCGTGAGATCATGAGCGTCGGATCATGAGCGTCGAATCATGAGCGTCGGATCATGAGCTTCAGATTATGGTAGGAGCTACAGGGAGAAATGCTGCGATGGGTGTGTATGTGCCCTGCACGCACCTGAATCTGGTGAATGAGGCTGCAGAGGAAGCGGATGGTATCGGAGAGGACAGACACTGTGTCCACTCGACTGCTGCCCGGCACCAGCCGCTGCAGCGTGCGCATCTGACTCGCTATGCGCTCCCTCCGCTTCTGCAAGGGGAAGACGGGAGTGGAGAAGAGAGAGGGAAGGGAGAGTGGGATGAATGTGATGAAAGTAGTGGAGGGGAGAGAGTGGGGAGAGACAGTGAGAGGAGATGCAGGAGACAGAAACCACAACAGCCGTTTCTCTGATTGAGTTCTGTTCTAGAGGCGCTTCAGGTCTGTGCCAGCCAACTCACCCTGGCTGCAAGACATGCGCCAGACACCCTTCCCAGGACTCGTGTTCCCTCCGCCGCACCTTCCCCCTCCTCAAAACCATCCAAAGCAGCACTAGCCCCACCACCCCCCCCGCCTCTCGCCTGCACCTCCCACGCCCCGTCACTCGCTCCCTGCTGCTTCCTTCTCCCTGCACCTCCGTCCTCCCACGCCCCGTCATTCGCTCCCTGCTGCCTCCCCCCTGCCGCTCTTCCCCCTCGCTCGCTTCCCCGGCCACGTTTCCGAGTCTCCCCTCTCGCTTGCCGCTTCCTGCCCACATCACCCGCTGCTTGGCCCACTGCAATTGGTTTCTCATCTATTGGGGAGTCGCTGGGGGGGAAAGTGGAACGCGGAGGGTGAAGGGGAGTGGCGGCAGGCGGGGGGGAGGTGGGGAGGGGCGAGAGGGCGTTAGGGGCCGCCTGAGTGTGCTGCGGGAAAGCCCCGGAAACCGCAGCGGCCATTCCTTCAAGTGAGGTGGTGGTGTTGTTGTTGTTGCCAGCCCAGGGACGCCCCTCCCCGCCGCTTGCAGCACCGCCACTCGCACCCCCACCACCGCTCGCACCACCGCCACCACTGACACTGCCACTTAAATTGCTGGTCTGCCGCTGCAGCTGCTGCAGCTGCAGCTGCTGTTGTAACTGCTGCTGTAGCTGCTCCCGCAGGCTCTGAGGCAGCTGGGCCGCGAGAGGCAAGGCTGCGCTAGCAGCAGCAGGCTGGCGCAGCTTCTGTGGAGAGGACAAGGGCTCAAGATTTCGATGTGCTTCATCGAAATCACTTTTGAGAATTCTCAAAAGTGACTTCTGTGGAGAGGACAAGGGCTCAAGATTTCGATGTGCTTCCAAGAGGGGTGCGATGGCGCTGCTGCCACCAGCATTGCTGCTGCTCCTGCGGAATCGTTTCGCGGCGACACCGGCAGTGGCAGTAGCAGTGGCGCTGGCACTGGCTGGGTTAGCGGCGGAGGCGTTGTCGCAGCGATTGCCTGTATCTGGACTGGCACTGACAATCATATCACCAATGTTCCCCATGTTCCTCATGTTCCCCCCCATGTTCCCGGTGCCGCTGGTTGCCGTGTTTCTCCTCTGCAGTTTAGCGTCCACATTCCCATCCCCATATCCATACGCGTCTCTCTCCCCAAAGTCCCCATACCCAGTTCCATTCCTATCCACACCCCCTGCCACATCAGCACTGCGCCACTCGTCACCCTCTCCTCCCACTCCCCCAACCGTCCCCCCACCCATTCCCCCATCCATCCCCCCCCCAACTCCTCCCCACATTCCCCCGGTTCTCCCCCCACCATCCATTCCGCCACTGCCCGCGCCAGCTGCGCCGCCAATCCCAGCCCGCGGGGGGCCTGCGGGGGTGAATCCTCCACCCTGCCCGCCCGCCGCCGCCGCAGCAACTAAAATCATGGACGCCAGAGCGTCAACGGCGCTCGGATTCTGCGCCCCCGTCGCCGACGGTTCCGCCGTCGCTTCTGCACCTGCTTTCCACACCATCCCGCCGCCTGCCAAGCCGTGTCCTGCCGAGCCGTCCCGTGCCTCAAGTTGCGGTAGTTGCGAGTCTTGAGACGTCTCGAAACTCACTCCGCCTCCTACCGAGACGAGTCGCTCGCCGGCGAGAGAAGCGGCGACGGACGCGGCAAGGTGCGCGGACGAGGCGGAAGAGGAGGAGGCGGGGAATGCAGCGGCGAGTGCAGCGGCGGAGGCGGGGGCTCGTTGGAACGAAGCTGCTGGAGCCGGCCGCGTGAGGGGAAGCGGCGGAAAGACGCCTTCCGCCGGCAGGAAACCCGGCGCAGGCGCCGCCGCCGCCGCATTGGCGGGCAGGCTGGCGGAACTGCGCCATCCGGCGGCGGCACTGACGGCGCCTTCCCCCGTTCGCCTTTCCCACTCACCAGCCTGCCGCCGCGGCTCAGTAGCGAGCGGCGCGAGGGCCTCAACGGCCTGCTGGTGCGCCGCGAGGGAGCGGAGGATGGCCGGTAGGTGGCTGGGACTGAAACCGCCGTCGTGTCTCGCGGCGTGACCGGCGGCGGCGGCGGCGGCTGCGGTTCCGGGGCCGGCATCCTGTGACCAAAACTGCGACATTCCTTCGCCGCCGTTTGCGAAATCATCGTCCGTGCGCTCATGGATTGCTGTGTCGGCTATTGTACTCGCAGTACTGGCTCCAGTACTGAAACGAGCCGGAAAATCAGCGGGAGCCCATCCGTTTCCCAACTGATACTCGCCGCGTCCGGCGCTCGTCCATGCGCCGCCGCCATTCGACCACTCCTGGTGAAACTGCTGCGCCGCCGTGTTCTGCGGCGCCGTGTCTTGCAGCGCGTTCTGCGGCAGCGATCCTGCGCTGGCTTGGGCTGTGTAGTATGAGTATCCGTTCCCCCCAGCTGAGGTAGCGGCGGTCGCGGCGGGAACCACGGCATCGAGCGACCATGGCAAAGTTATGCCATTCGGAACGGCGGACGACGAAGCGGCGCGGAGAATGATGTCCTCCAGCTCACCCGCCGCCATGTCACTGCTGAGTTCGTTCGAGGCGCGCATGTAATCCCAAAGTTCTCCCTCGCCGCGCAACGCGGCGTTGGATGATGCTACCTTTGGGTCGATATCTAAAGTTGCTGCTGGTTGTACGGTGCGGGAGTTGGCGCTGTCCGAAACGAAAAATGGAACGGAAAAAGGATCAGCGTAAAACGTGTCGTTCGCGTTGTCGGCGATCATTCCGAATGGGAAACCAAAAGAACAGAACTGTTAGGTACAAGGTTGGAAGTGACAACTATCAGGAACGTTAGACTTCGTCATTGCGAGTTATATGTACGGAAACCACGGCTGTTTTCCGCACAGAATCTCGGCTCACCATGACCCTTGAAGTTGAATCTGGGCCTCATTCGACATGTGACCAGCGAAGTGAGCAGCAAGAACGGAATTCAATTCTTGTTTAGGTTCGAGGCCCAAGGGCCAAATGGAGGGCTGCCAGCTGGAAAAGGAGGACGGAGGGAGGGGGGGGAGGGGTGTGCTTGTGGGCCAAATCGAAGCGAGTTGCCAGGCGGTGTCAAATCTGCGAATCGATGCCCAAAAGCGCGTTGAAATTTGGTCCCAACTTTTACGCGGGGAGAGGAGCATTCTCATCATTCCCGTGGGGGAAACTCTCCCCGAAGTCTGGAATGTCCGTCGTAATCGACGATTCGGGCCGGAAAAAATACAAAAGGTACACGTAATGTACTCATTTTGCGCGTGTACGGTGGTTGTTTGATCAAATCGATTGACGACGACACTATTCATGGATCCCCTCCGGTGGGCCAATAAAAATATACCCGGTGCACCCCCCACTTCGAAACCACTGCAGCTGTCAGGTCCTAGACGTGAACCACCCAAAACTCCAAACTGGGACGTAGTCAAGGGGTCTGGGGCAGCTTGACTCTTGTTCCGCCAACTCAGACATTCCAAACCTCTCCCTCCCAGCACCCACGTCCACCAAACCATTGCGGTAATTTTTACCTAAAATATTCCTTCTGCTCTGTACATAAATTCCCAAGGTCTGGCTTTCCACCACCCTGCTGAATCTGAGTTCTGTATAATTCATTCACTCCTAGAAGAAAATTTATTGAGCTAGATTGCAGCATGACCCTCTTGAAATGAGCGTTTAGGGCGCAACAACATTGTTTTGCGGGGCCTCCCTTCCACCAGACGATTGTGCCGTTGTAGAGTTTGATGGGATTTCGGAGCACAAATCGGCCGTCCCTCGCACAAGCTGATGTACTGGGTGGTGTGGAAGTGCCGGAAAAGGAAAATTAGGGAAGTGTATGCAGGGAGACTGGGTCCGAAATGCAATCTTTGGAAAACGACTCGGAAGGGAATGCGAACTCGCCTGCGCCCACCATCCGAGGGTGATGTATTGTTTTTGGCCTGGCGGGGTTGCGCTCGGCCGACACCCTGAAATGGCAGGGTGGCCGAAAACGAAAGGGCAGATCTCACCCCCTGTGAGTGAGCCCCAGCATGTTGAACTTTGTTGGGTTCAGGGCGTGTCTGAAGTGAATTTCGACGTTTGCCGACGAAACTTTCGTCGACGTTCCTTGACGAAACTCGACATCCGTTTTCAGCTGTGTTCACTTCAGACACCCACACGACAAAATAACCCACACGTGCCATAGGAACACTGTTATAAGTTGCCCATGAAAATTCGACGTGGAATTAACAGAATCATTCATGTAACTCAATTGTTTGCAATCTCGCGAATTTCGCTTAGCATAGATTGTTGCTGGTAACACCGGATATTCTACTGTCACATTGCCAGCGAAATTTCTCTAGCACGTGTCGCTCTCGTCTTAGTTCTTATTCACGTGTGTTTGCCACAGCTGTGCAGACATGGCGTGTCGAAGAATTGTTTTTGAAACACTCACTGACTACAGTGACTCAAACAGCTGCCCGGTATCACTGTTCGACATCCCTCGACATGTGCACGAACGTCGAGTTTCGTCGAGGGATGTCAGGCTGCACTTCAGACACCAACACGCGTGGGTCCCACGGATGAGTTTCGTCGACAATTTTTGACGAAACTCGACGTTTGCACTTCAGACACGCCCTCAGGTTCCAATCCAACAACCAACCGAAAGTGCAATCCGATCAGGCAGGGCCTTCCATTCGACGTCGGCAATGGGCATCATTTCTTGGACATTTTCTAGGCCACCGATTAGTTGCTCTAACTGTTGTGGTAAAAGAAGGCCTCTGATTCGGCGAATGTAAATACGGTAAAGCACACAATCTGGGCGGATTCCGTGCGAATCCCACACAGTCCCAATGTCAAGGCCTACTGGACAGCGGAATGCCAAAATGAGACAAATCTGATGTGCACGATTTCATTCTTCACGTGTTACAGAATGCACAGACTGAACTTTCACTCTGCTTCAGTTCGGCGAGCAGTTCTGTGCAATTTTCACAAGCGCGTGCAAGTCTGCCCTAGATTGGACCACCTTTGTTCTTGGCAGGGAATTCAGTGTAACTTTCTGCAGATCAATTGTAAACACGCATATGAGTTGTGTGGGATTTACCGTTGAAAAATGCACAAATAGAGCAATGATGTCGCCTGAAATAACTCGAGTAGAGCTTCATGCACATGCTGGAGATTTCGTTCAGCATATATCCAATTGTTTTGATTCCATTTTTATATGAGGAACTACGTAAATATAGTAGCCTCATTTACACACGATGAAATTGAGAAATGGTGCATGTACGCTAGCTACATCACATACGGTACAACCTCAATATGATACTGATTCAGTTAACGTATGTCTTCTATTACAAACATGAATACTTCACATGTCCTTGTCACCCACTAAATACTCTCCCAATCCCCCCCTTGACACCCTCAGCAGCTTCCCACCACTGCTAGTTCTTTCCGACGCATTTCTGCAACCGAAAATGGCGTGTCGCGCTTGGCTTGTTTGCTGGATTGACCTACACGGCCGTCGCCAATCCTAGAAGTTATCCTCCTCTATCGATCCTCTCCAATTCGCTATTCCTCTTTAGAATCACGTCGTGAAGTTGTGAGACGCTGATCTGGTCGTCCCGTCGTGCAACTACTAGTAGAACTAAACTTGGTTACACTCGAGCCTACAATGGCCGGGAACGCAGCGGCGTTGTTCGCGTTGCGCGAGGAGTTCAAGCTACCAGCGCTCGTCGCGTTCGCGGCTCACCTCGTCTACATGCGGGTACTAGTACTAGGTCACGCCGTGAGTCGTCCACCAGCACATTCTTTCGTGAAACGAGCCGTGTTTTGAGTCGACTCAATTTACTACTAGGTCTCGCCATGCCTCGTCCACCAGCAAATTTCTCGATCTCCCTTTGTTCCAGTAGAGTCCACCTCTTTGACCCAGTGGGTAGTGAGGCGTTCTAAGTCTTTCCCACATGACAACCTTGCACGCGCGTGTCCAGGTGGGTGCCTCATGCACCGCATGCTTTTTTTCCTCCTCTCCCCCTCTTCCCCCCCCTTCCATCTTCCCCCCACCCCCCACCCCTCTTTCCCCCTTTCCCTCCGTCTCTCCCCACCATCTCCCCTTCCTACCCCCACGCAGACGCTTCTCGGCATCCGTGCGGCGCGCATCAAGCATCGCATTTTCGCGCCCCGCATGTCCGGCAATCCCGACTTCGACCGCGTGATCCGCGTGCAGGCGAACTTCGTCGAGCAATTCGTACGTGATTGACCCTTAGAAGCGTGGTTGATACTTATTCTGAGGCGCCTTTGTCGAGCAATTCGTACGTGATTGCCCCTTAAAAGTGTGGTTGTTACTTATTCTGAGGCGCCTTTGTCGAGCAGTTCGTACGTCGTTCACGTATTTGATTCCATGCAAGCCGCTCGTAATCAGGTCACGGCTACGAGGGAGAAGAAGATGAAAATAACAATGAGTCACCTGCAGAGTCCTTGTCTCCTCCCTTCTGCCATTCCCATCCCCCCCACCACCATGCGCTTTTCAAACTCTCCCCCTCTCTCCCATCTTCTCTTCCCCACTCCAAACCCCTCTCCCACTTCTCCAAACCCCCCGCCCCTTTCCCCTCGTCCTCTCTCTCTCTCCCACCCCCTCGTTACAATCACAGCCTGCGTTTATCACGTCCATGTTCCTCTGCACGCTGTTTAAAGGCGGCACGGTAGCAGCGGCACTTGGCACAGTGTGGGTGGTCTTTCGCGCCGCGTATGGGGAGAGGTACAGTGCCCGCAAGCTAAGTCTCGACATTTTCTTGTACACTGTGCCTCAGTATGCGGTGATTGCTGTCATGTACCTTTTGCCCCTGTTTAGAATCATTCCCACATTGATTTAGGTTTAAAAGAGCTGTAGTTCGATTTGAGGCATATGGGGAGAGGTACAGTGCCTCAACTGGGTATGCCATAATGCCAGCTCACAACACAAGCAAGGGTATGCCAATGCCATGTGGGTTTAGGGTGATCACCAGATATCACGAGTAGGGGTATCCTTGGCCTTGATACCGTACCTGGTGATTAATTACTCTCGTGTACCTGCTGCCGCCCGTCAGAGTAATTCCCTAACTTCTGTCGGCATGCACAAGCGGTAGTTGGACACATACCGGTACATGCTATGCTATGCGCTCGCTCCCTTCGCAATTAAACAAGCTACTCAATAGGCTCGTCAAGGCTGTACAGATGTTTAGGAATGAAGATGTGAAGGCTTGTAAAGTAAAGGTTAAAGTATACGATTCACTGGTACACTGGGCTTCAATATGCGGTGCTCAGTGCCTAGTGCCTTCAGAATCATTCCCATGCTTACCGTATGTGAATGTGCTGTAACAGGATTAGTGGCTATCCAAACCACAAGCTTGCTAGCACCAGGGGGGCACTAAACGCCGACATGTAACATGAATTAAAAAGCCTTGTGAATAATGGTGATCCCTCTCTTCTTATCAGAACCCACGAGCGTCCATCGCCCCTCCCCCAAACTCCTTCTGAGAATTCTCAAGAACCAGCTTGTGAGATGATAAGAATCCCTCTCCTCTTATCAGAACCCACGAGCGTCCATCGCCCCTCCCCCAAACTCCTCCTGAAACTGCTCCCCACCAGCAGCACCCTCCTCCTCCCCCCCCTGCCCGTCAAGTGGCATGTCTGCCAGGGCTGCAGCAAAAGCAGCATCGTATTTCTGCAAGGAATCGTGCACCCAGGGAGGGGTACCGCGGCTCTCCACCCACAGCGGCTCCCCTGTAGCTATCTTCTTGAAATCGGGGTACTTGGGGGGTACTTCATTGTGTTGCTGCGAGGGGAGAGAGATGGGAGGACAGAGGAAGGGAAGAGGGTTCATAAGCCACTCGCCTTGCGTTGTGCACTCAGGGGAGGGTGCCGCGGCTCCCCTGTAGCTATCTTCCTGAAATCCGGGTACTTGGGTGGCACTTCATTGTGTTGCTGCGAGGGGAGAGAGAAGGGAGGATAGGGGAAGGGAAGAGGGTTCATGAAGCCACTCGCTGAATTTCAGCAACGAGTCGTGCACCCAGGGGAGGGTGCCGCGGCTCTCCACCCACAGTGGTTCCCCCGTGGCTATCTTCTGGAAATCCGGGTACTTGGGGGGCACTTCGCCGTGTTGCTGTGACGGGAGAGGGAAGGAAAGAGGGCGAGAACAAAGAAGGCAAGAGAGCTTTCATGTACCCATGCATCACACATGCCATACCTTGCACCCATGCATCACACATGCCATACCTTGCACCCATCCATCACACATGCCATACCTTGCACCCATGCATCACACATGCCATACCTTGCACCCATGCATCACACATGCCATACCTTGCACCCATGCATCACACATGCCATACCTTGCACCCATGCATCACACATGCCATACCTTGCACCCATGCATCATGCATCCTATAACTTGGGACCGTGCATCAAGCATGCCAGTGGTCGTTAAACAAGTCTCGCGACAAGGCATGATGCATCCACCCGCTCCCCTTCACAATGAGAGTTCTCAGCGAGAAGCCTACAAAAACAAGGCCCGTGCATGCCATGCCGTACCTTCATCTCCCGGTAGTCAACTTTTGAGACGTCTCAAAAGTGCATCCACCCGCTCCCCTTCACAATGAGAGTTCTCAGCGAGAAGCCCACAACAACAAGGCCCGTGCATGCCATGCCGTACCTTCATCTCCCGGTAGTCAAAGAACTGGCAGGGGTCGTCGAAAAAGTCTCGCCACAATGCCTCAACCTGCCCGGCTGTCAGGGCCGCATAAGGGTGAATACGGGGGACAGAGTCGGGAGGGGTTGGCGTGAATATGGCCGGAAAAGAGTGTAAATTCCTCGGTTTCCCTTCCCCCCCTCCCCAGAATCTCCATTTCAAATAAATCAAACTCTCTTCTTCCCTGCTCATCACTCAACCACCAATCATTCACTCCCCTCCTCAGCTCACCATTCAGTTTGCCATCAAATCATGGACCGAGGCATGCTCCCACCATCTGCAACCACCACCGGCACATCCATCTCTCCCCCTTGCCCACCACTCCATTCCAACTCCCCCTCACCTATCTTCTTCCCCAGCTAACCACTCAGCCCCACACCCAACGCACCAACCAACCCCGCACCCAACGCACCATTCAGTTTGCCATCGAAGCGCGGAAGCCGAGGCAGCCCCTTGTCATCTGTAACCACCACCGGTGCATCCCTCGCTGCCCCCTGCCCGCCGCTCCCCGCCTGGTTACCAAAGTTTTCGTTACCATAGCTCTGGTTACCAGAGCCCTGGGTATCATAGCTCTGGTTTCTGTAATTCCCCTGACTGTTGCTGTAGCTGTTCTGTTCTGGATAGGTAGTTTCCTGAGGGGCGTACGCTCCCTGGTTGTAACCCCCCTGGTTGAAACCCCCTTGGTTGTAACCCTCCTGATTGTAGCTGCCCTTATTGTAACCCCCAAGACCGGTTTCACGCCCCCTGCTGCTTCCCTGGTTGTTGTTGCTGCTGCCGAATTTACTGGCCACAAGGGCTATCTGTTTCACATCCACCTGTGGGGGAGAGTAGACAGAAGGAAGGAAAAGGCTCAGTTGCTGCTGCCCTGGTGGTTGTTGTTGCTGTCGAATTTGCTGGCCACAAGGGCTATCTGTTTCACATCCACCTGTGGGGGAGAGAAGACAAAAGGAGGGGTAAGGTTGGGGAGGAAGAAAATTAGTCTTCAACCGCCTCAGAAGGAGGCTGCCGCTGCATGCTCTAGAAGCCACACCTTGGGATCCAGCCTCGTCGCCCCCCTGTTGTCTGTGTGTTCCTCCATGTGCAATCGCCCCTTCACATACACCTGCACACCCACGCACCCACCCACCCACCCGCTCACCACACACCTTGGGATCCAGCCTCGTCGCCCCGTTGCTGTCGGTATATTCCTCCAGGTGCAGTCGCCCCTTCACATGCACGCGCGCGCCCTTCTTGAGGTTCTGTGCAAGCGTCGCCACGTCGTTCCACATCTGTAGCGAGTACCTGTATGCGCACACACATGCGCGCACATACATGCAGGAGCGGATACACACGCACGCAGTCTAGTTGTGAGGCGCCTCACAACTATACTATTTGAGGTTCTGTGCTAGCGTCGCCACGTCGCTCCACATCTGTAGCGAGTACCTGCATACGCAAATACATGCACGCACATACATGCACGCACATACATGCACGCACATACATGCACGCACACATGCACGCACACATGCACGCACGCACACATGCATGCACACATGCACGCACACATGCACGAACACACGTGTGGAGACTGCTTACATGCCAGGAAAAAACCCAATCTCATTCTCAAAACCCATGCCTGCGATCCAACAGTCCACATCTGTAGAGAACCTGCATGATGGTTATTGAGATGTTGTAAAGGTAAGTCCAGGTCTGCTACAGACCTAATTGTCTGTCCTGCTCTAAAGCCAGTCAATGAAATAAGCCTCGTGGGCCTCCTCACCAATCGGTGTGCTTCTCCCGTTCGCCTTCTTCCACCCACCCCACCCCACCCAACCGCACCGCACCACCAGTCATGCATTCAACACCAACCTGCTGTTGCGTTATAAGCCGACTCAAAAGTCCTCACCAGTCGGTGTGCTTGTCCCCATTCGCCTTCTTCCGCCCCACCGCCAGCTTCACAGTCGCAACGGACTTGCCACTGTCGAGAAACCGATAGCCTGGCTCCGCCGCTATGTTGCCTGCATGGGATATGCATGGTATGTATGGGTCATGGATGGGATATGCATGGTCTGTATGGGTCATGAACTGCCCTTCTTCCGCCCCACGGGCAGCTTCACGGTCGCAACGGACTTGCCACTGACGAGAAACCGATAGCCTGGCTCCGCCGCTATATTGCCTGCATGGGCCGTGCATAAATCATGGAATTTAGAACAATCGTATTCAGAACGACATCCGACACGTTATTAGGCTTCTCAGAATGATAATAGAAGATAGGATACACCACAGGACACATGTACGGACCAATCAGATGCACGGTATTCGTCAACTCGGGTTTCCATTCGATGGTCTCGATCGCATCGCTCGCCTCCTCCTGCCGGTACTGCTGCTGCTGCGCCGGCGGCGGAGGCGGCGGCTGTTGCGGCGAGTGCTGCTGCTCACCCCGTCCCGGATACGAACCCGACCATCTAGACTGATACGGCTGCTGGTCGAACTGGGAAAACTGACTCGGCGATTGCTGATCGGACCGCTTATACTGACTCGATTGCGGGTACTCTTGCCCGCCATATGACCGCTGCTGGTTCCCCGGCCTGTAGTTCTGAGATTGCGGCCGGTACTGTCCCTTCCTCTGGCCGAACTGATCCGACGAGTACGACGCGGCCGGGATTATACGCTGTATTGTGCTTCTCGTTAAAAACAACGCGTTGCCGAAGTTGGCTCCGCTGCCCCGCAGAACGCGCTGCGCGGAACGGGAGAGAGAAAGCATGGCTGGGTGTTGACCCGAAGGAATCGAGTGAACAGCGGTATCGAGTTTAGGGTTGTTAGCGGGACGGCTCAGGATCGAAGCGCAAGCGGCTGGCATCGTAGCTAGAGCCGTGCAACAGAAGCGAGCGTCATACGGGCTGGGAAAAAAGGGGAAAAAAGGGTGATGGCGTCGTGAGGAAGAAATGGACGAGGGGGTGAGATCACACGAGCAATCCACACGAGGTATTCCCGAGGAGACTGGTGCCAGAACAGTTCCGATAGTAAATATTGAAGTACGTGTACTGATTTTGCTATACAAGGTAAACTCAGACGTATATAGCTTTCAAAGCCTTTGTACATCGGAAACGTCATTTATCCAAATTATATCAACACCCTACCTGAACAAGCCACACTATGACGTCACCT